ATTTTGTTTGGTGGTGGTTTTAAAAGACAATTTTCAATTTGTAAAAAAAAAACATTTACTGGACATTACTATGAAAATTGAGCAGCAGTGATCTCGGACAAGAATGTCAATTAATGAAATCAATGAGAAAAAAAAGTTTCGAGTGAAATTTTTCAAATCCAAAAAAAAACTTTCACTCTTTTTCACTCTTTGTTTTCTTTCTTCTTCTCCCCCACCCCCACAAATTATTGTTGTTCAATTGATCGTCCATCATTGTTATTGAGCGAGATGGTGGAAAAAAAACAGCAGTAATCGAAAGAGAAACAAACACGGAAAAGATTATTAATGGGCTCGTGTGTGTGTGTGTGTGTGTGTATGCTACCTGTTGTTGTATAATAAACAAGAGATGAAAAACATCTCATATCATACAGAGCTTGTTTCCGAAAACAACATATTCGGAAAAAAAGGTAACAATTTTTTTTTTTAGTCATCTGATGTTTCTGTGTGTGTGTGTGTGTGTGTGTGTGTGTGCAAAGAAACTTGAAATATAACACATACACAAATTACATATATGTACACACGAAAATAAACAGACGAATATATCATTAGGAAATGCAAGACATAAAATAAAGCAACAAATCAATCTTTTCTCAATCAATTTATTAGATTTTTTTTTTTTTAATTTGAAAAGAAAATGCATTAAGTATGAAAAAAAATAAAATCCAGTTTACTATTGATCACATAAGATGTTTAAATAATTTGATGATCATCAACAACTCACTTGATTTGATTTTTCTCCAAGATATATTCTTGATGATTGTTTTTTCACAGTTCAAAAAACACCGAAAAAAAAAAATGGAATTTAACACTTGTCAGTGTGTGTGTGTGTGATGTGATGTGGATCACAGTTGATGAAAAATTAATTGATTGAAATCAAAGACAAAATACTACGAACATAAACACACACACACACGAATGATGGCAAATAAGGATTGGATTAACCAAACAAAACCAAAAAAAAAAAAAAAAACAAATACAGGATGTGAATATTTGAATGACGTTTGATAATCAAGAATTTTTTTTTTCCCATTCAAAGATAATGCCGGATGTTGAATGTGGTAGGAAAAAAAATTGAATTGAATGAATTTTTTTTCTGATGAATAAATATATCATACAGGATGATGATGATGATGATGGTAATGGTGATTGTGATTGTGATGATAATGATGATGATCATGGACATAAATTAATCATAAATAATAATAATTTTATGGAAAATAATGAGATCAAATACACACCTACACTGACACACACACACACGCACACACACCCACAAAATATTTAGTAAATCATCAATTTTTTCAACATAACTGGTGGCGTGGATGATGATGATGATGAATAGACAGTCCTTTGATAAATTTTTTTTTTCGATTGATTAATTATCGATCACCTGTTGATTTGATCTAGATTTCATCATCATCATCATCATCATCATTATTTTTTACACAATGATCACTGATGGATACAAAGAATTTCAATAATCACAATATCAATCCAAACGCGTTCTCAGTATCATTACGATTCATTTCAGGACAACACGAAAAAAAATAACAAATGGGCCATTTAGTTGACGTTGAACAACACACGGAATAATGAAAAAAAAAAAACAAGAAAAAAATGATTCAATTTTAGAATTATTTTGAAGGACCAACAACAACAACAACAGTTTTGAAGACACACACACACACACACACACAAACAACAAACAACAATCATCAACACGTACCAAGTGTAACCTGGAAAAAAACGTCTTTTGTCTCTTGAAGAGTCATACACAAATACTAATGAAAAAATGAAACACGCGCAAACGAAAACATAAAGACCGAGGTATTACCGACCAAAAAAAAAAAAAAAAAAAAAACTTAGTGAAAATCTGGCAAGAAAGATCAAGCCAAAAAAAACAACAAAACAAAACAAAAAAAAAAGAATTTTTTTTTTGGACTGGGAAGATAAAACGAGAGAGAGAGAGACGATATTTGTCAAAATATAGAGTCTTCCTTCCTTCCTTCCTTCCTATCTGATGATGATGATGAAAGAGATGATTGAAATTAGAACAAAACACAAAAACAGAAATATGAAAACATAAATATTATGAACATCACATTGAAACTAATCGGACATCACCTGATTTGGATGATTTTTTTTTCTAAAAAAAAAAAAAAAAAATTACGCCAACAACAACGTGTTGCACGCCCAAAAATAAAAAAAAAACACGCGGTCATTTTTTATTTTACTAACTCTCTCTCTCTCTCTCTTTCTTTTCTCTTTATATTTCCGTTGTTTTCCCGTTTGTTGTTTTGTATATACGAAAATTATTATATTAGTTTTTTGTGTTCATAGGTTCAGTTGTTTCCATTTTAAAATAATGATGACTATAGAAATAAAAAGAATGAAACTTTCGATTGTACCGGTCAGTTGCTGTTGTTGTAGTTGTTGTTCGTTGTATGAGAGATAAAAATGCCATAATTGCGGTAGTAAATCATATAGATGCCGAAATAAATTTTTCAAAAAAAAAAAAAAAAAAAAGAACAATAGCTTGTCTATCTTATTATCGTCAACTAAAATAAAATAAAAAAATGTTATCCGGGTTAAAATAGAAAAATATGATGATGATGATGATGATGAGATTGCTCAGATAGATAGATAGATATTATGATGAAAATGGAAATTTATCGGGGCCAATCCTAGCTTGCTTTTATTTTCGTTTGGCTTCCTTGATCATATGAAGATGCTATCATACCTGGATACAATGGAATCATTATTGTATGTAATAGATTTATGTTTGTTTTTTTTAATATAAAAAGAATCAATAAATTTCATACGTTGGATACAAATTTGTACCGGAAAAAATATTTGTAATTTCGGTGCTTGCCATGTTTTTTGTCGTTTTTAGTATTATTATTATTAGCAACCTCGAACTTTTAACGAAACATTTTCATTTCGATAAATTCGTGTACTATCCTGATTGATATCTATCTTTTTGAATGCGGTAATGATTGATTGATTGTTTGGATTTTGAATGCACCGTGGCGGCAATTTGATGATTTTTCTTCCAGGCTTTTTTTTTTTTTTTTTTTATATATATATATTCGACCACGGAAGTCAATGGTATGTATATTTGCCAGGTTTTTTCTCTTTCGTGTTTTAGTGTTTTTATTTTTTCGTTGCCATTTATGTTGGAAATATCCGTCAAATCATCATGAAATGATGTACAAGTTATAAAAAAAAAATTTCATTTCTGGCATCTCGATGATCGATCAATTGATCGGATTTTTTCTCTTTCATTCACCGATTAAATTAGCGATAAATTGGTGACAGTAATGGTAAGGAAATTTTATCACCAGAAATTGATTGATTGATTGATTATAGGAAATATTTTCCCAATGAATATATTGTATATAAATATAGAGACGTTGCTCATAAATGAAGGAAAAAAAAATTGCCACCACTCTGTGTGAATGACAATCGGATTCTAATAAAAAAAAAAAAATTCATCACCTTCCACCATCATCACCATTATCATCAGCATCAGTCTCTTATAGTGAATGTCTGATCATTTGACCACGAACATTTTCAATTTATACAATTTTATTTTAATGTTTATTTTTCTGGGGAAAAAAATTTTTTTTTCAATTTAAATCCAAAATGGATGTCCGGGGCACTGTCTCTTGTTCATCACAATAATAATAAATATCCATGGAAATGATCGTTGTTGACGAATGAAATTGAAAAAAAAAAAACCCAAAAAAGGATTTAAAATAAGCTCAATCAACAACGAAGCTTCATATACTTCCGGGAAGACTATTTTTTTTTCTTTCGTTTTCATTTTCATCAATTTGCTTTTGAATTTCCACAAACACACACACACACACACACACACACACAGTGCAGACCGCCAGCCAACAGGTCCCATGACAGTAAAATAGTTTCGTTTCGATTGTTTTTTTTTTATTTCACAGCGACAACTATATATATATGTGGCACGACATTCTATCAACAAGTCAAACTAAACAATCAAAAAAAAAGAGACAAAGAAAGGAAAAAAAATGGCGCGCCATTCGAATTGTTATCATCATCATCATCATCATCATGGTTGTCAAATCCGGTAGAAATGAAGAAAAAAAACAAACTTACAAAATAGGAAAACAAAAACAAAACAAAAAAAAAACGAATGAAAATATCGAAATAAATATAAAATGAAAAAACCTATTCAAGTGTAACGATTTAATTGATGATGTTGATGATGATTATTGATTTTACTACTACTACTACTACTACCGGGATAATTTGAATAATTTTGAAACTCCCAAAAAAAAAAAAAAATGCAAGTCGGATATAATATGTTTCCTTGGCACAGGTATTTTTATTATTTCATTAGGTTATGATTGTCATTTTTTCGAGTGGTGTTTTTGTGTAACCATAGAAACGATTCTTACTTTGAAAGATCATCAAAACATTTTAAAATTTCATTATTGTCCATCAAACAAACAAACGGAAAAAAATTCATAATTTGTCCAAATGAATTCAATATTGCCAATGAATCAATCATCATCATCATCATCACCATCCATTGCTGAATATGATGAGGTAATTATTATTATTAATGATAAACAAACAAATAATGATTGAAAATAAACCACCAAGGCCAATAAAATAGAAATCAATTTCTGATCAATTTTTCCATTGAATTTTTGTTTTTTTTGTTTTTGTTATGGATATGGATTGGAAACAATTTTCTGATTCGAATTACATTTATATATATGATTTATATCCGAAATTAACTGATTCCATCAAAAGATCTGTTCGTCATCCGCATTTGTATTAGTATGTGTGTGTGTGCGTGATTTTTATTTCATTTTACAAAGAAAAATTCGATGAAAATAATGGAAAAATAGAAAAATTATTATTCATGCAACACCTACACACAAAAATGATGATGATGAACAATAAATAATGTGTTCATCATAGCAGGATGCTACCTCCACCACCATCTTCAACAGACGAAAGATTTCTCATTCATCCGTTTCCATTCATTTATTTGATGAGCAGGCATTTTTTGGGCGTAATCATCATCAATGTTCAATTGTTTTGTTTTGTTTTATTTTGTTAATAAGCTTTCCACACACACATCTGCCACTTATTGATCTTATTACCTTGACAAATTCCTATTGACATCTTGCAAGTTGTTAGAAAATATATTTATTTTTCTTCAAAATTAAAAGTGTGTGTGTTTTATTTTTACGTTTTAGTTGTTTTTTTTAGGAAATGGAACGAAACGTAATTCAGGTAAACCCTTTTCATGTGTGTGTGTGTGTGTGTGCGTATTATTCATCCTTGTATCTAGCCCGTAATTGATCTGAGCTTCAATTTGTGATTAATTTTCAAAAAAAAATTCATTTTTGCATTTACAATTTGTTTTGTTTTTTCATCCATTTTTTTTTAGTCAGGCAAAAGTCGTATCAATACAAATTCATATGCAACAAAGAAAACAATTTCACAAGGTAAAGTAGAAACAACGAGACATCAATCCAAATTATAATTGACAATCTTTCTCAATAGGAATGTTTGATGTTGCTCTGTTGACGGCAAATGCAAGGTTTGGTGGTTTCTGGTTTCACATCTAAACATTGAATTATTATTTTTTTTGTTGTTGTCATTTGAATAATAACAGTCAATTAAAGCATACACTTACGTTGGGTGATAAATCTAGATTCTATTTATTAATGGTAATACTCATTGGTACATCCATTTTATTACAGGTATGTGTGTGTAATTGCTTTGATCTATTACAAATTTATAATTTACAACAACAACAACAAAAAATAGGTTCTAGTTGGCATCGTATTCATATATTTAGGCTATAATAATCTTGAAAATGAACAACGACAAAAACGTTTAAATAATTTGAATAATTTAACAACCATTCTGGTGTTTATCATCACAGTGGTCAATGTGTTCATCTCTGGTTTTGGTATCAATAATAATCAATCGAACGATATTGATTATGATTAAAATATTCTTCTTTCCTTTTTTTCTTTATTTTTTTTACATATTATCGGTATGGTTATTGTTTTGTTTTTTTTTCATGTGCATATATACATTACGACCTACATTTTATTACATTGACTACTGGTATTCTTCTTTTTCCTGTTCCCAATTCCTGTTATCATTCATTTTCATCAGCATATGAAGATGGCAGCCATATAATCAATGATTATGATTTCAATTCAACATTGTACAATGATCAATGGTCAAAAGCCAATCAAAGATGGAAACAACAAAATTGATGAAATATTAGAAAAATATCAAATTTGTAACCAATAAATAATCATTAATCTTTGAAATGAATTTAATGAATTAAAAAATTTTACAACAAAAAAATTACTCATTCATTTTGATTCATTTTTCTTTCGTTTTTCATCATCATCATCATCATCATCGTTTTCATTGTCAATGTTTTTATTATTCGTCGCAAAAGACCATGGTTTATTCTCCAAACTTAATGTACTAACTTTGGTTATCTCTCGAAGACATATAGTTGCATAAGATGATGACGGTAATCGTATCATAATTTTTAATGCATGATAATTATTTTCTTCATCAAATTGTAAATCAATCGGTGTCCGTTTTTTTTCATTTCTTTTCTTATTCATTTTCGGTTCATTTTGACCGATACGATCTAAATCTGTTTCAATTAATGGTTCAGTATCATCTTGATATTCACACCATTCCCATTTGAATTGCATTGGTCGAACCATTAATTTACGATAGCTACCATTCACACACCATTGTTGTCCTAAATTGGAAAATTGTTCCATTGAAACTGAATCTTCATTCAATATTTTATCAATAAAATCTTTAGTGCTATTCGTTGGAAATTTACTCAATGCACCAATGATAGGTATTACTACATCATAAATGGTAAATTTTTCCAAATTTTCTTTGGTAACCAATTCAATCTGGTCGTTTGAAATGTTGGCTTTAATATTATTATTGTTGATAATGTTTGATGATTCATTATCATGATCATCATCATCATCTTGATGTTGTTGTTCTTGTGAAAAATCTGCATCATCATCAACGGTTTCATTGAAATTTGGACCAACAAACACTAAATCACCTTCAACAACATTCAATCCATATTGACGAATTCTGAACGATGCAATACGATTCCAAAGATAACTTTGATATGCATGTAGATATAATAATCGACTATTTCGATTCAGACCAATACAAAGACCACCATGGTAATCATTTGGATTGACTTTGGATAGACCACGTAATAATGAACCTTCAATAGTATATTTATAATTTAATTTACGATATGCTTCATTAGCATCTCTTGTCTGGCGCCATAAACGAATGGCATCATTGAATGAAATCTCACGACTATTATTATTTTTATTATTATGATTACGATACGGTACAATATCGGTCGGTTTTTCAACAAGAATTTCTTCAACCAATTTTTTAAATTCTTTTCGAAGAATAAGAATACCAAGCTTATGTGAATCAATACGATGTGAACCAAATCGTTGCATCCCAAAATAATTAATGAAACCATTTGTTTTTACATTCATCAATGCTTGTTCACAGACATTACGATCGAAAAGTTTATCAATATTGTCTGATGATGATTGTGGCTGTTGTAGTGACGATGGTAGCCCCTTCTGTTGATTCATATCATCATCATCATCATCAATATCAACCAGGCGTACATCACGTAAAACAATTTCGAATTGATTTCCACTTAGATCGCCTAATCGTAATGGTTCCTTTTCATAATGAAAATGACCAACATGTAATCGAATACGATGACCACTTCGTTGATTGAATTCTTGACAAGAACGCCAAATTTTAGCCGGATTCGTACGAAAAGCAGAAAATTTCTGAGTTGAAATGGCCCGTTTGTCTTTGTTGCCGGCATATGTAAATTTTTTCGTTCCTACACCTAATCGACGTGAAAGTTCATTCACAACCTGTATGGTTTCCATGTTTTCTTTATATAAAACAAAATGTACAAAACTTGGCCGATTTGATGGCCAATTTTGTCGTCGATATTGCCGTTGATTTCGATCACCTTTTTTCGGCAAAATTTTTACAAATCTTTTTCCATCAATTGTTTCGGTACATGATTCAAGTGTCGAATAATTTTGCTTAATGAATAAATGAATCTGACCACGTTCCTGTTTATCAAGTCCATCGATAGATAATAATGGATTAACAGCCTGGAAATTACTTTGAACATAATGATCGATTTGCTGTTTGAAACTTGGATCAATTTTTAACGAATCAATTTGAATCGTTTCGGATGATTTTATTCGTTGTCGTTCTTCATCAACAATCGTCGTTTCAATATCTTCCGGTTTGCCAATGTTTTCCAGCCGTATGACATTACCTTGTCGATCGATTTCATGAACAACAAAATCTTCAAATCTGGAAACAAATTTTTAAAAAAAATTTCATTTCATTCAGTTATATAAAACCAATACTGACCTATGTTTCAATATACCATGAAATGGTTTATGTTTACCAATGAATTCGGTTATACCAACATTTTGTTCGGTAAGATAGCCACGTTTAATTACATCATTAAGATCTACTTTTAGTTTTTTAACTTGTCGAAAATTCATATTTAAAATTTTTTTCATCTAAACACGTGCACAATAATTTTTCTGTTGACAATTCATACCATACAAGTATTGCATACGATTCTTGCATATCCGATTTATACTATGTAGAATTTGAAAAAAAAATTCCGCTGACGAAAACGTTTGATCTTGGAATTGTAAAATAATAATCATGTTTATTTTATTCATTCATTGAATTCTAAATTAAAATGAAAAAAAAATGAAAGCGATAAAAAGCTTTTATGATTTGTTTGAATCAATTCAATCATCGATGGACACAATGACACACCGAACACACAACATAATCGACACAATATCAATAAGAATATTTAGCATGTTTTTTTTTATCATTTTAGTAAATTATTATTATAAATAAATAAATAACAAACAAGCTTTGTGAATCCAGTGTCAATGTGTCTGTGTGTGTGTGTGTGAATGCGTGTTTCAGAATGATTTTTTTTTTTTTTTGTTTATTCGTTATTGTGCAGGGACCGAAAATTACGATGCAACAGACGTATTTTGTTTGAAAATTTTATGATAATTTTTTATTATTAATAATAAACGTTTTTTTTGGGGTGTTGTTGTTGTTGCCGTTGTTGTTGTTGTTGTTGTTGTTGTAAATAAATCAAATATGTCTATGGTTGTTAAATTTCGATTTGATTTGATTTTATTAAATTAAATTAATTAATAATTGGTTGTTTCTTCTTGCGTCGTGAACACTTGTCGGGTACCGCCTGGAACCTGGCTTGTGGTCACCCATGAACGATGTTTAGCACGAATGAACGATAAGTTCGATTCAGCTTGATCGGCACGATCTTCGGCTGCTTCCAATTCACGTTGGAATCGTCTGACACGTGTCAAATTCTGTTGGCTCATTCCCTCCTAAGTAATTGTATTGTAATTTAAAATGTCAGAAAAGTAATTTCAATCATATAATATAGATTACCTGTTCTTGCATCTGTCGTTTGTAAACTTTGACCTTTTCATTCAATTTATCAGTCATTTCCTGTAGCAATTGAATTTGTTTATGGTCCTCCTCATTTTGCAACAACAATTCCTTGACACGATGATCCTTTTTACGTAACATTTTGTCCGTTTCGGCATGTCGTCGTCGTTCTTCTTCAACTTCAATTTCAACATCACGAATTCGGCTTTCCAATTTGGCAATGACACGTTTACCACCGGCCAATGCATTGGCTTCGACCTCTTCAATACGGACATGCAATGTTCGTACCTCTTGTTCCAATGATTTTTTCACCGTTTCCAATTTAACCAATCGTTCTTGTTCTTCGATCAACAAATCTTTAGTAGATTTGAGTTCAATTGTAAGTTTCTGTACTCGTTCATCAGAAATCTATTTGTTCGGTTCAATAATGAATTGATTAGTTCCATTTGGATCAAGCAATAGAATATTAAATTAAATACTTACTCTAAGTTCTTTATGTACTTCATCGTAATCAGCTTGAAGTGCAGAGAATTCTGATTCCAATTTACTTTTAGCCGATGCCAAATTGACGTTAATTGTGGTAAGTTCGTTAACACGTACAACAGCTTCTTCATGCAATTGTTCGGCTTGTCGTTTAGCACGATTAGCCTGTTCCAATGCAATACGCATCTCTTCCAATTCGGCTTGCAATGCTTGGCATCGTCGTTGTGTAACACCCAATTGATCCACTGCTTGTTGCAATTGACGATGAACTTCATCATAATGTGCTTGGAGCTCCTACATTTTACAAATGAACATATATTACAAATGTTATTCATTATACGAATCTTTGATAAAAAAAACTAACCGTAATTTGAAGAGCTTGTTTTTTAATAGTCTTTTGCAAATCGATATTAGCCTTATTGGCTGCATCCAATGACAATTCCAATTCGGTAATCTGTGCCTGGTATTTTTTCTTCAATCGTGCAATTTCGGTCTTGAGTTTAGCTTCAGCCTCGGCCAATCGCATGTTAAGTTGTTCAATTTCAATTTGATATTGTTTGCTATTTGTAAATGTGATTAGAATGGAAATTATTTAAAATGGAAATTCTCTGCTTACCGCAATGCTTCAATTTCTTCATCTTTTTGTGCCAAACGTTTTTCATAATCATGTCGTACCTGTGCCAATTCGGCAATCAATCGTTGATTTTTGGCCTCTTCTTGTTTTCTCAATGTTTCTGCTTCTTTATAGGCAGCCGATAATTCATCACGTTCATTCTCTAATCGTTTGATTTCAATTTCTTGTTCATGGATTCTACGGTGAGCATCGTTCAATTGTGATTTAGCTTCGGCAAGATCGTCTATAGCAAATACATTTCAATCAGTCAATTGTATCAATTGAATATTGTTTTTCATTACCTGTAAGTTTCTTGTTTTCACGTGCCAATTGATCACGTTGATCACGTAATTTTTCATATTCATGTTGCAATTTCTGTAATTCAGCAATCTTGACTCGAAGTTCTTTCTGTGCTTGTTCCATCAACATGGTAACCTCTTCCAATTTATTCTTCAAATCAAGATTAATCTTTTCCAATTGAGCAACACGTTTTTCTAATTGTTGTGCATGTGCTGTCGCTTTTTCAAGATCCATAATCAAAACTTCAACTTCGCTTTGAAGTCGAGATTTTTGTTTCTCCAATGAACTGCATTTATTCAATAAGGCTTCCAATTGTTCTTCGTATTCCGAAATCTTTTGAGCCATTTTACGACTATTTTGGAATGGAAATATTTGTAAATCATTCATTGAAAACAGATAATTAGATTAATTACCGAAGTTCTTCAACTTCATCGGCATGTGCTTGCAATTCAGCTTCGTATTTGGACTTCCATGATGCAGCATCGCCATTGGCTTTGGTCAATTGACGTTCAAGCTCAAGACGAGCCTCGGATTCTTCGTCCAATTGTACTTTCAATGATTCTAATTCCACTTCCAATGTATGGGCATGATTTTCGAGACTGGCACGTTTCTATTGATTACAAAAATTAAACATTTTTATCCAATCAAGCATTTATGGAAAAAAAACTTACTCGTTCCTCTTCTTCCAAACGATGTCGAGTGTCTTCTAATTGTTGGGCAATCTGTGTCTTCAAATGGTTTGCATTGTCCAATTGTAATTTAACTTCGTGAACCTCTTTGATCAATTCGGTATTCTCCTGACTTAAACGTTGTTTATGTGATGTTAATTCAATGACCGTACGGTTGATTTCTTCGATTTTGATATTCAATTCATGTACGGTATATTCCAATTTTTCTACATTTTTCAATGCCGTTAATTTTTCCTTATTGGCCGTTTCCAATTGAGCTAATAATTCAAAAACTTCAGCCTGAAATTTTTGCTTCTCTTTATCCGATTTATTTTTCGCTTTTTGCAATTGGTCAAGTTGATCTTGCATTTCCTGGATGGCAGCCTGATGTTTCTGTCGCAAATGATGGGCCGTTTCTTCCGATTCAATGTGAACATCTTCCAACAATTTTCTCAATTTTGCCAATTCGGAATCTCTTTTTTTGTTCATTTCGGTCTATGAAAAATGGCAAAAAAACCAATTGTCTAAAGTTCTGTCTTTGTGTGTGTGTGTGCATTTATCGTGTATACTTACAACACTTTCGCTTGATCCTTCGGCCTCTTCTAAACGTTCACCAAGGCTCATCACTTGGATCTGTAATTCGGCCTTTTCACGTTCGATCTATATTTTGATTCATTTAATTATTAGCAATTTGTGATCCATTTTATGAAATTTTATAGAAAAAAAACATTGGCTCATCGTTTGATTCTATAGGACGGATAGGATTGTCTCCTTGATCTAATTTTTTATTTAATTTAATCATTCATCGTTTGTTCACTGTTGTTTTCTCCTATTTGAAATTCTTTATGGCAATTTTTTCTCTTACGTTATATTTATGATTGCATTCATTGGAATGAAATTCTTGGATTCTTGTTGCTTTTTCTGTGATGTGATGTGTGTGTGTGTGTGCATGTTGATGATCTCTAAAAATAGATGGTGTATAAGTGTGGCGGATTAAGGCGTTGGTATGATTTTTTGGCTGCCGTTTCGAAGCTAAATATTCGTTTACTGTGTAAACGCCTCGCCTACTTGATTACGTACCCAATACCATTATTCTCTCGTTCCATTCGGAAAATTAATAGCACTGTTCTATTCTTTTTATTTACAAGCAATAATAATTCTAAAACAAGCCTAAAACGGAATCTTGCTGATCATACAATAAAATTTTCGACAGTGTCATCAAGTTCATCACCAAAAATATATCATATTTACATATAATTAAAAAAGGTGAATCATGGCCAATAATAGTGATGAATAGAAAAAAAATAATTAAACTTACACGTTGTCGCATTTCACGTTCGGATTCCAAATCATCGGATAACAATCGGATTTTGTCCTAGAAACCATTTGAACAAGACAATAAAAAGACGATAAAGAATTAGGATTGGAAATAATTATCGCTTAGTTGTTGTAGATATGTGTGTGTGTGTTTGAATTGATAATCAATTCAAGGTCGATTTACAATATAATGCTTGCTTGTGGTATAAAATTTTTCGCCAGTTTAAATTTGTTGGCTCAATTTCAAAATCAATATAGCCATCAATCTATCGATTGATCGATTGATTTTTTTTTCTCTAATCATGTGTTTATTTGTTAAGAAGTAGTAGAACATTAACAACCTTGATCTAGATTTGTTTATGTTCAAATCTTATGGTCTGTTTCAATTTTTTTTTTTTTTTTTTTTGAATTGGTGATTCTATGAATGTTCTTGACTTTGAATCGTTGTTTCAGAAGGAAATGGAAATGGAAACGATTCGATGATTGTCATTCATCAACGTCAATCAACTATATATAGAGAATTACCTATTCTAGCTGGGCGTCATCTTCATCGCGACAACAAAGTATTGCACTTTCAAAGTTTAAGATGCTAAAATTGGAATCAAATTTGGCAATTTTAAATTTGTGAAAACAAAATTAGGTTGATGTAACTAGAATATTGTTCTTGTCTACTATAAATGTTTTGTATATGTGAAAAAAATTTCGATTCTTTACAAATAAAAAAAATTAAATGGTTGATGATCAAATATGTAAACAAAAAATGTATGAACAAATTACATACCTCAAGTCGAGTTAAGGCACCTAAATCGGTACCATATTCAACGGAAATATCACCAGAGGCACCAGCACCACTGGATCGGTACATATATTTAGCTGTACGTGCCGACATTGTTTTCAAATTGTTTTTTTTCTTTGTTCCGGTTACAGATCAAAACGGCTTCAATTATTTTTCGTTTTTCGGATCAAAAAAAAATTTTTTGAAGAAAAATTCAATTCTTATTTCGATTTCGAAAAAATGAATGATGCAAAACGATGAATGATATTTAACAACAATATAAAAAAAAACGAACAACGGACAACCAAGAAGATCAAACCAATACACACCAACAATCAAACAACAACTGACACACTAATCGTGATAGATGCAGCCGATTTTCTACCAGAATATAAAATGAAAAATCTTTTAAATTCTTTCAGATCAAAGCCAAATGAAATCAACAATAATGGGAGAGAGAGAGAGAGAAAAGAGAGAAAAAATATTTCTGATTTGCTGATGATCAATGCTGCCAGAATTTTTTTTTTTTCGTCCATCATCATCATCATCATCATCATTCCACTGTATTCATTTTCATTTTCTTATGTAGAAACCTTGATATGATGAATCTATGTAGTAGCATCCTTTCGAATATTCAAAATAAGGAATTTGAATTTTTGTTGTTGTTGTTGTTGTTGAAAAAATAGAAAATTTCAAATTGCTAGCGGGATATTTTTTCTTTTCTTTTCATTTTGTCTGGTTATAATGATTTGTTGATTCTTCTGTCTTTGAACAATTTTTTGTTGTTGTTGTTGTTGATGAAATACATTCTCATCCATAATTACCGAATGTGGCCGTGTAGGTGTGTGTGTGTGATAGATATGTCGAAAGCCGTGGTGGTGGTTAATACATATGAATACACACATTTCATATGTGATTTGGCACCACCTTAACTTTGTGGTAATATTCCCAAATGATGATGATGATGATGATGATGATAATGATGACAATATATAGAATAATTGTTGAATTGAAAAAAAAATTCTCTACATCGGCTTGTTGCTTGCCTGTTGTTGTTGTTGTTGGCCTATATATCGACATTCCTTTTTTAGACATTCTCAATACACACTACAACATACTAGCAACAACATCATTGACGGAATTCTTGAAATCAACAACAATGAATTGAATTCTATAACACGTCATTATGAAAATGTGAATGATTTAGAAAAAAAAATTGGATTCCTCACAATTTGAATTTAATCTTTTTGGTCTTGATTTAGCATGTGTATATGGGAAATTTTTTATGTAAAGGAATGTAAATGTTTTCACTGATGACGATGATTATTATATATTCTTTATTTGTTATTTGTTTCACATTCTCTTTCCTAAGAATATTCGGAATATTTTTTTTAAAAATTCATTTCTCCCCAATGCTATGCTTCTATGCTACTATATGTTATCGAAAATGAATATTTTTCTAAAATAAAACCTTCGAAAATAAAAAAAAACCATTTTTCTCTCTCTTTCTCTATTTATTTTTTCGGTTTAAAGTTTGGAATTTTCTTCATCCAAGAATAATGGTGAAAAGAATCCCTTTATTTTTGTGTATGGATGAATTTTGTCTAGTTGAGTTCAACACAGTGTAAATGACAAATTTTTTTTTCTTCTTCTTCTTCTTTCAATCTTGGATGAAATTCTTTTTTTTTCACCGAAAAAAAAAAAAAATAAACGTATGATGATGATGACAAGTAAACGATTGAATGAAAACCTGGTCTTTTTAAGGAAAAAATATTATCACTTTTTTTCTATTAATAAAAAAAAAATTTTTTCTGTGCATCAATTTTTTTTCCCTGTTTGTCAAATCATGCACATAGAGAGTGATGGTAGACATGATGATGAGACACATTCATTCACATTCACACACACGAACACATTGATTGACTTGGTTGACCAAATTGAAATTTTTTTTTTTGTTGAAAAAAAAACTTTTTTTCAAACGAAAGATTCATTCATTCTATTCTACATAGATTTCTTTTTTTCCCAAAAAATAACGATAACTTGTACAATGCAAACAATTGAAGAGAGAGAGAAAAATTCTCTCGTTCAAAAATTCCCATTCACCACTACATGAAGAAATAGTTGTTGCATCCTGACTAAAAATGTTTGAATTTTATTTTTCCACTTATTCAATAATGCCACACGTAAAAAATATTATCATCACCATCACATATATAGAAGAGGGAATATACAATGAAAGAATAAAATATTCTAGGTTAACAAAGTTGACAAATTCTCCATGGATTTCCATTTTTTTTTTTTTTTTAGTTTGTTTGTTTGTTTAATTTGTAAAGAGAGAAAAAAAAATTCATTTTGAATTTATTTATTCAAAATATATTTATACAAACATGGCAAATTGAATTCAAATTACATATAACAGAGAACATTTTTTATTGACAAATTTCAAGGTTTCACACTAATGATGATGATCAGAATGTTCTTGATAAAAACGTAGACCACAATAGCCACATGTATGATTTCCTGGTTGATCTAAATTGATAAATACTTTTGGATGTCCTAATGGTCCACCACCACCATCACAAACTACTTTTCGTCCTTTTACAGCTGTTGGTGGTATTTCCGCAATCAGATCACGAGCAAAACGTGTATTCACCTTATGGTATAAATTGGAGAATCAGAAATTATTCATTATGTCAAGCACATGAATATGTGAATACCTTTTTCGATTTACCACCAATAAAACGTGACAGACGGTAGTCATTTTGTTCAAATTTCTATTTTAGATTAAAAATTGATCAGAATTGACAATGAGGAAATACAATTATGATACAAACCTGTCCGGTATGTGTTTCAACATCGACAAATTCATCGATTTTCTGTATATCAGCCTTTGATAATGGTTGAGTTTTGTTGGCTGAATGTTTATCCAATTGATGATCAGATGAAAGTGATCGAATAGGATTGATTTGTGTCATCAATCGTTGCCATATTTGTGGTTTTGAACAAAATTTATTCATAATTTGATTGGCCATTTCTGGAATATGAATCTGTTTCAAACATAAATACAATTTATTTATCAACACAAATCACAACAACAAGGTGAATTTAACAGAAAAAAATAACCTAGCGACTATTTCAACTCATAGCTGCTACATTTGGTTTTAATGGTTTAAAATTTTGTCACATGTTTTTTTTTCTGAAATTTTTCAATTTTGATTTTTTTTTGTTTAGAATTTAAATTACTCTGTAAGTTGATAATAATTAATTGATTAAAAAATGATTTATTTATGATTTCAAATTAACGATTTTTTAAAACCAGAAAACAATAATGCTTCGAAATTGTTTGAACATCATGACAAACTTGTGGCGAATTGCTCAACGAACAAATATTCAAACAACATTAATTAGACCGGAATTTCAATTACCGTTATCAATGGATAAATTTCCTATGCTTCAACAGCAACAAATACGAACATTTAAAGATAAAGATGTGCTAAAACTTCGTTGTTCAAAATGTTATTTCAAAAAAATCGATGATCGTTGGTGGGTTCTTTGTAATGAACATCCACGACATAAACAACGACAAAAATTGTCACGAATACAGCAACAAGATGAAATGATTGTCACACACATTACCCGTACCGGATCATATAAAAAGAAACATTATCAATATATTTATCATGATATTTGATTGATTCGGGATTTGATTTCATTTTGTACAATTTGTCTAATTTCGTTATTTTTTTTTTTTTTTTGAAATAGCTGGAAAACCCCCATAATTATTGTATTTTCATTTTCATTGTTCATGAAAACAAAAATAAATAAATTACCTGTTAGAAATACGTCCTAATAACAGATTATTTTGTGATCTTCCTCATTATTGCCTGTATATATGGCCAACAAAATGTAGGGGTGTCATTTCTTTCGTATTTTCAATAATCGATTTGTTTCAAAAAAAAAATTCAATCATTTAAATGAAATGAAATATCAATATATAAATGTTTAAATGCCTCAAGCCAAAATGATGATGGCAACAAGTTGTCATCCATAACACATGAAATGATTAATGGACAGCCATCATTATTATCATTGATATACAGGTGTATATTTCTTTCAACAATAACAACAACAACAACAAGAAAAATATATTTTTAGAAATGAAATGAAAATGGTGTTGGTGACAATGATGTTCAACTTTGACTTTGAATGGCAATCGAAAACAAAAAGAAATGAAAAAAAAGAAAGAAAGAAAGAAAAAAAAGGACCTTGTATACGTATCAACCATATATATCAAACATCCAATAAAATCCAAATCACAACATGAACAGCATCAAGATCAGCCATTAATCATTTTCCCTCTTTGATGATTATGATGATGATGATGATGAACTTGTTATAGAATCGAATGATTTGGCGTTATTTTCATTTCATTTTTTTATTATTTTTTTTTTTCATTTCATTTTTCATTAAACAAAGCCTGTAGGGTATGAAAATTGAATATTTTTTTTTGTTTTCAATTTTTAAATTTTTAATAATCTGTCCGTTTATCATTTTGTTTGCAATTCATGAATTTAATCATTTCATTTTTCAATAACCAAATTCTTAAATATTATTTATGAATGATCAATGTGGATTTTGTTTTTGTAAAGAAAAAAAAATGACACGAAATCCAGGTAAATGTATGTTATTGTATCCCCCCCAAAAAAAAAAAAAAACAATTAGAGGAAATAATTGAAACATTGAACTTCACGTGATATCCTTTGTGTGTATGTGTGTGTGTGAATGTAGCTGTAAATCAGATTCAATGAACATCGATCGAATGATCATTATAATATGATGATGATGATCATCATTATCATGAGAGTGTAAATTATTTTGTGTCACATACATTATATTTGTGTGACAGAATAACCTTGAATGAAAATATATTTAGATTGAATGTATTGATAGATAGATAGATTGATTAATGAAGAATTCATTATGACGGAATTTAATTGAAGAAATTGATTAGAATTTTTTTTTTGGAATTATAATCTTGAATAATCCCTTGTATTTCCTTAAATCGAATGTTTTTGTTTTGTTGTTGAAAAAAATCGATTCCAGAATTCGAATATTCTCTAATATCTAGAGTATAGATAAAAGATTTTGATTGAATTTGGTACTTTGAAATCGATCTGATTTTTTTCCGATCATTTAAAAATAATTGAATCCTAAATTAATCACTATAGATTTGTTTTGCTGTACGTGTGTGTGTGTGTATCGATGATGTTGTTTGAAAAATTCTGTGAAAAAGTTCCAAGAATAAAAACTATTAGAATGGAATTAAAAAAAAAAATTTCCATTAATTATTTTTTTTGTTATCAAAATTGTTTATGAAAATCTCCAAAATCATCACAAGACAATATATAACGTGTTTTTTTCCCATTTTTTTCCATTTTATTGGATTCATTCCAATCGATTAGTCATCTTGTGTGTGTGTTAAAATAAACAACAAAAAAAAAAAACACACACACACACACATTTTTTCCGGGAAAACACGGATATGATGATAAACAAATGGAAACAAACAAACAAAAAAAAATAAAATGATAAGATAAGATTTGACCTACTAGAGATCATCATCTAATAAATTGGTTATTTCCTAATATGAAAATATTCTAATGGATATGCTGATTCAATCGATTGAATTATTATTCATGTACAGGTTTTTTTTGATTTCATTGAAAAACACAACACTTTTATCTTTGGAATAATAATTATAAAATTTTTTTTTTGGTTAGTAACAACAACAGTGTATAGATTGAATTCATGATAATGAAAATCGAATGATTCCAAATTGATAATTCTCATGATTAATTAATTTGTTTGTGTGTGTGTGTGTGTGTGTGTGTGTGACTGTGATATAATCTTGATTATATATACACATGCAACCCGAAAACATTTCACTGCCAAACATCATAACAAAAATCAAGTGTTTTTCCAATGTCATACGATTTTTAATCGTGATGATGATGATGATGATGAAGATGATGATTATCATCCAATCTTAAAGGATTATTGTCAGATTGTCAGATAAAAAATTGAAATTTGAATTTTGTTGTTTGTTTCTTATTTAGTTTTGGTTTTTTTTTGTTTTAGTATTGCGAATATCTTATGTTTTCAATAATGTTGTTTTCTTTTCTTTTCTTTTCTTTTTTTTCTTAGGAATTGATGACATCACTAATCAACAGCACTATTATTGATAATTATTATTCGACGTCATTCATTTTTATCATAAAAATCGATGATGATGATGTTGATGTTGTTGTATTGATAATCGTTAGTAATTCACACTTTTGTTGTTGGTAATAATCCAAAGTTTTTAGTTCATGTTCATGTATTTGCCTAAATTCAATTTGTATACAAAATCAAAGTCAAAATGTATGTTCTTTACGAATATTTTGCATTCAAATTTGATTCAAACGTACATTCTTCGTTAGTTACTTTGAAGCAATCTTCTACTGTACTAATCCAGAACGAAAACAAAACATCAAGAACATTACAAGCACACAAATTTGTTGATTACAGACAAATTGATAAATTGGGCACAAGTGTACCTTGATTAAATACGGAATAACACATCATGAATGTTACAAAGAAAATCATCGATTGATCAATAATTTACAGCAAACATAATATTTCAGTTGTAATCAGAGAATTTCCAGTGGAAAAAAATGGTTAAATACCACTGATCAATGGTTAATCATAGATATAGAATTAAAGATCAATCAAAAAAAAATCACTGGCATTGAAAATCATTAATCAATGATTCATATAATCATGGCGTAATAATAATTTGAAACTTTGAAAAAGAAAATTTGATTTCAGTAACAAATAAAAATTGATTGGATTTTACTTCGATCTCATTCATTATACTGTTTTTAAATATTTAATAAAAATGGTTCAAATAAGATAGCAAAAAAACTGTCAACAAAATTGTCAAATGATAAATACAGACACACAGACAGATCATTGATGATAAAGATAATAATGTTGAAGAATTTTTTCCATTTATATCTCACTACTGTATATGTCTATCATATTGAATGATCTCATTCATTAATAATTTGGTCCAAACTTATTATATTCTTCTTATGTTTGCTATATATATATATATGTTCAAATTCAAGGCTGAATATTGATCACAATTTCATTACATCATGTCCACACATTTTGATCCAAATATTGAATTTTTTTGTTTGTTTGTTTGTTTGTTTGTTCACACACAGTTTCCAATTCGATTCAGGCATCAATAGCCGAAAATTGAAATTGGATATTTGTTGTTTAATCATTTCCAGTTTGGGTTTTTGTTTCATTTTCAATCATTGTTGCTTTTTATTTTTCACGCTATTCGTGTCTGGTCAGTTTCAATTTCTTATTTTTTTTTGTTTCGGTTCAAATTGTACTTTTTTTTCTCTCCAAAAATCATCATCACATTATTATAATGATTATGGGTATAAGTAAGTCAGATTCCGCATCATAATCATTCAAGTCGAATGAGAAAATAAAAAACAAAACAAACAAACAAAACTCAAAATAGATAATAACCAAGTTTAATTTCAAAGAATTTTGAAGTAACTAAAACTAATTGACGTTTTTGATGATGATGATGATGATGATCCATGATCATCATTGGGTCAACACTATGATTAGAGATTCTTATTGATTCAAAGAATAATTTTTTTTTAGCTTCTTACGATAATTCTTTGAGTATAGTGAAAAATAAAACATTTAGTAACATTTAATCTTTATAATCATCGCCATCATAATATCTTCCATTGCCACTGCCATAATAATGATTCATTAATCGTTAATCGATTCTATCATCCATTTGGGAATTCTCCATTTAATATGACCATGATGGGTACACACACACACATAGCATCTATTGCAGTTATAACCATAGAATAGAAATTGAAAAGTAACTATCAAATTCCTATTTCCAATAAAGCATATGATTGGATCGTCATATCATAGAAAAAAAACGAACCAAAGTCAGAATAATCAATGTTTTTTTTCAATTTCATTGCATATGAATTTATGTTTAGCATATGATGATGATCACTGGATGATTGGAAATTGCATCAGCCAGTTTAGCTGCATAAATTTTTGTTTTGTTTTTGAATTCATAATAAAATGTTGATGATTGATTGATTGATAATCATATCATCAAGACATTTATTTAGTAATCATCAACAACAACAATATATATCTGTTTGTTTTACAGACAACACTCTTTGCATCCGGATTGAGGACAAAAAAAAAATTTCCATTCATCGAAATGGCAATAGAAAATTTTTTAAAAATCATAAAATTAGTAATTTGATTCAAAATGGATACGTAAATATCCTGTGTTTTTTTTGGTGCTTGCTAATAATCCTGTATTCATCATCATTCATTTCTTGTGCTAATCATAGGTTGTTATTGTAAAATTGCTCAAAGATCAAAGGCAACGTGGTTGGTTGGTTGATTGGTAGGTGCATGTAAAAGGGAGAAGAACGTTCATTCGAAAAATGTGATTGCTATCTTGAACTGCAAAAAAAATATCATCCACCGTCATCATCATCATCATCATCATAATCATTGCCGATAATGATGATGATGATGATGACGGTGGCAGTGTGTATGGTTGTTTCACGTTTCGTTTTTTAATCGTCCAAAATATATACATAAAAGTATGAAATGAATATGATGGCTAGACGACGACGACGACGACGATATACGGCTGATGCAATCAATTCATTTAGGTTGTATCATCATCATCATTCTATGATTGTAGTAATAACTGATTGATTGCAACTAACCAAAAAAAAAATCAATTGGAGAATTTCGATATGAACCGAACAAGCAAACAGTGATTACACTTGTTTTTGTATACATACAAAAAATGAATAAGATAGAAAAAAAAGACGGTCAACAAAAAAAAAACATATTGCATCCATTATATATATATGGTTTATTGGCCATTGATTGTGACATTGAATCACAAAAAAAAATTGCAATACATTCAACTTTTAAAGTTGCACATTGTGGAAATTTTTTTTTTTTTTGTTTTCATTTTATAGCCATATATAATTCTTTATTATTAATTTTTTCTCCATTTAAAATCAACTATCAATTAGCTATATAGCCTCTGGTTGACAGAAGAAACAAAGTCGTTGACATTGAAAAAAAAAATTGATTCCAATTGAATTTTTTTTTTTTTTTGAAATTATAATAGAACCTTGTCACATTGATCAGGTGATCAGGTGTAGGGTTCGTTGACTTTACAATACGAAAAAAATGGATTTTTGGTGGTCATCAGAGAAAAAAAAACATTCGGTCAAAATATAATAATAATAATAATAATAAAATAAGACAATAAATGGAAATCGAAAATTTCATAAAAGTCAAATCAAATGCAATTTTTTTTTGTTTTGTAATTGTCAATAAAAATTATGTTTTTGTCCTGGTTTGTTTTTTTTGTTCTTCTTTTTTTCTTTTGATTATTATTATTAATTCGGGTCATTCGGGATTTTTTTTTCAATATATGGCCGCCGATAATGACATTGATGATAACTGCAGCTGCTGCCGCTGTTGTTGTTGTTGTCATTCAATTGATAATAAAAATTAAAATACAGTCATAAAAGCAATGAATGAATGAATGAATGGAATGAATGTCCCAAGAGATGGTTGAATGTTTTGTTTTCAATAAACAAAAAACAAAATCATATTGAATGGAATTCAAATGGAATTCCAGTCATATTTGTTTGTTTTTTTTTGTCCATTGGAAAAACAAATGAAAATAAAAAAATAAATTTTCACTAAAAAGATAAAAGATGATGGAGAATAAATTTCCATGAATGAACAATACATTTTGAAAGGATTTCTTTCTATACTTTTTTTTTTTTTTTTTTATCTCTAGGAATTCAGGCCAAAATAAAACAAAATTTTGAATAGAAAAGCCAACCATGCATAGAAAATGGTAATGGCGGTCATTCTTTTCAATTATGAAATGAAAAGTCAAAAATTTTTTTGAAAGAAGCATAGTATCAACATCATCACTTATAAATGATAAACTATATGAATCATGCAGTGATCATTTGATTTTGTGTAAAAAAAGGTCAATTTAACCGCGAAAAGTTCATCAACAAATTTTGTTTACTGAAAAAAGAAAAATTTCATTTTTCTTTTGGGGAAACATTCCATTTTTTAAAAATCCAGATCCATCATTCATCATCATTTAGATGGAATCAAAATCATCAGATGACCATAATTCCGGCGGAATCTCCATATCGAACAAACAAACACACATACACACACACACACACACACACACAAAAAACACATATTGAATATCAAAAACAACAACAACCTCAGGCTATTCGAGAAACTGATTGTTTGATAAGATTTCCGTCTCAATAGAATTTTATATTTTAATATTTAAAATTATTCTGATGCAATTACTAGATATTGTACATGAAATATTCACGTGAAAAAAACGTACCATATTACAATAATTTACCCCAATATAAATGATAAATTTTCTCTTTTATCTCTCTCTCTCTCTATGCATTGACAATTTTTGCATTTTATCGACGTCATTCATTACAAATGTCATATACAACACACATATTCATATCAGATCAGATCAGATCAGATTTAATATTATAATTCTCTCATTTTCTCTCTCTCTTTTTTCTATCCATGTAGTGGTGTTTTCATCATGAAACAAAGTGTAGTTTTAGTTAGTTTAAATTAAAATTGAATATATCAAAAACAGACAAAATAGTTCAAGAACAAGAGAGACTCTCTACTACAAGTGTGTGTGTGTGTGTGTCGGATGTATACAGCCCTCTTTTATGAAATGAAATGAACACACTAGTAGTTGACTCCTCATTTTATCTCATTGTCAATGGTGGCAGCGACCGCAACAAGGTTTTCCGTTGATTGGTTATAAAAACTCGCGTAGATAGTAAATTTTGAATCATTCAAGAATCATCAAGCAATCAAAGATTTCAGAAATTTTTGAAACCTTTTGCTTTTGTGCCTGTCTGTCTGCCTGTCTGCCTGTGTGTGTGTGTGCGTTTGGATGTGTGCAGCTGTTGTCCATTTCAATTTAGAATCGTATATCCGGAATCGCTGTTGTTGTTGTTGTTTTTTTTTTAAATCGCTGATTATATTACGCTGAATTTGCTGAATCAATATTCCAATATTGGAAAGAAGAAAATTTTTATGCATCATCAAATAGTAAAAAGAAGAAAAATATCCAATTTTTCGATGTATTTATCGATATCATCATTATCATTATTATCAACCAATCATATTACTATTTCAACAAAACGAACATCATTGACGTTAATACAGCAATTAATAATATTGTTAATATTAATAACTATAACTATAATAATAATAACTACTGATCAAACATAATCGTTTGGTTTTCGTTTTCGTTTTTTTTTCATTCGCACATATATAATTATTATATAACAATATATTGTCCACAACAACGGGAAAAAAAAGAAGATATTCAAGAAGATAACATTCTCTTACAAAATTACGGAAATTCGTTCCTTGACTATTGTGGCTATCAAAAAAAATTGTAAGTCCTCTTCTTGTATTATGTATCTTTTATTATTGAAGAAAATTTTCTTAGCCAAAGAAAAAAAAATCCATATTGTGTGTTTGTGATAATTGTTGAGTTGAATTATTCTGAATTCTGAATTCTGTCTGTCTGATGCTGATGATGATATATTACCTAATGGCCTATATTTTTTTTTTTTGGCAAAATAAACAAGTAGCCTGAAAGCAATTTTCGATCCAAAATAAATCCTCATATATTAGTTAGAATGTTAAATGTCGCGACAATGGCGACGACAACAACGACGACGTCGACGACGTGACATTCGACATGTTATCAATATCGATTATATTGATGTCATTAACATGTATATGTAATGTTGTATGTTTAAAAATTGGTTTATAACAATAATTTAAACATCGACCGGAAATCATAGATTTAATGTATGTTTAACGATAGTTGTTTGTTTGTTTGTTTTTTTCTGTTTATCATCAATATTATTTTCACGTTTTCAAGTACATTTTTATTGCCATTTATCGACCAAATATCGATCCATATTCATTTATATATGGATGAATATAAATAACGAATGAAATCGATTCTTTATTCAAATTTCATTCAAAATGATTTAATTCAAATAGGTATTGGTTTTTTTCCAACATTGGAAAAAAAAGAGAAAAGTGAACAAAATTCAATCGTCAATTTTTTTTTGTTTGTTTCTGTTCGATGTAGATGTTGATAGATGTTGGTGTGTTGGATCAATGATAATCAATCACATCACATCATCATCATCATCATTATATTAATTCAAAAATACCAAATTGAAAAAGCCTCGACAACAGTAGATGTGTTTTTTTTCAAAATGAACAGAAAAAATTGTTGTATATCATATCATTTTTTTTCTATTTGTTCACTGTTATAATTAGTGAACAAATAGAAAAAAAATGGCGTGATTTTTCTTCTGTTGTGTTCTGTAGTCCACATACACAATGACGACCATAAAACAAAAATTGAAAATAAAAAAATTTTTTCAACATATATTTGGTTTATTATTTGTCAATTATTTCTAGTATCAAAGAGCGAGATGCACGCGTTTTTTCAGTCTATTCAATATTTGGTATTTTTCTCCGTTCATGGTTTGATGATCGATGCAAAATCCAACAAAACAATTTGATATATTTCTATTTATTTCATCAATCTTTTTCAAAAAATCTTTTTTTTTTTTTTTCGTTGATCAACAATATCATTGATCACCATCAATGATATTGCTTACAAATCATCATCATGATCATCATTATTGATTTTGATATCTAATTGCCCTTGCAATTGAACAACAACAACAACAACAACAACAACGACGACGACGACGACAACGAATCATTGGGATTATTCAACAAACAAACATATTCAACAACATGTCATTGATTGTGGTTAGATTTTCTCAGTGAAAACGACAAATAATAATATAAACATGACATTTTCATCTCATTTTCATTCAATTCTCTCTCTTTTTCTTTTGCTAGATAAACACATTGATGATGAAAACTTTTATATATGTGTTTTGGGTGTTAGGTGCAATTTAATCAAATTTCACAAATCATAAACACTATTCATGGTTAGGGTGGAGGTTTCTTTTTTTTCTGATGGTGGTGGTGGTGGTGGTGCTGGTGGTTGAAATATAATTTTCAAATTAAAATAAATAAATAAGGATATATTAGATTTTTGTTTTTTTTTCGTCAAATGAAAGTAAAATTAGTTAAAGATGTCAATTTCTAAATGTGGCAGTTGACAAGAATTTATTATATATTCGTATATTCCTGTTGTTCCAGTTTAAATTATTGGTTTTTTTTCTGTATTGTTCACGATTCTTTCTATTCATGTATGCATGTTATTCATTTCATTTCATTTTATTCCATCAATTGAAATCTTGGATCACGTTTTACATTATAATGTTCAGGCATTTGCATAGTTGATGTTGATTTACTCAATTCTTTTGCAAACGATGTATAGATATGTGACTAGTATATATGTGGGGTATGAAAAAGAAAAAAAAATCGTTACTGATCAATTTGAATTTGCATATATATATCGAATAATATAATAATAAACCTTTTCCAGATTATTTTTCATCTCTTCCAATTCATGATGAAGATTTAGACAACGTTTCTGTGATTGTCCCAATTGTTCATTAACATCTTGATATTGTCGTTGTGATGCTTGCAATTCAAGCGATATATCCTATATAAAAATTTGAAAATAAAAATCCTATGATGATCAATCGGTTTTTCTTTTTTATTTTTCTTTTCTTTTTTTGCACTTACCGAAACTTGTTTCGCTTGTTTACGTAATTGTTTTTGCAAATCATTCAACTGACGATCTTGATCTTCAATAGTAATCATTAGATCGGTTACTTCACGATCCGTTTTACCCTTCAACACTGCCTGTTCTTGTTTGATTTTATTAGCCGATTCATTTAGATCCAAACGTACTAGTTCAACTTCTTTCAATAATTCATTGCTGTTTTCGAGAAAGAAAGAAAGAAAGAAAGTGAAAACAAATCAACTTAGTGTATTTTGAGCTATATTTGGGTTTTCTTCATATAGAATTGTTATTTGGTCAAAAAGCATCAACAAACAACAACGACAACAACAACAACAACAAAAACAACAACAAAATCATAATCTCTTCATTGGAAAGACATCGCAATAATAATAATAATAACTGGTAATGAACTCATTTTCATTGGAAAAAAACAAGAGAGATAGAGAGAGATAGAAAAATTTCCATGAAGAATGAATTTGGATTTTAAGTTTTGGGCTGAATTTTGTTAGCATAGAGATTAAAATTCCATATATGAAGATTATGTTTTGAATTTGATTTTTTTCATTGATAATGATGTCAATTTTTTTTTCTTCAGAATCCAGAAAAAAAAAAAAATTTTGACTCAATTATCAATAATCATAATTCATGGATGATTTTTTTTTTTTTTTTTTGAAAAATCATAAATGAAATTTGACTTTTTGCCAAGTTTTTGGGAATCACAAAATATTTCGACTCAAATTCTGGCCTAGAAATAACGAATGAGTATAATTGTTTTTTTTTTTCATTTTGACAGAATTGATGATGAAAAAAAATGATTGCAATGACAGCAATGAATGAGAGAGAGAAAAAAGATCTAAGAAAAATTACATAACACATAAATAAAATGAGTAGAGAAAACATATTGCCGATTGATAGTACCGTTACTAATACAGAATGACTGATTCTGTTGCTAAAGAATTTATTTTTTTTTTGCTATTCTAAAATTTCATTAAATTTTCATGTTGTTAGAAATAGAGAAAAAAAATCAACTAACAAACTATTCTATATTCTCCGTCTTCATTCATTGATGATGTTAAAAACAACAGTCGACCTCGATGATGATGATGATGATGATGAAAAATGAAATAAACATTACCATCATCATCATATTCTTCGTTGTCGTTTTATTTTTGGAATCACATTTCCGAGCAAAACAAATATGAAGAAGTGGAGAAATTTTTTTTTCAAAAGAATTATTCATCTTAGAATTCTTGGCTAAATTATTGAATTTTTCTGGTTTTTTTTTCGTTTTAATTTTATTCAGTTAGTTTCATAGCAATAATATTTTTTTTTATCTGCTGTCATCAATAGTAGTTGTATCGGTTTCGTTTTTTTTCTGTCGTTTCATTTGGTCCAATCTTGAATGGTTTATAATCATCATCATCTTATAGAAACACACACACACACACATAGAGAAAAATTGATTTATATGAGACCAGAGAGAGAGAGAGATAGAGAAAATAGTGTGACAGTTTAATTGAGCACGAGAATTTCATATTTTTTGAAAATAATATTTGTATGTGACAAGAATTTGCGTTTCAATTTGTAAATTGTATCTGTTTTTTTTGATCTGAATTATAGAATGATTTGGTTGATTAATCAATAGCTTAGCTTTCATGTTATCACTTAATTCGTAATCGTTGATGAACAGGAAATTTGTTGAAAAATTCATAATTTTATTTGTTGTAATTGTTGTTGTTGTCGTCGTGTAAGAAAGCGGAAGCTATTTTCTGTTTTGAAATTCAAAAATCAACAGAAAAAATTTGAAAATTTTAAACAAGCATCATTGCTTTGAATAGCTGTGCAGGATAAAGATCATTTTGAACTTTTCGCAATGAATTTTTATACCATCGTTCCATCCAGAATGAATCACGTGGTTTACCAACATCATCGTTTAATGTTGACATTTCATATGATGATTGTCGTGTATAATAAGCTGATTCCGGTCGTCTTGACATTGATCGTCGTGATGCGGATCGTCGTAGACGGCTATCTTCTAGCTCTGAATTCAAACGATCCAATTGACGTGATGAATAATATGAATCGAATGATGGCGATGATGCCAATGCAGCTGAATGTGCACGTCGTTCACTACCTTCAAGATAACTATTAACACGTTCTGTTGACAATGTTCGTGTTAATTCATTCGATAATGAATCATTTGCTGCCTGTGTACGTAAATTTCTTGCCACTGATTCACCCATCAATTGACTATCGGCAAAAGTTGATAATCCTAAATCAGGTCGATCACGACGAAAACTAGTACGAGCCAATGCTTCATTATATTTACGTTCAATTTCATCAACTGCATCCGAATACAATGAATTTCCATAACGATAATTATCGTTATAGATACTTGTATATGGTCGTTTCCAAACTTTTGGAGCAAATTTTGGTGCCATTTAAAACAATACACAATTTGATGATGAAATTATCAATGACAAAAAGAACGTACACTGAAATTTTAAATTTAAATTCTATATATCTAAACTTGACAACAACGGCAACAACAACAACAACAACAACAAGAAAAACTTTAACAAGGTTGTTTTTGAATGCTTCTCTTCGACGACGATTATTAAGATGAATTGTGTAGTCAAAAATGGTCGATACGATTTTTTTTTCTGCTATGAATTTTAGTATTTCTACGGAAATAAAATCAACACTTCATTATTAAGCATCTACACGCACAAACAAACAAAATTTTCACATAACAAAATGACGATAAATTTTGCTTTTACTTTTATTACTTGCTACCCACTAGATTATTATCACAACACAAACACACACGTTATATTATAGTGAATGAGAGAAGAAAAAAAAGTGAAAAAAAATTCAGCCAGAATATTAAAGTCAAGTGATTATAATGAATGACGTCTAAAACGACAAAAGAGAGAAAAGCAAATTCATTTTACTTTGAAAATCAAGACAAAACGGAAAAATATCACCTTGAGAATAAGAATATTTATATACATATATATTTCCCGAACGATTCTTCTGTTTTGTTTGCGGTTTTGTTTTGTTTCGTTGTTCTTGGCTTTGAACATCGGGCGTTTTATTTTCAACAACAACAACAACGATAGCATCAGAAATAAAGAATCACACGACGCTGTTTAAAGTTTTTTTTTTGACTGACGTCAAATATACTATGCTTCTACACTACACAACAACTGACATTAATTCTGTGTGTGTGTGGGTGTGAATGTTTGTTTTCTTGTGCAATAATAAAATAATCAAGTTATCTGGATTATCCTCTTAAGAAGAAAAAAAGGGTTAGTAAGAAGATTCATCACCAATCATCATCATTATTATTATGGTTGTTCAATTTTTTTTTCTCTTTGTTAATTTTACGGATGTAAGCATAAAACCAACGAAAAAATCGCCATAGTCATATATTGGAATTTGTACTTGTTGGCAGACAAACAGACATTCAATTGATCAATGGATGCTTAGTTTAGCAGAAATTATGATTTATCTTTCTTTCGTCATGTTTAGATTAGAACATAATGCAATGCACCACAATACGCACAATGACAATTGATGATATGAATTGAGATTCAATTAACTTGAATGTTTGTTGACATTAATCAACAAAAAGACTGACTTACTGACAGAATCGATCTGATGATAAACATCACACATATAATCAAAAAACACAAACTTCAAAGTATTATAAGAATATCTATCCAAATTCGGAAGTGATGATATTATTGTACGTGTGTGTGTGTGTGTGAAAGTGATTCTCTATTGTTTTGTTGTTTTTTTTGTGTTGAAGAATTGATGACTCTATTTTAATCACATAATAATAATCTAGATTCTAGATTCTAGATTGCCGATGATGATGATGATGATGTTTGCGTATTTTTCTTTGTTTATGACATTTTATTTTGACAAGCAAAAAACAAACGAACCTTGAAGAATAGCAATAGTTATATCACATACACACACACACACACATATTTATATGTGTGTCATTCATATATGTATGTATGTGTGTGATTCGGTAAATTCTATAAAGTCAAAAAGTCGAATCATCCTTTTTGTTTCATTGTTTTTGTCATGTGTATAAGATGATAAGATTTGTTCGTTTCAATTGAACAAACATCATACAACAAATCAAAGGGAATTGTGAAGAAAAAAAAACGATTCAGAAATTTTTCATTTTTTTTTGCCGAAAAAAAAGGATCAATAAATGACAAACATTTCAGCCGGAAATTACATCATCAACATCATATAGGATCATCAGTGTTTTCCAGCATTTTCGTATTTTTTTTTTTTTTTTTTTTTTTTTGATATTAGAAAAAAAACATATTTGCCTGATTTGAAATTTTGTTTGTTTGTTTGTTTGTTTGAAAACATAATAATCTATACAAGATCAAATCAAATATTTACAAATTGGCACTTATTTTTTTTTTTTTCTTCTTTGATTTTGTTTTGTTTTTGTTTCTTATCATTATAAATGACTTGATGACTGGTCTGGCTGTTGTTCAAAAAAAAAAAATTTTTTTTTTCAATTTCAAATATATATATATATGTTATCGATCAATCGATTGATCGATCAATGATTTGGAGAATAATCATCGATCATAGTCCTATATATCTTAATCATAATCACTTGTGATGATCATTGCTCAATTTCATCATTATTGATAATATGGTTCGATGTAATTCGAGGTCTGCGAATGAGAGAGAGAAAAAAAATGAAATGTTTATGGGGTATATAAATGTGGATTTTTTGGACAAAATTTTCATTCATTCAAATCGACAAATACTTCAAACACACACACACACACACACGAGCACAAAAAGTGAACAAATAAAAAAAAAGACTAATAATCAACTTTGTTTTCTCTTTTACAATCTCCAATGCCAATTTAGATCTGAACAAAAAAAAAAAAAAAATTCATCATCTTTATCATCAAATTTTTTTTTCAATTATCAAATCTCGAAAAAAAATCAACAATTTCACATCCACCATAATAATAAAAAATGCTTGAATTAATACAATCATTAATGAATACGGTGACTACCGGTGTATCACCACCACCACCACCATCATCATCATCATCATCATCATCATCATCATCATCATCATCATCATCATCTGATGTTTGGAGTCTTGCCAAATCAAGCATATGGCCATTGGATCAAACAAAATCAGCAATCAAATCAAAACAATCATCGAATGATGAAAAATATTCAAATCTACCTGAATATACATTAGCTCAAGTATCAGAACATTGGCAAACAAATGATTGTTGGGTAGTCGTTGAAGATCTTGTTTATGATATAACCGAATTTTTAGATGAACATCCCGGTGGACAATATATTGTTATGGAACATGCTGGACGTGATGCTACATTAGTATTTCGTGGTAGTCGTCATAGTCAAGATGCATATGATATGCTTGATAAATATCTTATTGGAATACTAATTGAGGTAAATTAATCATTTGATGATATTATTTTTTTTTTGTATTTGAAATTTTTTTATTAATTAAAACTTTTTTTTATGATTCACAATAGAATGAACGTGTTTATTGGAGCCGTAGCCGTTCGAATACGAATGATAGTAACAGTAGTAGTATATATGGAAGTTCACCACAACCTTCAAAAGGTTTATAGCCCATAAAAACGATGGACGAATAATAAATTATTTGTATTCACTATACAACAATCGTGCTATTATTATTATCATTCAGGTTCGAATTAAAATCATCAAACATCATCATGTCAAATATTCAACATTATCATTTGTTTCATTTTTCTGTATTTAATAAACACACACACACACACATACACATTTAATTCAAATCAAACATGAAAAAGAATTATTGTCATTATTATCATTCAAGTTTTTTTTTGAAAAAAATAAGAATATTCCATAAATTCCTATATTTTAATCTCATTTGTGTGTCGTAAATTTATTTTCAAAATTCAGAAAAAAAGACAGTTAATGAACCATGTAAAAAAAATAATAATAACGCCAGAATGAAAATATTTTGAAATAAAAAAAAACTCGAAAACATTATCAATTCAATGTGATGATGTTTTCTTTTCTTTAAATGGTTAAATTATTCAGAAATTGTAAACGACAAATGATCGATTTTTATTACAAATACACATTCACATTCATCATTATTTTCTCTCTATTTACAAGTAAAATATTTTATGACACAAAACAGATTGTCTTGTGTTTGGTGAATCTGAATCCAAAAAAAAAAAAAAATACCACCGTTAAAAGAGAATAAAATATTGATGAATATTCCGGATACAGAAATAAAATTCATTCAAAATTGGAGAATTTTTTTTTCAATAATTTATTCAAGAGATTCATTGAATTGATGAACCAGACATATTCTTTTTTTTTCATTCTTCTATTCATTTGAATCAAAACATTTTATCCATTAGAATGAATGGAAAAATGTTATCTAATTTTTTTCCCATTTCCGTATTCACTGTGACACTCAAAATGACAATATAAACAGATTCTTAGAATCTTGGCATTAAAGATAACCTTTTTTAACGAAAACTATTTTTAGAATTTTTTTTTCTATTATTATTATCGACTAAATGGATCATCATCAGATACATATATAACAACAGTAAATATTCTGTACATTATTTACTGGAAAACAATTTTTTTTTTAATTTTACAACCATTTCAGAAAACAAATACAGTATTGAAATGACACAATAACACATTCACACTTCCTTTCTGCCTTCTTTTTGTTTGGTCGGTATACAAAAATAATGTATTTTTACAGTTCAGGTGAAAATTCTAGTGAAGAAACAAAAAAATTTTTATCAGGACAATAGTGAATAAAATACAGAAAAAAAATTGTCTTGGGAAATCATTTTCCATTCTTATTATTATTTCTGTATATGGAAAAAAACAATGAATTTTTCTTTTTTTTTTTTTTAAAAATTCACCAACGACCTTGGTGATTTTTTATTTGACTTATCTTAGTTTTGTTGTTCGGATTTTTTTCACCAACGGAAATTGTTGCTGTTGCTGCTGCTGTTGTTGTTGTTGTTTATTTAGATCATGTCGTACAATGAATCCACCACCCAATGAATTATAGAATTGTTGATGATCTTGGCCAAAATCCGGTGGTGAACGTATTGGTCCATGATCCATTTGTTGATATTGTTGTTGTTGTTGTTGTCGTTTCATACTAATATTATCTTCATTCGATTTAAATGATTGTATTGATTCAGATGTTGTGGAACCAAATTCCGTGATACCATGTATATCACTATGACGTATTGATGTACGTACAATATTTGGATTAAACATTGCCAATTTTTTACTATAAACCGTTGTATCCATTGTATTGAGTGTTTTACCTTGATTATTTTTATATCTGTTTTTTCGATGTGGTGATGATGTATCTTTCCTTGGAACATATAATACTATATGAAATGAAATGGATTTAATTATTGATTAATTCATTCGATTGATTAATTATAAACTTACAATAGATTGAAAAGAAAATAAATATCGACAACATAATGACGAAACCAATCCATACAATAAATGTTAATGATGATTGATTTTGTTTTGTTTCCCAAACATTAATATTCATGGATGGATATGTTCCTAAACCACCGATATGTACAAATGTTTCATTGTGATCTGAATCACAGTTCTTTGTACCATTGATTGTTAGATGACAATTTTGATCACCATATTCATCATGATCATCATCATTTTGACCAAAAGCCATTGTTATTATCATGATCATCATCATTATGGAGAAATTTCTCACAAAATTTGGTCTTTGTTTGTTCATGAATTCGTTACAAATTCGAATATCGAATCTATTGATCAAATTGATTCGATTTTAAGCTATTTCAATACAACAACAATCAACAATTACTAAAACCAAAAATGGATAAATCAATTTTTTTTTTTGTTTGTTTGGAATTTCAATTTTCATTCATCCGAATTTTATTAATAATTCCAATCGTGTACGTTCTATTTTATTGTTGATCAAAAAAAAAAAATGTGAACAGAATATTTTTGTTCTTTCTTAACCCGATAAAAATATAAGAAAAAATTCACAGTGAAAAGTTGAAGAATTTCATTGAAAACATCATCGTCTACAACCAATATTGATAATCATTAGGCTATTTCGACAAACAAAAACAAACAACAAAAAAAACCAGAAGAAATATTGAATCAAAACATAAATAAAACGATACATTAACAATGCACAACAGTAGCGCCGTGTTTTGCAATTTAATTAGATTGTTGTGCTAAGAGAATCAGTCAAGAATTGAATTTTCAAGAAAAAATTTTTTCTCACCATATATCACGATTCCATTCGAGATATATGCGAATGAAATGATGATATCGACTGTTCATTGTTTTTTTCTTTCAATTCAATTGTATACAATGCAGGCACTTTATTTATTTATTTACTGTAAAATATGAATGGTTTCGTTATAAATAAAATAAATGTACAACATAATAATAGAATATTATCATTATCAATGGAATCGGTGACAATAGTGAACAAGTGAACTTATCACTAGCATTATGATGATGATGGTTCATAATTAATTTATTGTTTTCTTCATTATTCTCAAGTGAACAATCAACATCATCATCATCATCATCATCATAATGATTCTTATTATTGCCATAATTATGTTCTATATTCATATTTTGTTCATGTTTAGCCATCAATAGAAATTCTTGTAACATTTTGGTAGAATTATTATTGTTGTTATTGTTGTTCAAAAAATCGTTGTCGAATAAAGTTTGCATTTCACCATTTGAATATGACATTAAATTTGGCCAAATATCAAAATGTTCACAGAATCCGGTCGATATTGGTTGTGCCGGCAATCCACGTCTAAATTGAATTAAAAAAAATAATCACAGAATACGGTAATTGCATTTGACAAATTGGATAAACATTTTGTTTGCAAAAAAAAAAAAAAAATGAAAACCTACGCTAACATACGGCAACGATGACCATCCAAACGATGATGAACAATAACATCATCATCATAATTAGAATTGTCATTCATATGACTCCAAAGTCTTTCTGCCATAGCTGAAGCTCTTGGCCTAAATTATGAATAAATTAAATCAAATAGAAAAAAAAATTAAATTTAAATTGATTGATCATTTTATTGTTGTTGACATTGTGTAATTCGTAGTATATTCGACCTACCAAGTTCTGGACATAAAATTTGTTTGATCAATATATTCACCCCAAATACAGGCTTCACCACCGATTACATATTTTTGTTTTTGTTGTTCATCAAATCCATCGAAATCATGTGGATCACAATCATAGATTTGTTTCCAATCTTGTCCATATTGTATTAGATTCAGGAAATAACATGACGATAAAATGACCGTATGATTGAAACGTAATAATTTTTGTACATGAAATTGCCAATCACGTGGATCATCATCCAATAATCGGTGATCTTTCCACACCTGTACAATAGTTCCAGCCGGAATTGGAATATCTTTATCGAATGGATCTTGCCATATGATTGGTTTTGATTTCAATTTTGTAGTTATGTTAATCATACGTTCCAGATGATATTGTTCAAGTTTTTCAAATGAATGCATTCGATTTGCGCCCATAAATTGTCGAATATTCGGATCATTTGACCAACATTCATAAGAAACATCGTCCATACCTAATCAATAATAATCGATTAATAATTAATCAAATCCTAATACATCTTAAATTGATAATAACAAACAAACCTAAATGTATTCGATTCGATGGAAATAAATGATGCATTTCATTGAGAATTTGTTCCAAAATTTCATATGTTAATTCACAACTTGGATTGATGATGTTTGAGTGAATTTTTTGGCTACTACTGGGATTATTTAATGTTTCCATTGCAGCAGCAGCTGCTGCTGCTGCTGCTGCTACCGGGATATTATTACATCCGGACATTATTGCTTCATCAGGGGGGAAAAAAACATTGACGTTATTATTAATGCTGATAATATTAAGTTGATGTCAAAAACAGAGTGACCATTTAGTTTTTAATGGTTTTACTAAATTTTTAACAAATCAGCCATTTGCAAAAAAAAAAAAAAATATGTATCTAAACGCATTAATTAACAACATCATCATTATTTAAAAAATTATCAAAATGGACACAAAAAAAAACTTTGGTGTATAGTTTCAAATTAACCAAGTATCAATATTGTGCACATTTTTTTCTGTAAAAAAAATTTTTCTAAACTTTTTCATTCACTACTACAGGGATAATATTATACACTGACCATTATATTGTAACTTTGTCACATTTAAAACATTAACGTTAATTATTATTATTATTATTATTTTACCCGGAAAAACTTTTGCTAATGAATGACCATGTGCTGGTGTATTTAATTCGACAATCACTTGTATACCACGTATTCTTGCCTGTTTGATTATATTCTGTATATCATGTTTAGTATATACATGTCGATTGCTATATGATGCCTGAAAAAAAAGAGAATCAAACCAAAAAAAAAAAAATTTACGACATCATTATTCAATCACGGTATGGGATGTCAAATTATTAAATGCAAACACACATACTAAACACACAATACATACCAAACGTGAAATATTTGGAAACAAATCGCTTTTAAATGGAAATGATTGATCATCATTGATATGCCAATGTAGAATATTCAATTTATTATATGCCATTGCATCCTTATTCATAGTAGATGATATTAATTATCGGATTAGTATGTAATTATGTTGTCAAGATTCATAATTATTACCAGATTCTGTAATATTATCCATAATGGAAGATAATGTCTGGCCGTATCAATCATTATTGAACGATAACGAAATCTTGGCCTATCCCAAACTTGAACCACATCAATTACGATCATACAATTCTGTTTATCCATATAGAATAATTGACTAAATGTTTCCAATGCTCGAATCATGCCCCATATTGTTTTCGATGCGATTCGACATTTTCCATTTTCAGCTTCAACTTTAATCTCATAACTTTCATCATGATTTGTTGATGATGCATTGGTGGTGGTGATGGTGTCATCGACAAATTCAGGATATTGATCACAATCAATTCGATCGATATGGATTTCAATTTTATTTAAAAATTTTCTATCATCATTCATCATCATCATTGTTTCTGTTTGACAATTTCGATCATTATTCACAACATATTTATTATGTTCAATCATATTATTGATCAAATAACGATATTTATTCAGATTATAATCAATGATATCACATTTCTTTAATTGTTTTCTATTTTTTTCATCATCATTATTCAATTCAAAATTAATCGGTAATCGAATACGATATGGTTGATGATTTTTATCAATCAGATAACGTTCCGGTTCTGGCCATAATAAAGGTCCGGATAATGTTGGCTCCTTATTTACAAACATGTATAACGAAAATGATAAAAATAAATCTGATCAGATTTGAAATTCTCAAAGATTATCATATATAATCATCATACCAATAATGGATATTTTGGATTAACTGAAACAAGATGACATTTTATTGTCGGTAGTAATAATAATAATAATAATAACGTCGTTATCATTACCATCACATTGTAATTGTAATGGTAATGTCCATTGTCGTCATCGTCGTTATCGTTGTCGTTACCGTTGTTCATTTCCATTCTTTGTATAATAAATTTTCAAATTGAATAAATTTATTACTGAAAAACATTCTACATTTAAATAAAAAAAACGTTTATATATATGACAGAGATTAAAATTTGGACACACACACACACACAATAAAATTGTAGAATAACCGGAAGAACAATTGGTGAATTTGGAATTTCGGTTATATAATAATAATGGAATTTTGTTTGCCAGGCGAATAATAAAAAAAAAGAGAATAGGCCCACTATTTGTGTTTTGGTTGGTTTTTTTTTATTATTAAGTCTGTTGTTTTCTATTCACACACACACACAGAGAGAGAGACACATTTTCCATTTCAAACTTTGTTTAGATTTTTTTTCATTCACTTGATCCATTGATGGTTTGTTTGGGTTGTTTGAAGAAAAAAACACACACATGCACACACACACACAAAAAACAAACATTCGATATCTTTTCTTTTTTTTTTTTTTTTTTGTTGAGTGCTAATTACTTTTGTGGCCGCTTTGTGGCTGTGAAATTTTGTTACAAAACAACAAACACTTAACAGGAAAAAAAAATTTAATGCACACAAGAATTTTTCCGATTATTGGAAAATTTTTTTTTTCTATCAAATGATCAAAAAAAAATTCCAATCATCAATCGGGTCAATCACTGATGTTGTATGTGTGTATTGAAATTGATGAATGATGATTTGTTGGAATCCATGGAATTTTTTTTTTTTTATTCTTTCATTCATGGAAATTTGCCAATTGCAGATATATTAGTAGTGTGGATATATTGTATAGTATAATAGTCCATCGAATTGAATGACCATGATCATGGGTGCTTGTTAGCATCAACAATAAAAAAAACAGCACTTGATTGAAATAATAGAAAAACCAATGTAAGAGAGTGAACAATTCATATAACCTGTTGTTTGTTGTTGTTGTTGTGGTCTAATGATTATCCTCCTCGTCATCATCATCATCATAATCATTATTCATGCATCGTTAACTATTGGCCTTCCCTTTCTTTCTCTTTATTACAAATGTTTATGTGCTGGTCAGTCTGATTTTTTTTCCTTTATTGAATTAGAAATAATATAATAATGAACATCCAACATGATGTAACATTACATTCACTCAAATCATATCAATCACAATTCAAGGTTTTAATCGATACGAAGCTCCACAGAGAAGCATCATGAACGATATTGATTCTCTCTCTCTCTCTCTCGGCTATTCTAACAGAATCATATATATGAATTTTAATTTTCTTTATATTTCATTTTGTCGTTGCAATTCAATTCAGATGACGTTTTGTTCATTTTCTAAATTGTTTTTTTTTTCACTTCTGTCTGTCTGTCTGTTTTAGGATTACTTATGTTCATCATATGATGATGATGATGATGATGACAATTTTTTTTTTAGTTGAAATCTAAATTTCAATTTTTTTTTCTACTTTTAAATCTTGAACAACATATCATTATTTTTTTCCCCGAAAACAAACAAAATCATTGCCAACTTTTTTTCATTTTGTTTTCGTTTTGTTTTCACAACCAAACTTTGTGGTCAATTCTTTCTTGTTTCTTATCAAAACAACAACAACAACAACAAATAGTTTTGACAATGAAATCGATCGATTGTTTTCGAATGCTAATGGCAATGCGTTTTATATCGATCATCATCATTAACGATCGATATAATATAATAATTATGTTTTTTCAAATGAATGTGTTTTGTTTTTTTATTAATTTAAACAAACAAACAGAACACAAATTATAGGATTGAAAACAAGCCTTGTTAATTCAATTCATTCATTCATTCATTCATTCATCGTTAATTTGTCACGAAAAAATTTGTTTCTCTTTTTTATCATCCATTGTGATGACATTTTGTCATCATCATCATCATCATGGCAGTTTTTAATAGACACAACAAATTGCAAAGGAAAAAAAACACATTGTTTAACTATATATAATAATAAGTGAAATTAATCCACACACACACACACACACACACTGATGATGTTGAAACAAAACAAGAAAGTTTTTTTTTCTACTTTTCTGAATCTTTAAATACATAGACAAATACAAACACACACACGCACACACAGATGCATCGTTGATGAAAATGAATTTCGTTCTTATAGTCTCATATTTCATTGTTCAGCAAGAGAGTAAAAGAGAAAGAGAAAAAAAACATAATTTCAAAATCCATAGAATGTTATGGATTCTGAAATTCTTGGTCCATATAATAATAATAATAATAATAAAATGTGAGAATATGCTCCAGAGGATTTTCATTCATGTTCATCGTCAATGATTGTATGACAGACAAACATAGGCAAACAAATTGGTAGATAAATTCGTTAATAGATTAGAAAATATATATATTGTCACACAAAAATAAAGGATCATCAAATCCGTATAACTAACGATATATATAATCAAATTAAATTTATTCTACTACCTGATCATCAGTGTTTATTCTGTGTAGACAACTAATTTTGTTCATTAAACAACTACAAAAGATTATCATATGAAGAAAATAATGGAAAAGAATCCCCTTAAACAAAAAGGAAACTCACAATCAATATAATATACAATGAGACCAGAAAAACTGTCGAATAATTCAAATGATAATTCATTGTTACATCTGACGACATTTTTTTTTTTTTTTGACAAACATGGTGATAGAATATTCTTAACGAATATTGATTAACTATAATAAAACGATGTTGACTTTTTTTTTGCTTTTACTGTATTGATTTACAATTTTTAAATACCACATCAACAGAACTTGAATTACAATTACAAAATTTTTTTTTTATTTGGCTCCATAGAGATGTAATATTTGTTGTTGAAAAATTTATTCAAAAAAAAATCATGTCAAATATTTTTCCCATATGCAAATCAATTACCGTTACATGCACACACACACACACTTATTCAGATTCAGAGTATGTTTGTAATTTTGTTCTATTCCAAGAAAACATTCGTTACATTGTAATAAATGTATATGGATCGATGTTATTTTACAAAATGTCGATCAAATCAATCATTACGTCATTCAAAAAAAAAAAATGAGATGCTGATCCATGATAATGGCAAGTTATTTTTATCAATCAAATCAATCTAAATTTTTTTTTCTATGCCCTATATAATGTGGATAATAAATTTATTTTAATTGAATTGAATTGAATCGGATTCAATCCATTGAATCCAATAGCATGGAGTATTAATAATAAACGAATATTTCAACGAATTTGACAATGATTTTAATTGAATTGATCATTCTCCATATATAATCATTTCATTGTTATCGAGCAAGAGAGAGAGAGAGAGAGAGAGAAAATTCATGTGAAAAGAAAACCATGTTAATTATTCATGTGAATAAATTAATAAATATATGAACCATGATCATCATCATCATCATCATCATCAACCAATATTTTTTGAAACACGAGAAAAAAAAAAATATCTATTTGGCCTGTTGATGATAAGAACAAGAACAAATTCATATTGGACAACAATCAAAAAGTGTGTGTGTGTGTGTGTGTGTGTGTATGATGTATGTATATGACAGTTTGTATTTTATTTATTTATTTATATCTAATATATTTAAGAAAATTAAATCTAACAATTTTGTTTTGCCATTTCTTTTGATCAGAAAAAATTATGAACAACGAACAATAAGGCCACATCACAGCATAGACCAACTTTGTTCCAAATGTTGTTGTTGTTGTCGTCGTCGTTGTTGTTTTTTCTCCAATGTCATCTTGCATCCTGCACACACTAACACCGAAAGACAGAAATGTCATCAAACAAATGTTGTACATAAATTTGATTGTGTAAAAAACAAAAATGAAAACAAAACGAAAAGAAAAAAACATTTTTCATCCACGAATGGTTGATAACATAACACTGTAGATTTTTTATTCTCTGTTTGTGTCTATTTATGTGTGTGTGTGTGTGTGTACCAGCTTCCATTTACGATTCGGAACTTCTCTACTCATCTTTTTAAAAAATAAAAAAAAATTCAATTTCAGTTTGTTTTTGTTGAATTTTTCTTTTTCTCTTTCCCTCTTCATTATCATATCTTAGATTTCAACAAAAACACACACACACACACACACACTTTTACCTATCTCATGTCTTGTGTTGTTTTCAATTTCATTTGCAAACAAAGAACAAAAAAAATTATCTACTCAAAAGACAATCTATTCTTGAACATGAATTTAATTCAACTTTTTCAAATCCAAAAAAATGATACTGTACCGCTTTATCACATAAATGATGATCAAAAAATTCTGATTTTTTAATATTAAAATTTTTTTTCAAAATTTAACCAGAATAAAGAAAAAAAAATTTAATTTCAATTTTTTTTTCTTTTTTGGCTAGGGCATTTTTAAGTTAAATTTCTCTCTATTTGGTTTCTCTCTCGGTGGCAAATATTTGATTTGTTTGAATGCCAAAATAATATGGTGGCCTTGTCCATATCTGTCAACACACACACACACACACACACACACACAGATGAAAAACAATTTTTCAAGAAACAAAATCAAACATTGACATTATTATCTGAACCACAACAACAACAAAATCATCAATACAATCCCCCGGATAAAGAATTTTCAAACAAAAATAGAATCGATCAGATCATCAATGTTACAAAAAAAAATCTGGAAAAAAAATCTCTGCATCTTTTTTTTCAACTTAAAAAAAAGACAATTTTCAATTCTATCAAACTGCTGTCTTGAGACTGATTGTTGAAGTTAGAAAAAAAATGTCACGTTCAAATACGGTTTGTTTTATTTTTTTTTTTTTATTTTCTCTGAATGTTAACTGTCGTTTGATATTTCAGAATTAAAGTCATACTACTACTACTACTGTGTATTGTTATTGCTATTTGATTATTCTACATTTTTATGATCTATATTCTCATACTCAATCGAACGAATACGAAGTTCATATCTCAAGGGATTGATTTGAATCAACAAAAAAAAGTCATTTCAAATGACAAAAAGACAATGATGATGGTAAAAATTGTTTCCAAATTGTTCTCAATATTCATTCGTTTGATGATGATGACATTTGTAAATTCAAAAAAGAAATCCATTGAAAAAAAAACAGCAGCAGCAGCAGCTGTTTATATTCGGTAATCCGGTATGTTGTTTTTTTTCCATCATCATCATACATTTAACCGACCAAATAATTCAAGTCAGTATCAGTATAAGAATTTTTATAAGAAAGAAAATGATTATTATTACAATTACAATGACAATGAAAATGATCATCATGATCATTATTATGATAATGATGATAATAACAGCAAAAAATAAGTTGTTGTTGTTGTTGTTTTATGTTCTAGTTCCAAAATGAAATGAAAATTTTCTCATTTACCAATTCAATTTTTGTTTTTGGAACGAAAAACCAAAACCAAAAAATCCAAATGGTCCACGATGATGATGATGAAACAGAAATATATTGTGGCCATTTCGAGGAGAATATATCAATCCATTAAAACACAGTGACTGGAAGAAAAATAAATAAAAGATTTCAAAACGTTTTACGAAACAGATCCACCGAAACATTGAAATCGGATAATAATAAACACACATTGACAATACATACGAATGATAAATTAACTTTTACACATCGTACAAAGTTAGTGAACTTCATTTCGATATAATTATCAACAGATTCATCTGGTTAATAAAAAAAAATCTGAATCCAGTCGAGGATGTAATAATTTGAAATGAAGTCTGTGTGTGTGTGTGTGCGTAAGAGAAAAAAGAAAAATATAATCAAAAAAAAAAGTTGATAGGATACACGATTATTTGCCAATTCATTGCACGATAGATTTTCATTTTGATTTTCGGGTTAATTTCGGATTCGTGAGTAATGAAATCTGGTTATTGTCGTACATAGTGGTACCAATTGATTTAATAAATTTCTCATTGTCATCGTAAAAAAAAGTGAACCAATAGAATCGAATGTTTGAACAACAACAACAACAACAACAAAAAAACTGTGAATGTGAATAGAATCATAACATTTTCTTTTTTTTTATTCTTGCGTCATTAAAATTTATATAATATTTATAGATTTGCAAATAATGATAATTGGATTATTATTTTATTTTTTTTTTTTTCAAAGAAAATTTGTTGTTTTCCTTATTGTCAATATGTATGTAAACATTTTGAATGATTTGAATTGCCAATTGTACATGGTGGAATTGATGATGATTTTGTTGTTAAACATGATTTTGATTGACAATTCATTGATGTTGTTGGCCACAAAGCTCTTTTCGATGATTGATGATATTGATGACAGAATGATGTTGGCAAAAGATTTGTTGATCTTTGATTGTAAATATCATCATGATCGATAGCAGAATGAACAATGTTATTATTATTATCATCATCATCATCATCATCATTCAATCATATCACTACAATCTTTAATATTACTATCATCATCATCATCATCATCATCGTAAATATTATCATCAATGACTATTGAATAATCACTATTTTGATTATTATTATTAGAATGATTATCACGTTTACAATTATCATCATTATTATAATCTTGTTTTTGGAATTTTTGTAAATAATGTAATTGTTGTTGATGTGAATCAAGCGATAGATTACGAGGAATCAAGATCATTGTTCATCTTTGTATTCATCATCATTATTGATTCTGATGATGATCGTTGTTGTTGTGGACGATATAATAATGGTGGTTGACATGGTTTTGGATAATCATTGATCATTATTGTAGAAGGATTATTATTATTATTATTATTATTAGGCTTTAATGATGATCCATTAATTGATGGCATATGTTTCATACAGGCACTGCTGTTGGGCATGATCATCATTTGTTTAGTAATAAAAGTATTTAATCTTGATGATGATATATTCGATGATGATGATGGTGATGAACATTGATTATCATTATTATTATTATGATGATGATGATGATGTCGATTATTCATTGAGATTGATGCCGATTTTTTCGACGATACCGATGATGGTCGGTTATTATTATTATTATTATTATTGATAAAAACAAAATTGATTGATGAATGATCAATGTTTTCTTGGTTATTATTAGTTTTGTTGTCTTTTCCAAATGGTTCTGGTACATAACAATATTGTTGTTGATGTTTCATTGTCATCATTGTCATTGGTATCATTGTTGATGATGTTTGTGGTGATGATGATGATCGATCACTAACACGATTATTTCTACCATTATTACGATTCAATTTTTTTGTTGTTGCTGTTGTTGTTACCGTTGTTATTGTTTTTGTTGGCTGTTTAATTTGTATAGAATTTTCACGATATTTATCATTCAATTTGGATTTTTTTGATTTTTGTTTTGACACAGACGATTGATTATCACAACAACAACAACAACAACAGCAACAATCTGAACAACAACAATCAGAACATGATGATCGAAATAATGATAATGAACATAAACAACGATAAAACATTCTTATGAAAATAATTAATAATAGAACGGCAAACATTTGAGCAACAGGAAGTATAACAACCAATATAACAGTCAATGTACCACTATCTTCACCTGAATCCACTGGTTTAGCACCGATATGGCCACGATTTCCTTTCGATGATATAGCCACACCTCTACCACCAACAGCCCAAACTGATCGAATTTGTACAGATGATGATATAAGTATAATCTTAATGAACAACATGATTATTCTATTTACAAATGAATATTCATTATAATGATGATGATGATTTGTATGTTTAGAATGTTTCCATCGATGGTTAATAGTGGCCGATATAAGTAATAATTGTCGATACACAAATCGAGTTATCATCATCATCATCACCATCATCATCATTTATATTTATACAATCAACCAACTAAGTAATCGATTGATTGATGATCACTGTGTTGATGACAATTATAAATGAAAAAAATTCAATTCATTCAATGACCATTTCGATAACCACACACATCATTATTATAAATATAGAACAAATTGTACAAATAACGGAAATGAACAGAAATAACACTATTTAATGCATTTTCATTACCGATTAAAATGGTTGACAACTAACTAATAGATTCAAAAGATGCTTTGTACATATAATATAATGGTCGACCATGACGGAAACAAATTTTTTCCGTTTCTTCTCTTTTTTTATTATACCAATGATGATGGTGGTGATTGTTAGTGAATGTTAGTTGACATAAAAAAAAAATTTCTGGAACTTTAAATCATCTTATCGACTCATGACAATGATGAAGATGATGATGATGATGTAATAACAGTGATGAAAAAATTGTTGTCACTGTGAAAACATTGACGAAATCTTGAATTCTTGAATTGCACACAGAATACATGTTTTGTTCAAATAATTAAAGATTAATTTTTTTTTCATTGATGAATAATTAATTTTTTTTTCAAAAATCCCAACAAAAAAAAGCTGAAATTGCACTATATATTTTCAAGATAAATAAAAACATCCTTCAATCATCACTATAAGTATAATCGAATCATACTGAATCAAGAGACGGACCGAATTTCATTGGGCAAGATTCTTAAGGCCACTAAATAATTGTAGCATCTGTGCATTTTTTTTCTCCAAAAAAAGAGAATTCCCAGAGAATTCGAATCCATAGAATTGCTAGCAGTCCAAGAATATCACACAACGGTAGCAACTATACTGCGCGTATTCAGAATTCGAATCGGAAAACTTTTTCTGCAACATTTTTTTTTTCATCAACAAAGAATTTTTCTCAGAAATTTCCTATTTTGTTTTTATTATTTTTTTTTGTTATTCACGTGTTGATGAATTTTGAATTGTTTTAGATGTTTTTGCTTTGAAATTTAATTTTGTTGTGTTGTCAAATTTAAATTTAAATTTACAATGTTGGTTGATGATGTTTTAAAATGCAGTTTTTCATCATGGTTTTCCATTCTTGGCCATCTATCCATCGAAAGGTTTGATAAATAATTTTTTGTTTTACTTTTTTCGAAATTGATCATTTATCAATAATCTGTTCATAGTGATATTATTGAAATTGATGATAAATTCCGCGAATATCTACTGTCAGATGGAATAATTCTTCCAGAATGGTAAGAATTTTTCTTTTGTTTTAGATTAATCTTATATGATTATATTGTTTAGTTGCAATTCTGAATCTTATCATGTGACAAATGGCAATGGACATAATCAAAATGGTCACAGTGATGATCATGATGACGATAATGGAATTGATTGGGATGATAACCATGATGATCCAAGTGATAATAATGAAGAAATAAATGTAATTGAATTTCCTCAGATCGAAAAACGAATACGAAGATCATTACGTCGATATGGAAATTTATTTCCCAAATTAAATTGGAGTTCATGTGAAGATGCAAGTTGGGTACAGGCTAACGGTACAAAATGTTCCGATTTAACCAGTGTTTTTCTGATGCTTAAAAGTTCGGACAAAATCGTTCATGATTTAACCGATCCGTATGTTTAATAATAACCTATCTTTATTTCGTTTGTACATGAAAGACTTAATTTGTTGTTCATTTCAGATTTGATCATTGTTCGGATTTCGATTGCCATAATCCACCTAAATTTCAATATCAACTAATACTACGAAAATGGATCAACATGAATCCTTCGATGGAATTCCGTTGTTTCATTGGCAATCAAACATTGTTGGCAATATGTCAACGTGATGTTCGTACATTTTATGAATACATTGGTTCGGAAAAATCACAAATCATTCAAGATATACAGAATTTTTTTGAAGAAAATATTCGTGGAAAATTTCCACTTGATAATTGTAATTTTTAATTTTAATGCTTTATTCGTTTTTTATTTCTCAAATTTATTTATTTATTATTTTATTTTAGTTGTCATTGATATTTTAAGACCAACGATCCAGACTATTCAATTGATCGATGTGAATGTTTTCGGTGAATTGACTGATTCATTGCTTTTCGATTGGGATGAACTTTTGGCCAATGCTTCAGCGGTTCAACGTGGAGATTCCATACCAGTGGTAAAATCAGCTAAAATCAATAAAATTATCTATTTATTTATTCATTCATTTATTCATAGGAATTTCGTTATATTGAAAATCGTTTCGGTGTTCAACGAGGACGATTCGAATTGAATTCATTACCATTAGATGTATTCAATGGTAATCTAACCAACTTATATGACGATAATTTAACAAATGTCAATAACAACGATAATGATGATGATCGATGATCGATGATTCGCAATTAATGATGGGCAATGAATGGTTGTTTACATTTTTGTTGATTATGAATATGATGATGATTATTATTAATAATAATGGAAAAGAAAAAATTTTCCATTATTAATAATATAACAATGGGTAGGTGGTGATGTGGTATACAATGCTTTAATTGCCCTATAGCTTTCAATTTTTTTTTTATTATTTATTTTTCGTGGTTATAGTAATAGTAATTATGATTATTTTTTTTAGGTGTGAAATTTATTGTCATTAAAAATGTCTATTTCATTACACGTGTATTTGGATATGGAAAATGATGATGGTGATTATGATGATGATGATGGAAGTGAAACCCCTTTGCACTGATCAAGGCAGCATTCGTTATTGCAATCAACCGATACAATCACATTTACATCGTGTGTGTGTGTGTGTGTGTGTATGTATGTGAATAATGAAAGCGATCGCCGATTAATTCAATCAACATTCATGTTTTTTTTTTCGTTTCATGACAATCTCTAATCATTTAAGATGTCGAACAAATTATCATCATTATAGTAGAACAAACACGCATACAATGAAATGAAAATTTTATGATTTGTTTCTTTCTTTTTCAACAACAACAACAAAAAAATTGTCAATTATGATGATGAAACAATAAAATGAAAGAGTAATTATATTTGCCAAATCAAATATATGTAAAAAAAAACATATTGTGTGATTACTGATAATTTTCTTGGTTTCTTGTGACTTTTTTTTTCTTTCATTGTATTTCTTTGTATTATGATGATCATCAACTGATGATCACAATTAACAATCATCATCATCATCATCATCATCAACAACAACAACAGCATCATTATGCGAATTGGCCAATTTGTTGCTGTTGCAGTTCATGTATGGAAAGACCAAATCAAACATTACAAACTAGCCAGGACAACCAATCACAAATACACACACACACACAAACATCGTGGGATGATAATAAGAAAATTTTTTTTATATTTTGTTTCTTTCTTACCTACAGGCAATAATATATTTGCAACGTTCGTGTGCTTTTTTTTACTTTATTTTTTTTTTTTTTTTTTTTTTTTTGATGATCTGATCATCATTATTTTGTGTGCTATTCCTCACATTCATTCATATCGATGCATTTTCATATTTATGGTCCAATTATTATTGGCCAGAATGTTGTTGATTCATCAATAATTTAATGAATTATTTAGAATCATTCGTTGTTGTTGTTGTTGTTATTGTGTTAAAACAAATGTGACAATGTTCCTCATTCACATGACATTTGTTGTTGTTATTTTCATATTTCATTTATTATTGCCAGTGTTTGGACAATTGAATTTCAACAATACTAATGATGGTAATTGAAATTATTTTAATTTAAAAAATTCCAATTCTATACTAATAGATGTCATATTAATCATAATATATATAATAGAAAAATGTAGTCTAAATTGTTATGAACCAAAAAATCATACACGAATATCATGTGAAAATGGTTTTTCATCATATCGATTGAAACGATCGAATCGTATTATACTTGAACATCCTGTTGGCAAACAAAATCTACCAAAATCTGTTGAACATCTTCGATGTTTAAAAACATTTAGTTGTCAACGTCCAACGGATAAACCACCGGCCACTTCAACGTTGACACCGTTTCCTCCAGATGGTATTTTAAATTTTTATGATTTCTTTGAATTATTTTTTTTTATTCAAATATTGATTTTTTTTAGAAATCGGTAATCATATTCAAGAAATCGATTCCATTTATGAACAAATCAAAAATGAATCCCAGTCAATAACACCGGATAAATTGGAAGAATTTTTATCCGATCTGACTGAGATAATCAAAAATATAACTATATCTAATGTTAATATGGCTAATTTAACATATTCATCATTATTGGTTGTCGATAATTTACTTGGCCGTTCAGAAACATGGTTGAATATGACCAATGTACAGCGATTAAAAAGTTCGGACAAAGTATTAAATCTTGCCGAAAATTTGGCGCTTTTAATGAATAAAAAACAAGAAGAAGAACCATTCGATGATCGTCCGATAGTCGTCATTGAATGTTCAAATGTTTTACTTCATTCAAAATATTCGACATTACAATCGAATCAATCATTGATGTATGAATTGAATAATACTCGACTTTCATTACCATCAATGAGTCTATCGAGTAATTCGACTGATAAAATTTCAATTTCATCAACGGCATCTCTCGTAAACAGTAAAAATCTCATATCACAAATTTGTGGAAACGATACGATGAACGAATTTCAACTATTAAACACGCCAATCGTTTCAATGGTCATTAATGATGATAATAAAACAGTTCATTTCCCTGAACCACATTATTTCAATCTGGAGTAAGTTATTTTTATGACCATCATTTTAATTTTTCACTGAATGAAATATATGAATAGAACAACGAATTATGATCGGCTAATATTTGGTGATAAACCTACATGTTATTATTGGAATATAACCGAAAAATGTTGGTCAACCGAAGGTTGTTATTATCGCAAAATCCAATCAAATCGTTCCGCTTCAATTTGTGAATGCAATCATCTGACCAGTATTGTCATTATTGTCGATATTTATGGTCGAGATGGTGATGATCAAATAAAAACATGGCTAACACGTATTACATCGACGATAACCATTCTTTGTACAATGATTGCATTGTTTATTTCTTTTCGTTATAATCGTGAAACATTGAATGTTTTAAATGATCAATTTCGAACGAAATCAAATTTATTTCTACTTAATTTTCATATGGGAATCTGGTTAGTCGTTTCACATTTGATCATTTTATTTGGTCTTGAACGTGAAAAGGTAAATCAAATCGATTGAAATTGTTCGAATCATTTTCTAATTTTTTTTTTTTGTTGTATTCCACACGAATAGGATGAACCAAATTTACTTTGTCAATCAATATCAATAATCTTATTATTTTCATTGTTGGCAATGATTTGTTTTACATTTCTAAAATGTTTTCATTGTTCATGGTTTATTGTGTTTTCACCATTAGGCGTAGCCATTTCATCAAGAAATTATCTTCTCATTGGTTACATTTCACCGATGGCAATCATTGGTATTGGTTTAACATGGTTCTATTGGACTGAGACTCAAGTTTGGCAAGATGTACTTGAATCATTATGTGGACGTTATTTGTAAGTTATTTTTTGATTTTTTTTCTGAATTAAAAAAAATATGTTTTTCTCATTCTGTAAATTATTTTTTTTTTCTTTTTAAAGTTGTTGGCTATCATCATATAGATATACAAAACATATCTGGCTATTTCTAGGTGAATAATCTTCAACGGAAACAGGAATTATCTTTGCTTATTCTAGGTCATTAATTTCTCTATTCGTATATTTATAATAATTATGTATATATATAGGTCCATTATATGGTCTTTTCACTACGAATCTCATACTTTTTGTTTTGATTATGTATCGTTATTGTACAAGTCCAATACATACTAGATCTTCAAAAACCAAACATCTTTTTTCCGTCATGTTGAATGCATTTTTATTTTTCTGTAATTTTGGTCTTACCTGGTTATTGGCAATCATTTATATTAATGAACAAATACCTATTCCATATCTATTCTCAATATTATTCATTATATTGAATGGTAGTCAGGTAAGAATGATTTTTATCTATGAATACTTTTCATCTATTTTTTTTTTTTTGATTGTTAGGGAATATTCTTATTGACTGAACAAGTTTTTAGATTTTTTAAACGAAAAAATCGTATCAAACAAACGAAAACAATGTCGACAAAGATGCGTACATCAATAAGCGTAAATAGTAGTAATATTTCATATGGATCTGGATCAGGATCATTTAATGAAGTACAAAAATCATCATATAATAAAATCAATGGCGATTCAATTTTATCATCATCACAGCAACAAGAAATACAACCATCATATCGACGAACAGAAATGTTGGAAAAGGAAAATCATCTGAACGAAAATGATGAACATGATCACAATAATAATAATAATATTAATAAACAGAATCATCATAATCATTGATATAAAATAAATACTACTACTAATCATAATCGGAATAATAAATAAAAATCTGACAAACAAATGTGTTTAGTTTATTTGTCTGTGTGTGTGTGTGTGTGTTTGACAGCAAAATAGATAGAAATTTGATCTTGGGGAAAAAACATTCGACAAATCGGATCATTTCATTTTCTAGGCCTAATAATAATCTTTTCAATTCGAATTTGAAATAATAATAATCCTATGACCGGTGATCGATCCAAAAAAAAAAAAAAAAAAATTGATTACGATGAATCCAGAATAAAATAAGAAGATCCGGCCAAAAAAAAAGAATCGACAATAATCAATTTTCAAATGTAAATGTTTTGTTTTGTTTTTTTTTTTTTTCTCATTCGAATTTCAGTAAACAACAATAACAGTAATGAATAGAAAAATCTGGTTATATCTAGTTTCACTACTTCGTTTGAATATATATAGCTTATATGTGCACCACATATGGTTGCCACCACCACCGCTATCGACTGATGATCAATAATGGTATACCGAATACCGACTTTGTATGGGGTTCGCATGTCCGTTTTCTTTCTTTTTTTTTTTTGCTTTTTCTTTGGTTGAATAAAAATTTTTCGGCGCGTGTTTTTCCCTTCTCCATTTCACTTTCATTTACCGAAAACACAAAAACCTATCATCATTCATGATATTTGAGCTTTTTTTTCGAAAATTTCATTGTCAATCGGTCGATTGTCATACATAGCTGACTATTCTGTCTTGTTTGTGGTTCATTCATTCAAACAGAATTCTTTTTCCACCTCAACATATGACTAAATAATGATTCATGGTCATAATAATATTGGATCATTCTTAACATTTTTTTTTTGCTTTTGTCGTCATCATCGTCATCAAATGACAATCGTTGCCATTTAACCATTTCATACAGACGGTGTTTGTTTGTGTGTGTGTTTGTATGCTTATTTTGTAGTTTATCTTGCCGGTTAATTTCCATTGTTTGAGTCTGATGCACATGTGTGCTTCAAAGTGGTTAAATCACGCCACTTTTTTTCTCTCTCTCTCTTTTTTTCATTTTCAACTTTCTTTAATTTGTGGTGGTGGTGGTGATGGTGATGATGGTTGATATTCCATTACCATTTCATCTATTCTATGCACTTGGTGTATGTTGATTTGGTTAAATTCATCAGCAAAAAAAAAAAAAAATTTCGTGTGACAATAACAAATTTATGGTTGTTTATTAAAAGTGAAAAATTTTTCCATTTTTTTTCTTGTTGTTTGATTCAAAATATGACAAATCATAAACAACTATAAAACACCGGAACTATATATATGTAACTGACACTGCAGTGTTATTTTTTTCTTCTCGATCCACACACACACACAAAAACAAAAAACAAAAAAAGAATTTCCAATGTATGTACCATTCGAATAAAAATTTGACATCAAGGTCTAATGAATGTGAATTTAAAAATAAAAAAATTCTTCATTTGTCTAATGATGATGAATAAATTTTTAAACATTTTACTGTTTGACTTTTGATAATGATATCAAACTATTCATAAAATTTTTTTAAACATCATTTACCGGCTGGTAAATATGTTTGTTTTTTTTCCATCTCATATTTATAATTATCAATTGCATTTTGATTAGAAATTTTTTTTTTCTCGAAACTATATACACATGAGAGGCATAGAAAAATTTTATTAGCAATTCATATCATAAAATCTGTTGATGATGATGATAATTATTCGAAACGTTCAAAACATTAATCCAATGTTGATGATTTGTTGTTGTTGTTGTTGTTGTTACTGCTGACTTTTTTGATGACGAATCCAATAAAAGAATTATAATGAAAATTATTATCATTATTACATCTGGTGATTGTTTTGGTACAAATTTTTTTTTTGTTCATTTGTTCTTGGATGTTGTCAACTCCAAAACAGAGAGATCAGAAAACAAAACAAAACATTCGACATTGACATTGAAGTGCACTTAACATTTTGTTGTTGACCATTTGTTGTTGAAATAAAATGAATTATAATTGTCACATGGGATCACATAGAAAAATGTGATGAATTTTAGTCCTTGAGATGTATCACACACAATGTATTTAATGATTGAATGAACAAGTACAGAATGGTCAGAATTTAGTAATCGATAAATGTGTTTTTTTGTGTGTGTGTGTGTACATATAGATAGTGAGACATTTTCAACAAAAATTTTGGATCATACCATCCTTATAAAAAAAGCGTTTTGTCATTTGTTTTGTAAATATCGGGCCAGTAAAAAAAAAAAAACTAGCCGTAGGGAGAGAACTGACTCAGACGATAACTATAATCAAATTTTTGTAACCCCGAATTTTTCATTGTTCTCATTGATTCGTAGTTTGAGACAAACGATCACAAAAACCAAAACCAAAACCAAAACCAAAAAAAAAAATGTCAACGGTACATAATGTATTATATTCTATTCTATTTCCTGTATTCTTCTTTCAATTGCCGTAATTTGAATCCCTTAGTTCAAATAGCTTCGAGCCTTTCGGCATGATGATGGATCGAAGAAGATATTATATATATCCTATTTAAGGGTATTGAATTGAAAAGAAAAATTTTTTTTTTGCTTCTTCATAAATTTAAGCCTATTTTAGTTCAAACTAATAATGATAATAAAGTTATTAAATACAAAATGTGTGACAGATAAATGTCGTGTGTGTCATCATCATCACCTTTTTTTATGCCATACAGTAGTAGATTTATCCAATAAGAGAGAGCAAGAGAGAGAGAGAAATCTAAAATTCAGTTTTTTTTATATTTAAAATGTTTCTTTCGTCTGCTGTTTTTGAACATGATTATTTGTTATTTCATCATCATCATCATCATCATCATCGTCGTCATTAGTCGTTGTGAATGTTTTTGTTTTTCAATCCAACAATTTTTTACATTCAATTTGTTCATCAAATCAAATTATTATATTAATATTTTTTGTTTTCTCTCATATAAATCAATCAATCTCATCATAGAGTCCTGTGATCGATATTGGAAATTTTTTTTTGAATGTATGCATCATGTTGATGTTTTAATTTTGATTTGGTGAAAACGAAAATCAACAACAACAAAAAAAATGAAATCATTTCATCATCAACAAACGGAATTATATTGGCAATCGTCTTCGGTAAATGATGATAATAATAATAATAATAAATTTCCAACAACGGTGACACCATCATCATTATCATTACCATTATTATTATTACGGAAAAATGAAATCTTTAATCGTCTATTATTTATTTTGACATTTATCAATGTTATCACCATTTGTTTTGGTATGTGCAAAAATTTGTATTATTGCAATGAAAAATTATTATTTTTGTATATGATTGATTTATGTTGTAAGGTTACAACCATTGATTTTGTGAAATGTGTCATGTTGATCCACTGATGTAGGTAGGCATTTGTTTGATCATCATTGCCATGATTGAAATTGGAAAATGGAAATAAAAATTTTCAAATTAGAATTTATTGACTAAAAACTTTAAATTGTACAAAAACGATTTAAAATAAATTATAGCAATCAGCTTGGTAGCAATTATAGAATGATAGAGATATTTAAAAAAGTTTTTAATTCAATAAACACAAAATTAATTTGACAAAAAGGTCAAAAACCGTGAAGTGTAGAATTGTGAATTTGAAAAACAAAGAATATTCTTATTTATGATCATGTTATTGATATATTTTTTTTTTATTGTTTGTTTGACCAAAAAAAAAAAAAAAATTCGTTGCATTCCATTATCATTGACAACACAGGATTCTCTGATGATGCTGTTTGTAGTATAAGCCAATTTGAATGCGAAAATTCATATCCAATTCGTTGCATTCCATTATCATTACGTTGTGATGGATATCCGGATTGTCGAGATAAATCCGATGAGATCGATTGTCGTAAGTAAAATCATTTTGTTTTGTTTTGTTTTGAGTTTTTTTGCTTAAAACATTGCTCCTTTATTTCCTACATATATTAATTTCTTATTGTTGACACTCGATTTGTCGCTGTTGTTGTTCCGCTTTATGCTATTATCGATGCATTATTCGAAAGCTTTGAAAGATTAGTAATACAGGATTTTTTCTTTTTTTTTTTTTGTAATATGGTATATCATATGACTTAAACATCATCATCATTTGAACGAAAATCAAGCCATTAGCTAAAAAGCCGTTTCTTTTTTTTTTTTTTTTTTTGGTCCCTATATGCATTATTATTGAACAAAATTGAACAATGACAAACAAATAGAAAACTTTTTTTTTTTTCTTTCGAAATGACAAATTTCGTTCCGTTTGAATTATTTTCTAATAGTTAGATATTGAACGATAGTATACTATGTGATCATCAATCCACTAATTGATTGTGGAAAGCATCATTTATTCATCCATCAGCTCGTCAAATGTGATAAGTTATAGCCAACTATACAAATAGAATAGTTGAATTCTGTCATTGATGATGAGAATGAATCAAATCAATGGACAACTGTAACGAATTAGAATTCTAACTTATAAATTATTATGTGATGATGATAATGTTAACAACAACAACAACAACAACACAATTTTTCCTCATTGAATGTAAATAGACGCGTGTAGCTTTCTATTTGGATTTTTCAACCATAATTTTTTCAACTCAAATTCAATTTTGTATATTTTTTTTTCATCCATTGATTTATATAGCAAAAAATAGTTGCGATGAAACAGAATTTGCTTGCAATTCAACAAAGAAATGTATATTTGCCGCATGGCGTTGTGATGGGGAACCCGATTGTGAGGATGGGTCCGATGAGCTTGATTGCCGTAAGTGCATTATTATTATTATTATTATCATCATCATCATACACATTATGATCATTTTCATGAATTAATTCCAATTCGTTTGATTTAATTTAATTTTTATTTCTATCCATCCATTCCAATGGCAGTGAACTGTGAACAGCATCAATTTCGATGTGCTAATAATCGTTGTATTGATAAGAAAAATGTATGCGATCATATTGATGATTGTGGTGATGATTCTGATGAATCGGTTCTTGCATGTAGTAAGTATTCATATTTCGTTTGTTTTTTCTTTCGCTATGATGAACAAATTTAATTTTTCAATTTGTTTCAGTGTTTCATCGTTCACTATGTACAAAAGATGAATTTAAATGTTCAAATGGTCATTGTATTCCATTGAATTTGGCATGTGATGGCCATAATGATTGTGGTGATGATTCGGATGAAAATTCACCAAATTGTAAGTGATAATTAAGTATATCAAATAGATTATTTGATTCAATTATCTACACACAGGTACACAATGCTTTATCGATGATTTTAAATGTAAAAAATCAAATGAATGCATATCAAAAGAGAAATTATGTGATCAAATTGATGATTGTCCAGATGGTGAAGATGAATTTGATTGCGATAAACATCATCAACATTATTCTATTCATGGTTCAATTTGTCAACCGGATGAATTCAAATGTCACAATAGTTTTGAATGTATTCCAGAATATTTGGTTTGTGATCAAAAATGTAAGCATTTTTTTACTATAAATTAAGATGCGAATAACTCGAGATAACTTTTATCCAGTTGATTGCAGTGACGATTCTGATGAACGAAATTGTACATATCGATGTGATTTTGCCGAAGAATTTCTTTGTCATAATGGTGTAGAATGTATACCGATCTCATTGTATTGTGATGGTTCATCTGATTGTATGGATCATTCGGATGAAGCAAATTGTCAAATTGTTGATCTGCCAAATAATACTACATCATGTCGTAAAGGTTTCAGATGGAATCCAAAATTAAAACGATGTTACGATATAAATGAGTAAGTTTTTTTTCATGCACTTTACTTTGAACATTATATTCATTCATCATTTTATATTCCATATTCAGATGCATCGAAGATTATAGCATTTGTTCAGGACATCGTTGTATAAACACTTTAGGTGGTTTTCAATGTCAATGTGCAGATGGATTTACCGTACTCAATGATTATTGTGTTCGAAATTTTACCAATCATCATAATCAGCTGATATATTCGGTTGATGATCACATACAAACAATACGATGGTCAAAATCTTTATATTCTGCCCCAAAGATTCATAATTCAACGAAATTATTTCACTTCAATCAAGATGATGATGATGACGTGCCATCTCAACTGGTTTTTGATTATAATATTCATTCCAATTATTATGTTGCATCAAATCAACGTGGTCAATTATATTTGGATCGCTTTGATAAAGATCGTCCAATTGGATTGGAAAAAATATCCGTACCTGCCATTCTGGCACAATGTCATCATCGTGTCAGAAGTTTAGCTTTAGATTGGATTAATCATTTGCTCTACTTAATCAACACTGATTTAAATCATATCGAAGTAATAAAATTGCTCAAACCGAATAAAGTTCTTGTATTTGCTGAAAATTTACATGAAGCTCAAGATATTAAAGTGAATCCAATCGAATCGTGGATAGTTTGGAGTGAAAAAGGTCAAATTATTCGAATGTCTCAAGATGGCAGCGAACGAAAATTGATTACCGATCAAGTTATCATGCCAATGGGATTGACAATTGATTATCTTTCACAGCAGATTTATTGGCTAGATGCCAAACTACATTCGCTCAATTCAATACATTTTGATGGAAGTAATCAACGAATCATATTAAATTCTGAACAATATTTAGGACATCCATTCGATATTGATGTATTCGATAATACAGTATTTTGGAGCGATCTCCATACCGGTTCGGTTTATGTGACCGATAAATTTGGCCGTAATTCTGGCATATATGAATTATTTACTAATAATCGTTTACGACATCAAAATGTAACCTATCTAGACACTATTGATTCGTATAAACAACCACGAAACGAATCATATGATTGTCCATTAAATTGTCCATATCGTTGTAATGTTACATTATCATGTATCTGTCCAGAACCATATGTTCTGTGCAGTGATATGAATAGTGATGATCATCAATGTTTAAAACATTGTTCAAACGTTGTCAATACAATGAGCAAGAAAATTTTTTCTTTCCTACATATTGCATCATTATTATTAATATTAATGATAATTCTGTTTGTTTTCATAAAATGTTGTCAAAAGATTCGTAAATTCAGGTAATAATTACATAATAATGCTTGTTATATCTAATGATAATATTAATATTTTTTTCATTTTAGTGAGAAAAAATACAAAACAATTCAATTGAATAATTTACGGCCTTCTTCATTTGGTCTTGGTCATCATCAAACTCATCATCATCCATTGGCCAACGGTGAATCATCATCGGCAAATTTAACAAGTAATATATCCTCATCGGATGTTTGTAGTGATCAATTAAAAATGACACATGACAATTGCCTTTTCATGAATGGTCGTCGTGATGATCAATCAAGTGGTTATTCATCATCAGTTTTATCTGATCAAACAATACCATATTGTTCATTGATACGAAAATCAACACTCATTAATAATAAAAATGGTAATAATCATGTATCGTATTATTTTAATAAAAATCCAAACATCAATAACGATAATGATGATGACGACGATGATGATGGTGATGAAGAAGAAGAAGAAGAAGAAGAAGACGAAGTAGAATGTACATCATCATCGAATCCAAGTCAAACATCAAGTGATGAAGTGAATGTTGCTCATGATACTAATGAAACCAAAAAAGAATGTCGATTCTTTGTATAATTCATGCTATGCTATAGTATTATTTATTTAAATCATTTTAAACACATGATAATGTTGATTTCATCTACTACTTATTATATTTATAGTATTTCTAAACAAAGTTGAAATGTATTTGTATATGTTTTTATCCAAAATAATGTGCGAATGTTGTATACTTTTTGTTTAATTGAAGATCTCAATATAATGTATAATCAAAATGGTGAAATCTAAATTTGCCAGAAAAAAAAACAAAAATCAAAATCTAATTTTATATTTATTTATACAACTGATATTCTCTATTCTGTTGCCTCACAAAAAAATGTTGGCATGAAAATTCTGTCTTTGACACAGAGTTTTCAATGTGTTAAATTTAGTTTAGCTCAAGTCTTTAACATATACGTATTAAACAGATTCTCTCGGCATCAAATATGAAGAATAAATTATGCAATATAAATGCCGATATTCGAATAGCAATTATGAATGATAATCTGGAACAACTTTTGCCATTGATGAAAAAAATTTTCGATTATCATTGTGAAATGAATCCAACAATTCAATCATCAAAATCAATATTTGAAAATTTCCCATTACTTGCAAATGGTTCGACAATTTTGGGTGACGCAATAATTCATAATCGAATGAAAATAGCAAAATATTTAATTGTGAATCATATTAATTTGAATACTCGAGATAAAACATCCAACGGTTATGAAGAATCACCATTAATTATTGCTATTCGACAACGAAAATATTCCATAGCTAGTTTGATACTTGAACAAACCGAAACCAATGTCAATGTGACCGATTTGTTTTGTCGTCAACCATTGATGCTTGCAATGGAACATCGTAATTCAATACTAGTCGATAAAATTCTATCACATCCATCGTTTCGTTTAAATTCATCATATAATCCATTATCGGTTGCATTTCGTTATCATATTGATTCGAAATTAATCATCAAAATGATCAACATTGGATATGTTTTTCCCGAAGATCAGAAAGAGAATATTCTACTCCTGAAATCTATGGATTCAAACATATTGTCCGTAGATTTGACATTCATTTTGAAACAATCTTTGTATGGCAATTATAATTATAATAATCAACCATTTCGATTAAAACAATTGTGTAGACAAATAATTAGGCAACATTTTTTTCAACGTCATTCCTATCCAATCATTTTACATAATGTTGATAAACAATTCAGAATGAAACTCCCTGAATATATAAAACATTTTATCTGTGATTTATCTGTCTATTAAAATTTTATTATTATTATTATTATGTTCTCACAACATGAATGGACCATCTATCTGATTGTTTATTAATTGTATTCCATAATAATTTGAATGGATAGAGCTCAATAAAAAATTTATTCATTTACGTCATCTGTGATCATTTTTTATCAAGCAGAATTATTCATTTTTTTTGCCATTCTAGATAGAATCCAGATTGAAAATCACCCGTTCTTATGAATTAATAATGCTCATTAATAGATAAACAGAATAGATTGTCTCCAACAACGAAGATGATCTTCAAAAGTCAACAAATAACTAGAGAAAAAAAAGAATATATTTTCTAGTCACTCCATTTGAAATATTTCATTTGTGATTTGGCTATCGTTTTGTTCTGGTGTGTCGATCTGGTGAAAAAAAATGATTCATTCAGCTACTAGTGATAGGCAATTTGATGCCGAAAGTTCATCGGTTGCATCATCAAGTGATGGTATGATCAATAAGAAGACTAAATGGCAAACAATTCAAGGAAATCTCGAAGGTTTGTTATTTATGAATTTATGGTGAAAAAAATTTCTACAACTTAAGTTTGGACAGATTTCTGGATCACTAAACAAATTCTACCAAAAGATGCTGACAAAACTAAAGTGGTGAAAACAACTTTACGAGAATTGTTGACCTATATTGCATTTTTGGTTACAATTACTTATAGTAAGTAAAATTTACCTGGAGATTATTGAAGAATTTTTTTCATAAATATTTTCTATCATTTTTCAGTCACATTTTCAATGATGAATCCAACAATGTATTATCAGACGAAAATCATGTCGAATCTGTTTTTGGATCAACCCGATTCAAAAGGTATAACATTTCGTATGGCTACACAAATGGATCATTTCTGGGATGTAAGTAGTAGTAATATGAATTCGAATATCTCTGGTAATTGTAATCAATTTTTTGAATTTGTCATAAAAAAAAGTTTGTCGAAGGTCCATTAATTCATGGCTTGTATTGGGATAAATGGTATAATAATGAAACGGCTAGTTCATTCAAATCGATTTTGTATGAAAATTATCTACTTGGTGCACCACGTATGCGACAGATTCGTGTACGAAATGATTCCTGTGAAATACATAAAGATTTTCAACGAGCAATATTTTCCTGTTATAATCATTATTCAAAAATTTATGAAGATCGTGATGATATTCATGAGAAACATATACCAGAATTTGAATGGCAAGAAATACGATCATTCGCTAAGAATGATGTATGGGGACAATTGTCCACATATTCAGGCGAAGGTGGCTATATTGTTAATCTTTCGTTGAATAAAACAATAGCCATTAAAACTATTGAAAAGTTGAAAGAATTCCTTTGGATTGATCGTGGAACACGTGCCGTATTGATTGATTTCACCACTTATAATCCAAATATTAATCTATATGTGGTCACTAAATTGATTGCCGAATTTCCAGCTACTGGTGGCATGTTTACATCATGGCAATTTCGAACATTAAATCTACTGGAGAATAGTTCACAGGCACAGATTGGTCTTTATGTTTGTTTCATAATGTTTTTGATTTTCATTGTTTACTATACGATTGAAGAATTTTTCGAAATTACTGCACTCGGTTTCATACCTTATCTTCGTTCAAGTGGTTGGAATTATCTTGATCTTTTCATCATTCTCATTTCATTAGCTTTAGTATTCTTTTTGGTTTGTCGTAAATATATTATAACAAAAATTTTTGATGAAGCATACACTGAAGAATTGGCCGAACATGGCTATATGGTCGAAATGGGCAATCGAACCGTTTCACTTCAAATTGATACCTATCAATTTGATACACTTGGATTTTGGTCAGCTCAATTTAGCAACATTTTGGCTGTTCTTTCATTCGTTTCGTGGATCAAAATTTTCAAATATATTAGCTTCAACAAAACAATGTCACAGTTGAGCTCAACACTTAGTCGTGTAAGTTTTCTTTTTTTTTTTTGCTCAAATTTTTACCATTATCCATAATTATCTATATTCTAGTGCGCTAAAGATATTGCTGGTTTCGGTCTAATGTTTTTTATCGTATTCTTTGCATTCGCTCAACTTGGCTATCTGCTTTTCGGAACTCAAGTCAAAGATTATAGTTCATTTGGAAGAGCTGTGTACGTTTTTATTCGTAATATGATGATTCTTCAATAAAAAAAAATCTAACGATTGAATTTCATTTTTAGCTTCACATTGTTACGTCTGATTCTTGGTGATTTTGATTTTCAAGCCATTGAAAATGCTAATCGAGTATTGGGACCAATATTTTTCCTCAGCTACATTTTCTTCGTCTTTTTCGTGCTGATGGTAAGATTTTTTTTCTATCGGAAATATTTCAGAAACTTTCACTTTTTGGTTTTAGAACATGTTTTTGGCTATCATCAACGATACGTATGCAGAAGTAAAATCTGAATTAAAAGATGATGAAGAATTTGCTATGATGGATTATTTCAAAGCCATTTCGAATCAAATCCTACACAAACTTGGTACCCAAAAAGAACAAATTGAAGAAATTCAACAAGCAATCAAACAATCTGGATTTGATGGTTCACGTCGAGTGAGTTTTTCAACTATCCGACAAGAATTGAAGAAACGAAATCTAAGTGATCAAGAAATTGAAATGTTGTTTGCAAAATATGATATCGATCAGAATAGAGAATTGGATGAAACTGAATTGCATGCAATGTTCGAAGATCTAGAAGGTAAAAAGAAATCGATCGAAAAAGAAATGGAAGAAAATAAGAATAAACGTCGTGATTCTGTGTTGAGTTTACATGGACGACATTTGCCTCAATTTGATTTCGGAAAGATATCCAAACGTGTGGATCGTATGGAATATGTATTGGCAACCATATCGAATAAAATGGATTCACTTTTTGCTAATCGAATCGAAAATGATGACTAAAATTAATCACATAGATTTGAAGTAGATATTTTTGTAGTCAAATTTTGAAAAAAACTCAAATCATTATCATTCTTATTGAGAAAAATTCAAATTAATTAATTGCTTTAAAATTTTGATTGATTAAAATAAATAAAAAAAATGAATGAAATTTTTTACGTAGAAAAAGCGCGTGAATTTTTGAATTTTTTTTTCTCACCCATACTAGTGTTTATGAACAGTTTCAATGATACATGTGACATTTTTGTTTTTGATTAAAAAAAATTTTTCTTTGAAAAAATTCTTTATTTGTGTTATTATTATTTAGTATCTTTATTTCCATGAATTTGGATTTAAATCAATTATATTCCCCGTTGCCTTTGACTTGACCTCATTGGAATTATAATTAAACATGAATTATGACCATAATAATGATCATATCGATGATTATTATGCCTTTCTCAACGTTCCTAAAAATGTAAAATTTGTTAAATTTGTTTTTTTTGTTTGAATTTTGTTTGCACATTTTTTTTTATTTTTTCTTCAGGCCAGTGTTGATGACATACGTAATTCTTTTCGATTACTCAGCCGACAATTTCATCCGGATAAACACACGAATCCGGCACTCAAACGACAAGCCGAGTTGATGTTTGATAAATTAAAAAAAGCTTATGATGGTATGATTCATTACTTTTATTCTAAATATAATTATTGTCTTTCAATTTTTTTCTGATTTTAGTTTTAAGCGATCCAGATAAACGGGCCGTTTATGATGCATTAGGAGCTTCAGGTCTTCAGAATAATGAAGCCTGGGCATTGGTTGAGAAAAAATTCAAATCAGTCAAAGAAATTCGTGAAGAATATGAACAATTGATTAAAGCAAAAGAGGAACGTATGCTGCAACAACGGACCAGTCCCAAAGGAAATATAACCGTATTGGTCGATGCAACCAATTTATTTCAACAAGATGACTCAGACGATGATGATGATGATAATGATGATCGAAGACTGGTCATTTCACCATCATCGATCGAAGTTCGTTCGATGACCATAACTCAATCATTAGATACTCCATTAACGCTCAACAATCATGTGATATTGAATGGAATGATAAGCGTTCGTAATGGCGTTGGAAGTGGTAATCTAGCGCTTGGATTACGACATATTTTCAATCGTAAGTAACCCACAATAATTGTCATCATAAATGGGTCGATTCTTTTAATCATTGATTTTATAGCAAAAACATGGGGAGAAATAGAATTTGGTGCTGGACAAGGTCCAATGTTCAGTATGAAAGTTTTTCGTACATTATCTCCAACTCTTCATGCTACCTGTAATACAAATTTGTATATTTCATCATTTGGTATCCGACCAGGACTATCACTCAGTAAGCATCAATAATATTGAAATTCAAATTGAATAATGCTTGAATTTTTTTGAATAGTATTGACCAGACAATTTAGTAAACATTTTATCGGATATTTATCATATAAGGCCGGTATAGATTCATCAATGAATACGACAATGATATACGAAAATGAATATTGTCGTGTTAATGGATCGTTGCAATTTGGCTATCGAAATTCATTCATATCGTCCAGTTATACGCATAAGTTCAAACAAAATAATACCCGTGTAAAAGTCGGATTAAAATTCGGATTTTTAGGCATCATGATGGATTATGGTTGTGAAACTAGATTATCTCAATATAGCACACTTGGTGCGGCCATGACAGTCGGTACGATTGCCGGTGTTAATCTAAGGATCAAGTATGGATCATCTAATCAATGTAATGAATTCTTTATAATTATTTTGTAAATATCGTTGATTACTATAGATTAATACGAAATCAACAAACTTACATGTTACCAATATTACTGTCGGAAGAGATTGTTCCAGGTTCTCTAATATATGGAACAATATTACCATTAATATCATATTATCTAATCAAGAATTATATAATCGATGTTTATGTAAAGAAAATGGAACAAGAAGAACTAGAAAAAGAAAAAGAAGCGAATGCATTATTACTCGAAGAACGTCGTAAAGATGCATGTGCCTACATACAATTGATGAAAGATTTTTATGAACGAATTATTGAACGTGAAAAATCGGTCGATGGTTTATTCATTGAGAAAGCATTGTATGGACAAGAAAGCCATGTTGAACAATATGATAATTATAATGGTCCAATACCAGCCGAAGCAAATGTTTTTGATTTTAAAGTTGCCCTACAAGTGTTGGTCAATGAAGATTCACGTTTAATATTAACATCAGCTTCGAAATCATATCTACCTGGTTTCTTTGATACACATCTTGGTGGCCCTAAAAAACTATTAATCCGTTATCGATATAAGAGTCGTGATTATCGAGTCATTTTAAATGAAAATGAAGGCGCAACATTACCGTCCGAAAGTAAGCAATTTTTTTTTGCTGATAAAAATGGCTTAACAATTCCTTTTTTTCTTCTCATTCTCTCATAGGACACTTAGTTTTATCAATAAATGAAGATCATTTCAATTAGTTTCATCTTTGTTTGATTGATATAGTGACTGAGATATATAAATTTGTTTTTGTAAGAAATTTTTTTAGTCAAATTATAAGCAAAATGAATAAATATTTTATTTCTAATTCTCGATTAAGAAAAAAATTACCTAGATTGATTAATAATAGAATTGCGCTTGTTGATTGTTTTCATCGATCATAAATGACGTTTTTAATATGAGATAAGTCACGATTTTCAACGTTTATCGATGATCCGTTAATATATATTTGCCGTCAAATCATTAACCAATGACAATGATGATGAGAAAATAATAGGGTGTGGTGACGTCACAAGGAGTTTTTTCAACCGATATCATCAACATCGATAATGGAAGAAGGTTTCAATTTGATTGATAGTAAAAAAAAATGCACTGGGAAAAATGATTTTTGATCACAAAGTTGATGATTGTTAACCATTGTTAAAACCGTTAACAATACCATCAACATGATCGGTCCAATAATTTAATTATTAATAGATTGTGGTACAAGATTTTATTTTATTTTATCGCTAGATTCATCATTTGTATACCATTTTTGTATTATGTTTGCATTATCACTTTCTTATTTATTTTCCTTAATTCTCCTTGATTCATTAAAATTCATTCATTGATTCGGTGTTAGAATCATGAAACAAAAACCTGTAATTATCACGAAATTTTGATTATTTATTGCATTCATCATGGCAAACAATATTTTCAATTTCGGCATAAATATTTTGATGTTGACGAATAAATATCTGGAAAATATCAATTGTAATCTTTGTTTCATTGAATAATATTGATTAGACATTGCAGATTAACCAATGTAGATTAGTTAAAGAGAATCAATCGATCATTATCGTGTAATTGGAAACGAATTCAATCAAAATATAAATTTGTTCAAGATTTGCATTTGTTAGAGTTGTCCCATGTTTCATAGTTAAATTTATAATCACTGACTAACAACAACCAACATAGATTACATGGAATGTACAAATTTTTCTTATTTCTAAAATTGATAAAAAAAACATTTGATTCATATAAACTGTTCATATCAACTGTCAATAATGATGATGATTTTTTTTGCAAATGAATTCAATAATATAATAATAATTATTGTCAATTTACATTACATATGTATGATGTATAGCAATATAATCATCTATATCTTTACAATGTTTTTTCAATGTCAAATTTTATATGATATATATCAATATATAAACAAGATTTGAATTTGTGTAATGATATGTTTTGAACAAATGACAAACAAGATTTGTATATGTCGGTATAAATTTAAACTTTTTGCCAAAACGACATTTATTCAGTCTAATCATTGTCATCAAATGTAAAAAGCATTTTTTCAAATATTTTCTTTAAAAAAAATGTCCGAAGTAAGTGTCTTGTTTATCGAGATTTATTCTTGAATATATTTTTTCATATTGATTTTAGCCAATTAAATGTCGTGCTGCAATTCTATATGAAGAAGGTAAACCCATGGTTATTGAAGAGGTCATCATACCTGTACCTGATGATGATCAAGTTCGAATCAAAATGATTTCGGCTGGTATCTGTGCCAGTGATGGTCATTATGTTTGGGGACAGCAAAAAATTAGTGATCTTTTCCATAAATTACCAACAGTTTTGGGTCATGAAGGTGCGGGTATTGTTGAATCGATTGGTCGAAATGTAACCGATCTAAAGCCCGGTGATCATGTGTTGACTACATTCGTACCAAATTGTCAAAAATGTATCCAATGTGACATACCTAATAATAATATGTGTTCGAATTTTGCTTTTAATGTTACTGGATGTCGACCGACAAGAAAATTGGCTAAAAATGGTGATAATATCTATGGTGCTATCGGAGCTGGTACATATAGCGAATACATTACAGTTTATCGACCTCAAGTTATCAAGGTTATAAAATTGGTTACTTTTTTTTTGTTATAACAATAATTCAATTATTTGTTAACCCTTTTTAGATCAAACAAACAGACAATCTTGCTAATCTTTGTGTCATTAGCTGTGCTGGTGCAACTGGTTTCTATTCTGCTGTTTACCGAGCATCGGTTCTTCCTGGATCGACTACTGGTGTTTGGGGTATCGGGGGTATTGGTTTGAATACACTGCAGGGATGTAAATTTAATAAAGCCAAGAATATCATTGCAATTGATATTAATTCTGATAAGCGTGATATTGCAATGCAATTTGGTGCCACTGAATTTATTAACCCAAAAGAATTGGATAAACCATTGGAACAATATCTAATGGAAAAATATGGTGGTCTTAATTATGCATTTGATTGTTTTGGTAGCCAAATGATTGTTGATCAGGCTGTCAATTCATTGGCAATGTCTGGTACATTCATCATGGTTGGAGTGACAGGAGCTGAAGTCACATTAAAATATCCAGTCATTATGCTCCTTTTTGGCCGTACAATCACGGGTTGTCTACTTGGTGCTAAAAAAGCTTATCTTGCCTATCCTGAAATGGTTGATTTGTATTTGGATAAAAAAATCAAAATTGACGAATTGATAACGAACAAATTTAAATTGGATCAAATCAATGAAGCATTTCAAACTTTAAAAGATGGAAAATGTATCCGATCAATAATCGTATTTGATTGATTGATGGATTGATTTATTTTGTATGTCATGTTTGTATGTGTTTTTTGTTTAAATCGATGAAATTAAAAAAATGACAAATAATCGATTAAAAATCAAAATTGTGGTTGGTTTTTTTCCTAAATTTGTCTTATGAAATTCACAATTTTTTTGTTTTGATGTAATGGGAGAATTGATGTTTCATGGCCACTATTGAAACGTAACCGTCATTGTCAATCAAATGAATGTGAATGTATAGATTTTCAATTTCAAAGTGAATCTCTTATTTAATTATCATCCATAATCACCAGTTTTTTAACAACCAATGTATCGAATTCAAGTACGAAATGTATAAAAAGTGTCATTTTGGCCAATAATCAATCATCAAAAAAATCATTAAGATGTCTCCAAAAACACCACAAGTATGTTTTTGGTGATCATATTTTATTGTTGTTTCAATTATTATATAAAATTTTAATTTCTTATTTTTGTATGTTTATGGTTTTTAGCCAATAAAATGCCGTGCCGCTGTACTATACAAAGAAGGTGATCCATTAGTCATCGAAGATGTAATTGTACCGGCACCAGATGTTAATCAGGTTCGAGTTAAAATGGTATCAGTTGGTATTTGTGCTACCGATGCTCATTTTGTATGGGGTACAGCGAAAATGGAATCCTGGGGCCATAAATTACCATCAGTTTTAGGCCATGAAGGAACCGGAATCGTCGAATCGATCGGTTCGAATGTCCATGATTTTCAAGCAGGTGATGTTGTCCTGATGTCGATTATACCACAATGTAATGAATGTGTGTTATGCCAAAATCCTAACACGAATATCTGCATGAAAAACTTATTGCCCGATATGGGAAGTCGTGTAAGTAAAAAATTGGCCAAATCTGGTCAAGCACTTTATGGAATAATGGGTTTGGGTACATTTTCCGATTATATCACTGTCAATCGTGATCAATTGTTCAAGGTAATTATTTCAATAATCATTCTATTCAAATAGGAATAATGGTGAAAAATTCATTTAATTTTTAGATGACAAACAAAGTGAATATTGAAAATTCTGCTATAATTAGCTGTGCTGTGGCTACCGGTTTCTTTTCAGCGGTGAACCTGGCTAAAGTTTTGCCTGAATCAACAGCCGCTGTATGGGGTATCGGATCAATTGGATTGAACGTATTGCAAGGATGTAAATATAGTAAAGCAAAAAATATTATCGCAATCGATATTACGCCAAGTAAAAAAGACATTGCCATCGAATTTGGCGCTACTGAATTTGTCAATCCCAAACAATTGAACGGTGGGCAGACATTGGAACAATATCTGCTTGAAAAATATGGTGGTGTCGATTATGCATTTGATTGTTTTGGATCACAAATTATCATTGATCAAGCATTGAAATCATTATCAGTAACTGGTACATTTGTATTGATTGGTGTACCGCCAGATGATACAAATATTGTCTATCCATGTAATCAATTGATGACTGGCCGTACAATAACCGGTGGTTTTGTTGGTGGTAAAAAAAGTGAACAAGCCTACAGTGAATTGGTGGAAATGTATGAAAGAAAACAAATTAAAATTGATCAAATGATCACCGACAAAATTCCATTAACAAAGATTAATGAAGGATTTGATAATTTAAGATCGGGCAAAGTTATTCGTTCATTAGTAACATTTACGGGTACAAAAATGAATTAAATTTTTATTGAAATTTTTACTCAAAAATTCATTTTTGTTTCATTGCTGAAACATAATCGTTCAATAATTTTTCAATAGCATTATTATCGAATTGTCCACGATTGATAAATTGTTCAACATTTCTTTTGATTCGTGTTAAACCATTGATATTCTTGAGAAATTGTTCCAGTAAATTTTCCACATTTTCTTGACTAAAATCATCCATGTTGAATGTTTTTCCCGCTCCTCGTTTGAACCTTTGTACCGTATCTGAAAATGAATAATTGAAATAATTTGTTGAAATAATTCTTTTTGTTTAAATAAAATCTTAGAAATCTTACTGAAAATCTGATTGAATTTTTCCTTACGATCTTGGAGAACTTTTTCAAAGCTAATGTTAGGATTATAGGCAAAATCTTGATCACTCCAACTTTTATACATGACATCATTACGAAGCATTGGTGATTGTGCGAAAATTCGTTGAAATGCATTGAAAATGGCAACTAAAAATTGGACGAAAATTCTCACAATTTCGGCAAGATTTGTCGGTGTTAAAGAACTTGAATCGCCATTGATATCCTGTTGTTGATCGGCCAAAGATTGTTCAAGCAATTGATTGAGAATGTTTGTCACATTCGGTGGTAATGTTTGACTATGGCCAATCGGTACGATCATTAACAAAGCCCATAAAAGAATGAAAGACTGTTGTCGAGCCATTTTCGATAGTTTGAACAAATTTTCAATTTGAAACGTATTTTTATACTTTAAATCTGAAAATGAATGGAAAATGACCAGCATAAATAAAAGTTAAATTTTATTTTAATGAGTTATAAAAATCAATATCACAATTGAAAGCATTAATGTTGTTAGTGGGATTGAATGTTGAATAGTCATGCCGGTACCAGGTTCCGGTTTTTCTGTAGTCGGTCTCGGTGGTTCAGGTTGTCGAATTGGCAATGCTTCCACATATGCAACAACCGTATTGATTCCACGATTATTCACGCCACGAATCATTTTGACATAGCCACTTTCACCATAATCACGGCCCCAGCTATTTTTGACCATCCAAAAATCTAATCCATTATCATTACCCCAACCGATAATCTGTACATATTGATTATGTTGACCATCAAGACCACGATCACCACCATCGGTCAAAATACCGCCACTATATCATGAAATGACCATTAATTATGTCAATTTATTAGGCTATAATAAAACTAACCTGTATAGCTGAAATTGACGATCACCAGCATTTATCAATGCAGCGACAGGACCTTTATTGTAAATGAACCACATGATCATTTCATCGGTTGAATTTAATGGAAGATAATTATAACGATAAATCCATTCACGCCATTCGCCCAATACTTGATGACATTCTTCTTGCTATAATAATAATAATAATAATACATAAGTGATTTAAGAATAAATAAAGGATTCATTGGATTTTTGATCAAATCAAACTCATACTTTGCCCTTATATGGATAAGTTTTTTCCATGGTTAGACCAACTTGTTTTGTATAATGAAATATATCATCTAACATACCACCATTACAACCATCACTTAGATAGAATGGAGGTAATACACAATCCAATACTTGTTGTTTCGATAGAACAACTAATGGATTGCCTGCAATTGCATTGGCACTTTCAACTAGTCCAACACCGGCGAATATCCAACTGGAACCACATTGTCCTTGATCTTCAATCGGTGTAACCATCTGTTTGATGATCGCAATTAATCAGGATAGAAAAATGAATAAGTAAGAAAATCATATGATTTTAAACTCACACTTTGTGAACGCCAGTCAAATTGTGCCGGAAATGTGATCGATGTTTTATTTATTTTTCGAACGACATTCGTGGACATTTTATTATTCGTGAATGGTATCGGTTTATTGGCCGTTTCATGTTTGGCTGTCAATAATTTTTGATTGATAAATATTTTTTCATTCATTCCCTTTTATTTTGAATGAAGAAAAAAAACTATCATTTGCTCAATGAATGAATACAAAGGAAACTTACAAAATCAGCAAACTTATTTATTTTCAAACGGTAAGGAACTCTACCAGTTTTAAAATCATTTTCATTATCTTTGACCATTTTCAATGAATACAGAAAGTTGGCACGACGTAGTTCGAGGTCTTCACCATCGTAATAACGTTTATCATATTGTTTCTATTCGTTTTGATGAAATGGTCAATTAATCAATCATAAAGCTAAAAAAAAAGAAAAAAATTCATTACCTGAAATTCGGTAAAATTTTGTTCATAATTTTTTAATCCCAATTCTTCAGCAATTTCAGTCAGATTTTGTTTTCCATATGTTGAACGCATAAATTGTAAATATTCAACCTGATGTGATTGAGCTGGAATATTTTTATTCGAATCAGCTATTAATAATTGTCGTCGCTGTCCCATAGCCGATTGATCCATAATGATTAACATTGTAGAAAACAATACAACAATAAATTGAATCATGATCGATTGATCAATGATGATGATAAACAACCAGTCATTGGAATGATCAATTGGCAATTGATTTGTATTCGAATTGTAATATTACAAGATACACTAAACAGCCACACCGTTAATATCCACCAAATGAGACACGAAACATAACTGTGTTTGTTTTCGTTTACCCAAATTTTTTTTTCTTCATTTGCATTGTCACCATAATGATTACCACGATGACTAGACTATGACAAAAATCATCCATTCATATTGTGAATATATTAACCTATTCTGTTTTGATCATTATAACCAAATTTGGCTCACCAATTCTACCATCATTCATCATGATCATTCATATGGAATCGTTTAGGTATGTTCAAAACAATTCATTTGGTTCATTCATTTCTTGCCATTGTCATGATGACATTGGAAAAAAAATGAATGTATAAATATTGGCGTTACTTTTGTTGTTGTTGTTGTTGTCAATTGAATATATATTGACATTAGATACATTAGAATTATTCATCAAATAATGATAACCTATCATCATCATCATCGTCATCATCATCACGTCCATACGATAATTATAGATTCAATGTGTTTATACAATTTTTTTGTCGGCATATTTACTTTGTTTCATATGGAATAAAAATGGACAATAAATATCTTTTTTTTTGACACCTGATTTAATGGCAATTAAAAACAAAATTGTTATTATTTTCAATTTCTTATTTGTTGAGAAATCATTATTAGAAATTTAGACAAATAGTATCGTGACTGGTAATCAGAAAGAAAATGAAAAAAAATCAGCACACACACACACACAAGTCGATAGACTTTATTTTTTTTTTATTTATAAATACTATGTCAAAATACTATGACAACATGAAATGATGATCTCAACACCTAATAATGTTTTGGATATACATATTTGTTTTATTTGGATATAAAATACTCACAACAAAATCATTACAACTCTCTTCTTCTCAAGAGATTTATGCTACTACTAATTACTTACTTTTATCATGAGATTGATTCGGATTCTTAAAAAAAAATCTGTAACAATAAAAAGCCATCTACAAACAAATAAATCATTTTTTTTGTTTGATTGATTGGATCGATCATTCAGAAGCAGCAGCAAAAAAAATGTCTACATTATTTCAAACACTTCGAAGAAACAATTTCTTCCTATTCGATGTTTATATTGTTATATTTTTATTTAGCTATGCAATGGAGATTCTTACGATCAACTATTTGGTGCAGGATAAAATATGCCGTATCCGTTATAATCAAAGTAAATTTTTCTGTCAACATATTCATGAAGATATTTTTAATGGTGATGAAAAAATTACCAAAGATCATATTCTATCTGCGGCTGCCTTGTATAATAATTACAAGTAAGATTCGTTTTATTGTAATTGAAATTGAAATTTTATCTAATTCTTTATAGAAATATAATACAGGCTATACCAATGTTTATTTGGTCATTATTTTTTGGTTCATTTTTGGATCGACAAACCGGTGCAACCAGAATGATATTTGCCTGGATGAATATAATCGGTGTATTGACTACGGCTTTTTATCTGATAAATATTTTTAATTTTTCCATTGATCCATATTATTTATTATTGGCTGGTATATCTACCTGTTTGACTGGTAGTATGGCCACTTTTTTAACTGTTACTCATCGTTATATTATTATCAATACTGATCCAGAATATCGCACTATAAGGTTTACTATATTTCAAATCAGTCTATTAATGGGTGAGTCGATTTTACTGTAATTTTATTAGTTATAGATAAATAATAATTTATTGACTGATCAGCTATATCATTGGGTTCATTGCTTGGTGGTAATCTAATTCATTCGGTTTCGGATCGTGGTGAATTATTACGAAATTATGATCTCAACATGTGGATCGGTTTAGCTTTGCAAGTTGGTTCCTTCTTCATGATTTTAGTTATTGGCATTGATCGAAAAGTAACTGATCCAATAAATTCACCAGAAAACGATGAAGATAATGATGCAACTATTGTCGATGAAATTGATAGATCAAGTCCTGTATTAAGTGGTGATCGAGAATCATATTCATCCATAACCGATACAAATATCGAATCGACAACAACGGTCATAAAATTTTCATTATGTCAACATGTCAAATGTGCATTTAGTTCATTTTTCGACATTGAGAATGTTCGACAAACAATTCGATGTCTAACTAAACCACGAATTAATCAAATTCGTGAACAAATCATTCTGCTCATATTGCTACTATTTCTTCAATTTGTCAACTATCTTGGATTGGATTCAATGTTTTTACAATTCTCTCAAAAAGTTTATCGATTCGATTCGAAAACTTATGCGAATGTAACTGCATTTTCTAAAATAATGCCAAATATCATATTATTCATAAGTTCACATGTTCTAGTCAAATGTCTTAAATGGAAAGATGGAACCATTTTTGCTATAACATTTACAGCTGCATTGATAAGTCAAATTTTAATAGGTACATTCACTAATCCAGCTGTTTATCTAGCAGCATTGATTATTGGATCAATTGGTGGATTATCATCGATTGTAATGAAAACGAAAATTGCTAGATTGATTCCCAAAGATGAAGTTGGTAAAATTTTCAGCCTAATATCAACATTGGAATCATTAGCACCGTTTTTTGGTACATTAATATTTTCCACCATATTTTCGGCCAGTGTTTCAACCTATCCCACGCTAATTTATCATGCTGCTGCAGCTATGACATTGGTTTGTTTGATATTAGCTCTATTTCAAGATTTATATTTTCATAATCAATAAAAAAAAATCTGAAAAAATTAATGCTTATAAATCGATTATTATCGTGCATACACTGCATTTATTTATCATCAATCAATTTTATTTATCAGAAGTTTGGTTTTGTTTTATAAACAAACCACACATAAAGCAAATGAAAATTGATGAAGTAATCGAGATGATCATAATTTGTCAATAAATTGCCATCAGCTTGACAAGACACGAGAGGAAAAAATCTCAACAATCAACACCTTCTGAATTTTTGATTTCGAACTAATGATGCGACGTATTTTGTTGGAGCTTCTGATCAGCTGCTTTTAAAAGTGTTGGAATTGTTAAAAGAAATATTGAATTAGTTGTTTAATATAACTGTTGAGTATATTTAATTAGTATGTTCAATAGTGTAAATATTGTATATATATGAGTTTGTTAACCAGTTATTTATTATGATTAAAACACATATTCATCAACTGCTAACTATTGAATCTTATACTTCCAAGCCTCTTGCTAAATATTTCAACAAAAAGTTTCCAAAAAAAAAAAAAAAAAATCCAGAATATCGTACTATAAGGTTTACTATATTCCAAATCTGTCTATTAGTGGGTGAGTCAATTTTGTTGCAATTCTATTAGTTATCAATAACTAATAATTTATTGATTGATCAGCTATGTCATCGGGTTCATTACTTGGTGGTAATCTAATCCATTTGGTTTCGGATCGTGGTGAATTATTACGAAATTATGATCTCAACATGTGGATCGTTTTAGTCTTACAAGTTTTTTCTTTTATCATGATTTTAGTTATTGGCATCGATCGAAAAGAACATCCAAATCTATCAGAAATTCATAGAGATGTTGATAAAACTATCATTGATCAGATTGATGAATCGAATCCTGAATTGAATAGTGATCGAAATCGATCTTATTCTTTCAATTCCTACACGAATATAACAAATATGGGCAAAAATCGATTACGTTCTCATATATACTATACATGTCGTTCATTCTTTGATGTTGGAAATGTTCGGCAAACATTTCGATGTCTTATTCAGCCTAGAATGAATAGAATACGTGAACAAATTATGTTGCTGATCTTATTGTTATTTCTACAATTTCTCAATAGTTATGGTATGACATTAGATACATTAGAATTATTCATCAAATAATGATAACCTATCATCATCATCACGTCCATATGATAATTATAGATTCAATGTGTTTATACAATTTTTTTTGGTCGGCATATTTACTTTGTTTCATATGGAATAAAAATGGACAATAAATATTTTTTGGCACCTGATTTAATGGCAATTAAAAACAAAATTTTTTCCAATTTCTTATTAAATGAGAAATCATTTTTAGAAATTTAGACAAATAGTATCGCGCCTGGTTATCATCAGAGAGAAAATGAAAAAAAATATCAGCACACATACACACACACGTCGATAGACTAGGTTTTATTTTTTTATTGATAAATACTATGACAAAATAAAATGATGATCTCAACACCTCATAATGTTTTGGATATTTGTTTTATTTGGATACGAAATACTCACAACAAAATCATTACAACTCTCTTCTCAAGAGATTTATGCTACTCCTAATTACTTACTTTTAACGATAATTAGGATGAGATTGATCCGGATTCTTAAAAAAATCTGTAACAATATAAAGCCATCGACAAACAAATAAATCATTTTTTTTTGTTTGATTGATTGGATCGATCATTCAGAAGCATCAGCAAAAAAAATCTACATTATTTCAAACACTTCGAAGAAACAATTTCTTCCTATTTGATGTTTATATTGTTGTATTTTTATTTAGCTTTGGAGTACAGTTGCTTACAATCAATTATTTGGTGCAGGATAAAATATGTCGTATCCGTTATAATCAAAGTAAATTTTTCTGTCAACATATTCATGAAGATATTTTTGATGGTGATGAAAAAATTACCAAAGATCAAATTCTATCTTCTGCTGCATTGTATAATAATTACAAGTAAGATTTGTTCAATCGTAATTGAAATTTTATCCAAATCTTTATAGCAATATAATACAGGCTATACCAATGTTTATTTGGTCATTATTTTTTGGTTCATTTTTGGATCGACATACCGGTGCAACCAGAATGATATTTGCCTGGATGAATATAATCGGTGTATTTACTGCAGCATTTTATCTGATAAATATTTTCAATTTTTCCATTGATCCATATTATTTATTATTGGCTGGTATACATACCTATTTAACCGGTGGTATGGCCACTTTTTTAACTGTTACCCATCGTTATATTATTATCAATACTGATCCAGAATATCGTACTATTAGGTTTACTATATTCCAAATCTGTCTATTAGTGGGTGAGTCAATTTTGTTGCAATTCTATTAGTTATCAATAACTAATAATTTATTGATTGATCAGCTATGTCATCGGGTTCATTACTTGGTGGTAATCTAATCCATTTGGTTTCGGATCGTGGTGAATTATTACGAAATTATGATCTCAACATGTGGATCGGTTTAGCTTTGCAAGTTGGTTCCTTCTTCATGATTTTAGTTATTGGCATTGATCGAAAAGTAACTGATCCAATAAATTCATCGGAAAACGATGAAGATCTTGATGCAACTATCGTCGATGAAATTGATAAATCAAATCCTGTATTAAGTAGTGATCAAAAATCATATTCATCCATAACCGGTACAAATATAGAATCGACAACAACGGTCAAAAAATCTTCATTATGTCAAAATGTCAAATATGCATGTTGTTCATTTTTCGACATTGAGAATGTTCGACAGACAATTCGATGTTTAACTAAACCACGAATGAATCAAATTCGTGAACAAATCATTCTGCTCATATTGCTACTATTTCTTCAATTTCTCAACTATCTTGGATTGGATTCAATGTTTTTACAATTCTCTCAAAAAGTTTATCGATTCGATTCGAAAACTTATGCGAATGTAACTGCATTTTCTAAAATAATGCCAAATATCATATTATTCATAAGTTCACATGTTCTAGTCAAATGTCTAAAATGGAAAGAAGGAACCATTTTTGCTATAACATTTACAGCTGCATTGATAAGTCAAATTTTAATAGGTACATTCACTAATCCAGCTGTTTATCTAGCAGCATTGATTATTGGATCAATTGGTGGACTATCATCGATTGTAATGAAAACGAAAATTGCTAGATTGATTCCCAAAGATGAAGTTGGAAAAATATTCAGCCTAATATCAACATTGGAATCATTAGCACCGTTTCTTGGTACATTAATATTTTCCACCATATTTTCGGCCAGTGTTTCAACCTATCCGACGCTAATTTATCATGCTGCTGCAGCTATGACATTGGTTTGTTTGATATTAGCTCTATTTCAAGATTTATATTTTCATAATCAATAAAAAAAAATCTGAAAAAAATTAATGCTTATAAATCTATTATTATTGTGCATACACTGCATTTATTTATCATCAATCAATTTTATTTATCAGAAGTTTGTTTTTGTTTTATAAACAAACCACACATGAAGCAGATGAAAAAAATGAATTAATCATAATTTTCCAATAAATTGCCATTAGTTTGACAAGACACGAGAGGATCACTAAAAAAAAGATCTCAACAATCAACACCTTCTGGATTTTTGATTTCGAACTAATGATGCGACGTATTTTGTTGGAGCTTCTGATCAGCTGCTTTTAAAAGTTCCATAATTATGGTTTTTAGTTGATAATAATGATGATAAGATATAAAATGCTATTCTTATACGTTAGGAAAACCATCCACGTCAATTTCTATATTCTCAACAAATCAACGACAACATTATTCATGTTTGATTGATTGATCAATAATCCAATGGACCAAACCTGACAAAAATGTTCAAAATATTTCGAATACTTCATCGAAATAATTTTTTCCTATTCGATATGTATATATTTTTAACATTGTTTACCTATGGCATACAAATAATAACGACAAATTTATTGTTACAAGATAAAATATGTCGTCTCCATTATAATCAAAGTCAATTTTTCTGTCAACATATAAATGAAGATATTTTCGAAGGTGATGATAAAATCATTAAAGATCGAATCCTTTCTTCGGCCGCATTATTCAATAATTACAGGTAATTACATCAGTTTGTTTGAATTAAATTAAACTTAATTTGGTTTTTTTTGCATTTATAATAGCAATCTAATACAGGCTATACCAATGTTTATTTGGTCACTATTTTTCGGTTCTTTTTTGGATCGACAAACCGGTGCAACCAGAATGATATTTGCATGGATCAGCTTACTTAGTGTATTTACCGCTATTTTTTATCTGGTCAATATTTTCGATTTCTCCATTGGTATGACATTTAATTCCATTTTGAAAAGACTATAATCACCACATCATGGAAATTTTTTTTCATTCAAGATCCATACATTTTATTATTCACTGGAATAACCGGATATTTGACTGGTGGTATGGCTACATTTTTAACTGTAACGCATCGTTATATGATTATCAATACTGATCAAGAATATCGTACTTTAAGATTCACTATATTTCAAATTTACCTGATAGTTGGTGAGTTTGCTTTATATCCCAACAAATCATACGTAGTAACTTATTTATTTCAATCACATTAGCTGTATCATTGGGTTCATTACTTGGTGGTCATCTGATTTGGCTTGTTTCAGATCGTGGCGAATTATTACGAAATTATGATCTCAACATGTGGATCGTTTTAGCCTTACAAGTTTTTTCTTTTATCATGATTTTAGTTATTGGTATCGATCGAAAAGAAGATCCAAATCTATCAGAAATTCATAGAGATGTTGATAAAACTATCATTGATCAGATTGATGAATCGAATCCTGAATTGAATAGTGATCGAAATCGATCTTATTCTTTCAATTCCTACACGAATATAACAAATATGAGCAAATATCGATTACGTTCTCATATAAACTATACATGTCGTTCATTCTTCGATGTTGGAAATGTTCGGCAAACATTTCGATGTCTTATTCAGCCTAGAATGAATAGAATACGTGAACAAATTATGTTGCTGATCTTATTGTTATTTCTACAATTTCTCAATAGTTATGGTATGGATTCAATGTTTTTGCAATTTTCACAAAAAGTCTATCATTTCGATTCAAAGACCTATTCAAATGTATCAGCGTTGTCTAAAGTGATACCAAGCATTGCCTTATTGATAAGCTCACATATCCTAGTCAATCGTCTCAACTGGAAAGATGGTACTATTTTGACAGTAACATTTTCTACTGGATTCATCAGCCAAGTTTTGATTGGTACATTTGCTACACCTACTGTTTATCTAGTAGCATTGGTTATCGGATCAATCAGTGGATTATCGGCGGTTGTACTTAAAACGAAAATTTCCAAATTAATTCCCAAAGATGAAGTTGGTAAAATTTTCAGTGTTATTTCGACAATCGAATCATTGGTACCATTTCTTGGCACATTAATATTTTCCACCATATTTTCGGCCAGTGTTTCAACATATCCTACCCTTATTTATCATGTTTCTGCTGCCATGACCTTGCTAGGTCTAATATTGGCGCTATTTCAGGATTTATATTTTCATGATTAAAATATGAAAAATGAATTATTTATTATGACGGTTCATCATTACGTTTTTTTACAATTTCTCTATTTTTGACAATTTCATCTGAAATTTTGTTCAAGGATGTGCGTTGACTGGAAGAATAGTCATATTCGGAAAAAGCACTAGAGTATCGAACGGACTAAGAGATTAAATCATAGGGCGATTATTATCAACAGATAGATTAAGTACTTGATTCAATCGATTCGAATTCATTTATCGTTATAACATACTTGACTACCGTCATTTGTAATAACAAAATATCGATTTGTTTGAAATTATCAATTTAATTATAACTTTGATCAAAAAATGTCTGCCTGTCTTATCTGAACTGTTCCTTATAATATGCCATTGACAATTTAAAAAATTTGCACTTTTATTTTTTGAAAAGTTCATTGATCATTTGATCAAACATAATTACCAATCAATCTTATAATAAAGAAAATTGAAAAAATACCAATAAATTTATTGTAGACAAATATCCTGTTTTTAATATGAAAAAAAAACAGTAGCTTATCATCAATAATTTAACAAAATTGATTGATTTCTATCAATCATTGATTAATTGATTAAATGACGTACTTTATCGCCATAAAATATCCAATTAACAACAATACAATTATAATACATAAATCATATGATTTGATCGACATTGTTTTGGTATAACTTTTGATGAAAGCAATAGAAAAAAAATTTGTTTAAAGGTTTCAATTCAGGGTCACGAATCGATGACAATGTTTGGATTATCATAAACTCTATATTCATTCATTCGAATTGAATCATTTTGTTTCGCTATTAATACTGTCGTTTTCATTTGTCCATTGTCCATTGTTGTTGCTGTTGTTGTTGTTGTTGTTGTTGTATTCACATTGTTCTGATTACGATCATTCATCGATATTGTTGAACAATTACTATGTGTACGTGGTGATTCAAAATAATATCGAAATAGATTACGATATGGTGCTTCAAATAGCAAAAAAGTAAACATCGATATTACCACTGTTAATATGAATAAGCTCATTGCAACAGGAAACTAATAATAATGATGATGAAAAAAGAAAAAGTTATTCAAAACAAACAAACAAATAATAAATGAAAAGAAAAACATACCGATTCCATTAGATTAATCTCTAATAATGTACGTTTAGTGAATAAATAAATCCAAATGATAATCAAATTCCATAAATAGATTTGGAAAGAAAGATGGCTACAAATTCGAAATATTGACCATGATAACACTTTTGTAAAGATATTATTACGCGGTAAACATTGTATAATAATCCATAATGTTGGCCCAATGAATAGAATTCTTGCTGTTGCATAGTATAAAATGATTAACCAATTGTTGACATCGTCACTTGTTGGCGATGTATAATGAGAAAATATCAATGGAATATAAATTGCATATGATGATGATAATGTTAATAATATCAATGCAATAAGGATTCGTAATGGTAATACGAAATTAAATGGTTTAGCTGCTTGGCTATAATTCATTCGAAAATAATATCCCAATGCCATACCGGCAAAATAGGATTGAAAATGAGCGAATCCATTGAAATGTATCGATTTGAATATGTTAGGTATTTCACTGTAAATTGAAAACAATAATTTTTCAACAATTTTTTTTACACACACACACAATAAAATCACTTACTCCATGATTGCATTCACAATGATCAATGATTTCAGTTGAAGACGATATGCAATCAAACCGGAAAATAGAATTCCAATCATAATCAATGTGAAAAATGTTTTCATTGCATGTTTACGTCGATTATAGACAAATATGAGAACGAATACGCCAAACATGGATATCTGAAATTCATTGCTAATATACCAAAGATGTGGTAAACACTGTATGAATTGATTTTGAAAATAAATTCATTAATCAATACAATTTTAATTTCAAACAATGAAAAACATTTACCGTTATATTGTAATCATAAAAATCAGCAAAAAATAGTAAACTTCTTAGGATATGATTTTGACATGGTTGTAAAATTTTCTCAACACTTGAATTATATAATGGTCCGGCATTTTTCCATAATGGCAACAATTTAATGGCCATACAGAGAAAAAACATTGATGGTAAAAGCCGAACAAATCGTTTGGCAAAAAAGAATGATAACGATGGTCGACCTTCGTGTTTAGCAATATATGGTAAAATGTATAGGCCAACAGAAAGCCACTATGTGAATTGGGAATTTAGAAAGAATTTTTTACTGAACAATTAAATTCCTACCTGATTGCAAAAAAAATTTCGAATGAAAGCCAAGATTGGATCACAATTTGATAGAAAACATTGGTTCGCATATTAAATACGAGATCACGAAGATGAGCTTATCAGAAATATAGAAATTAATTTCAAATTCAATAAAAAAAAAAAAATCAATAAACTTACGAAGACTAGAAATCATTTGTGGTTGATAGCCAAGAAGATAAAAATTACTAAGACAGATCCATGCTAATGCAATTGATTTAAGGGCATCCAAACAAACAGTATTGACCATTTGTGATTGATTTTTAAGAAAATCAATTGGTTGACCAAGCATTTGTTGGCAAACATAACGATCACGAATGATGAATATTTGTTCAAGACTATATCGAAATGAGAAACAAACAATAAAAGATTTGGGACGATCACGTTGATGACTTTTCCATAAAGTTTCATTTGAATATCGATGATAAACTTCGTATACAGTTGCCAACAGTACAGTGATGATTGATGCGACAACAAACAATCTGGTAATCAAATAAAATAACAGGATTCAAGATTAAATTAATTATTCTGGCTAATCGATACTTGCATGATCAATATTTGATATCGATTCATTTGACCGATAAATTGTCCGATATGAAATGATTGCATCTGTTTAATTGATTCTAGATCAAGTTCATAAAAATCTTCGGGCAATGCTTCAACAGTCATATTTAATCGGCTATAACAGTCTGAAGAACGGCGAATATTAATATGTAGCCTATGAAGAACTAGAGAGAGAGGGAAAAATTAATAATTTTAAATCAATGGAATTTCTACTAACAAAAATTGCCAACTCTTTCAATTTCTGAGGCTGAACAAGTGGAAGGCAAACAAAGACCAAATGATAATGGATTTGAATATAGAAACGGTGCTATCATCATAAAATATTCGCTAAATGTGCCAAATAATTCTGTTTGATTAAAATATAGAATCCGATCATAATAAGTGATGCTTGATTTCAATTCCGGCAAGGGTAATTCTACTTGTAGAAGACAATATTGTCCAGTGAAAAATACTTCATTAGTACGGCGATCTCCATCATCGGCTACAATATCCAAACAGCTATCAAAATCTCCATAACTACGGAGTGCAAATTTATTAAATGAAGAAAAACTTGCTGATGCTTCAATCACTAGAAATCATGAGAAAAAAAATGAAAATTTATTGAATTGAAAGTAATGTAATCCTAATAGATAGGATTATTATTATTATTACTTTTATGTGGCCAAATATAATGTTTCCGTAATCGATCGGCAAATTGAGCAAAAGAATTGAAACAACGTTGTGAAATACGTTCACTAATTGGAAATTGATAATCATAGATTCTTGGTATTGTTGCTTTAATCGATTTACCATATTCATTTTGAATGATTCGACTGAGAAAAATGTATACATCTTCCGGTTTGGATTTTGCATTAATTTCTTCTTTATTCGGTCCTCGAATTAATTTCTCCAGAATTCCACTAATACCACCGACAGCTCTATCGATATCATCTTCTTCTGCGTAACTGTCTTCATTGTTGTTGATGTTCCCATCCGTTTTTTTCACTGACGATTCAGTGGTAGAAGTGACAATTGTAATGACATTTTCAATATTTTCATCATAATCATCACTTTCATAGTCTTCGCCATCACCATCATTATCCAGATCATCATAATAATCTAATTCACTCATTACTTTTCGGGCTTTATCCGTCAAATTTAATTCATTTTTCGGTATAATACGTCCTTTAAATAATGGTTTGAAATCATCTTCAATTTTGATTAAACTGATAAAACTTTGAACTTTTCGATTGTCAATCGAACTTGAATGATGATTTGTATTGGTCGAACCTGTTGAACTTGTTGTTGTTGTTATTATTGTTGAATTTTTGAAACCAGTCATTGTTACAGGTGTCAATGGTAACATTGTTGTTGAAAAAATGTTCTCTTTATTATTGTCATCAAGTTCCGATAAAGTAAGATTAGATTGTCGTTTAGCACGAATCATCATCATCATAATCATTGTATCAATAGGTCTGAATCGAGGTTGAAAATCTGGGACATTCACATGATTTGGATCATTTAAATTGTTCATCAAACCATTATTTAGGTGAATGGTGGTGGTAGTAATTATGAAAATAAAATGAAAAGTTTTCAATGCAATCATTTTTTTTCATAGATTTGGTTTTATTCAACACAAGAGATAATTATTATTGATTAATCACTTATTTATAGTAATCAATGATGATCATAATTTTTGAAATTTCAGATTTTTTTTCCTTTAAAGCACAAAATTGTTTATAGATAAATTGATTGAAATTTATGAAAAAATTTCTACATGATCGATTCTGGTATTACAAGTTGAATGCCAAATCAATAATGGTCATCATGAATGAAAACAATAATTGATTTGTGTGTCGAATTAATTGAATTCAAAAGAAAATAAAAATGACTGCCTTTTTCCTCGTTATCCAAGCTTTGTTGCGATGATTTTCATACATTTTTTTGTTGTTCGTTCATCCTTTGTGTGTGTGTGTACGTGTTTGAATGGAGTGAAACAAAGTATTTTTTTCGGTTTTTTTTCTGTATGACAATAATAATAAACAACACACTATGATGATGATGACGACCAATGTCATGATGATGACGATGATTATGATCATCATTGTAATCAAAAAAAAGAAGAAAAAAAAATGATGATTGTCTGTGTGATTGATTGCTATCGAATTGTATTATTTGAATTGATGAACAAATGAAATGTCTCATCATGAAACAATGACAACATTCAAACATCCTGTCACCTTATTTTTTTTCTTTCTTTTTTTTTTGTTGTTGTTGTTGTTCTTGTCTTTTACCATCTATCTTGCACAAACACATACATATCACAATCCTGATAACTGAATGAATGATTGATGATTGTGAATTTGGGAAAGAAAATCAAGTTTTGACATTCGTTTTTGAAATTGATTCTTTTCCAAGAAAATCTCAATTAATATCCGGTATTAGTGCTGTTGGTAATAATAATTGAAATGGAAATTTTTATTTTATTGATAATAAAATGATTCAATCAACTATAATATACCGAAAAGATTTTTTTTTTCCTAATGCTTGGGAATTTTTTTGGCCAGATTCGATGATGATCGATGTTTGTACATACACACATACACACAATTGATCAAATGATAATAATGATCATTAGCTTCAAACAATAATAATAATAATAATGAGGTAGTTTATTATTGAAAAAAATTTAAATTTTTTTTTTTAAATGAAAAAAATGCGTCACAGAAAAACAAAATTTTTATGACTAAAAAAATTTCTGCATCCGATTGATAATAACAATAATAATAATATATAATGATGAACTGGAGCAATAAAAATCGAAAAGAAAAAAAATGAAAACTTTTCCAGCTGGCTTATCGTGATGATAATAACAGTAATAATAATTTCCATTTTCTCTCTCGATCACACACATTTATGTGATGTGACATTTGCCATTCCATTGTCAATGTCTTCTTATTATTGTTGTTATAGATGATGATGATGATTTGTTGATGTATGATCAATAGATAGATCGTTATCGGTAAAGCACTAACTAATCAAGACACACATTTTCTCATTTTTGAAATCATTTTTTTTTGAACCTGTTTTTATTTTGAAATTGAAAATTTTCGTATTTTCTGTTAAGGTTTATATTCATCAAAGTTTGACAATAATTTTCACATATTCAGATCATTGATCGTCAATGATTCATGTGGTTTTTTTTCCTGAACAAAATTTTAATCCTTTTGATTGATTGATTTGAAAATCGAAAAATGTTGATTCAATTGTATGTTTTAGTCAAATTCATGTTTATGACAGTATTTGCCACTACCAATGATTCATCACAATCATCGAATGAATTTTGGAGTATTATAAATCATCCTTGTTTTGATCAGAAAAATGCCCACGATTGTCAACAATGGAACTATATGAATAATTCGGAACAATGTATGTGGTGTGAATATTGGTGTATTCATCAACTTAATGGTAAGCACTTAATGATAATTGAAAACAGATTTGAATTAAATTTTTTTTCTGTATCATTCTGAAGCTTCACATGATTGTGAACATTATTCATATCGATTGAATTATCTATTTGAGAAGCCAAAAATTATGACAATCAAACCGAGAGCAGTATTCTCTGATGTACCGATGATGATAACGATTTCTGGACAATATTTAGCACAATCGGATAAATTTTCATCAGTTTATAATGACATTGATAATATAATGTTTACATCTCACAACAAAACTATCGATAGTCCATATCATTGCAAAATTGATCGAAAAACATTCGAATCGATTCGATGTATCATCGAACATATTGATCATACGGCCAAAGAAAGTAAGAGCTCTATAATTGAAATGATAAAATATTTAAATCATTTGTATTTTTTTTCCCTAGTAAAATTGCATCTAGAATATACGAAAACTGTTTTTCAGATCAAACGTTCAGGCATAAAATTTGAAACAAACATCTCATTATCGGTATTACCACATCATAATTTTGATTCTATCGATTCAACTAATATAGATTCAATCGCATACGAATTCAAAATTGTTATTTCGATTATTGGTGGAATGATGCTGATCAGTTCTTGTTGGTTCCTTTATTCACGACGGTTTTATTTTCAGCATCATTATGAAATTTTGAAACTAAAATTCTATTTACAAAAAATGCAACAATATTTACGACAAAAAAATCTTTATCTTGAATATGAATCCGTCGAATTTAAACGAAAATTAGGTGAAGGAAAATTCGGTGAAGTATATTTAGCTCGTTTAACAACAATCGATCAACAGCAACAAAAACAACAAAAAAATGTTGCCATCAAAAGACTTCGAAAAGAAAGTAGCTATTTTCGAATGAAAATGTTTATTACGGAAGGAATTCAAATGAGTCAATATAAACATGAGCGTATACTCATTCCGTTGGCCATTTTCATCGATCGAACCAATAACATGCCATCGATTGTAATGCCATTGATGATAAATGGTAATCTCTGCCATTTTCTTCAACAACGACAGCTATTACCCATTACTGAGCTATTGAAATTTTCTTTACAAATATCGGATGGCATGCGATATTTATCATCGAAAAACTTTATTCATGGTGATCTAGCTGCAAGAAATTGTTTATTGGATGAAAATTTTGATATAAAAATTGGTGATTTTGGTTTTTCACGTCAGCTGTACAAAAAAGATTATCATATAATTGATGGAACTTATCGGCCAATTCGATGGATGTCTATCGAATGTTTGCAGTCTAAGAAATCAAAATTTACGAAAAAATCCGATATCTGGTCATTTGGTGTTGTCCTATGGGAAATATTCACATTAGGATCATATCCATATGAAAATCTAAGCGATAACGATCTATGTAGAGATATCATGAATGGATATCGATTACCACCACCGTCCAGTTGTCCAGATGTAATCTATGCAGTCATGATAAAATGTTGGTCAGAAGATTCAACCAAACGACCGAATTTCGAATGCCTATGCCAAGAAATTAGTCAAATCCTCGCTGCGATCAAACGACAACAACAAGTTGATGAAATGGAAAACGCAAGTGTTGCTGGCACTGATGATCAACAACCAATTACAGTCATTTGTAAATATAATAATTATACCAGTCTAGCTCAACGTTTTATTCGTCCAAATAATCATCTCAACAATGATGATGAAGATGAAGATTTTTTCGAATGTTCCATCGATGTTGATGATAATTGTTGACTACTAGTTGTAATAAAATTTGTCATTCCATCATTATATCTGTACATAATTGAATTAATAATGATTATTTTTTATTTTAAAATAAAAAATTGTTGAACAATGTACATTTTTGAAGTTTAAATAACGCGCCATTTAGCTCGGAACGTCGTTTATGAAATGGACGTTATATAGAAAGCAATGAAAGACAAAGCCAAACTCTTCGAATTGATGATGATGGTTTTTATTGTTGTTGTTGTTTGTGATGTCGATAGGAGCCATTGGTTTGTCGAATATTTGTGTTTGTTTTTGCTGACTATTGAAGACAAGAAAAAATTCTTATTACGTATTTTCGGTTTTTATCGTCGATTTGTATTCTAAACCATTGAATTTACCATTCGTTCATTCACTTGTCTTCATACGTTTCAAAAATTGTGTTTAAATCGGCAAAACGTAACAAATACAAGTGAATGAACAAATGGTAAATTCAAAATACGTAATAAGAATTTTTTCTTGTCTAATTTTCGAATTTCTTTTGTTGTCCTATCAAACAATTTTGTTTATTGCAGTTTTTTTTGGATCGATACAACGACGATAACCAACAATTGAATCAAAATGCCTAATATCAAGCTGCAAAGTAGTGATGGAGAAATATTCGAAGTAGATGTGGAAGTTGCACGTATGTCGAATACATTACGTACTATGCTTGATGATCTGGGTATCGAAGAAGATGATGGTGAACCGATTCCAGTGCAGAATGTAAATTCAGCCATATTACGCAAAGTAATACAATGGGCAACCTATCATAAGAATGATCCACCAACACCAGAAGATGATGATGCACGTGAGAAACGTACAGATGACATATCATCATGGGATGCCGATTTTCTTAAAGTAGATCAAGGCACCTTGTTTGAAATCATTTTGGCTGCTAATTATTTGGATATCAAAGGATTGTTGGATGTTACATGTAAAACCGTAGCGAATATGATACGTGGTAAAACTCCGGAAGAGATTCGTAAAACATTTAATATTAAAAATGATTTTACACCACAAGAAGAGGAACAGATTCGTCGTGAAAATGAATGGTGTGAAGAAAAATGATTCAAATCAAAAAAAAAAAAAAAATCAATTGTTGCCCTACTAATCATCGAAGTAGCAAAGTACACACACACATACACACCCATTGTAGTTGGATCATTTTTGTTTAAATTCAGCAAAAAAACTATTCATCTTTAATCCATTTTTCAGAGTCGTATGTCAAAAAATAAATAAATCACAAATTCATTTGAAAATGTTTTATTTTCTTCCACTATCTTTTATCATAATAATAATAACTCGAATTATAATTTTAAAAAATATCAATAGCCATTTTAGTGATTATGTTTCCGTTTTGCCAATACTAAAATCTATTGGCAAAACTTTTCGGTTTGATCACACCACCATCGCTGATTTTGTCTTCAAGTTTTCGAATATGTTCATTATGTTTAACAATACGTGTACGGGCTTTTTCTCGTGCATATAAAATTTTCTGCATATATCGTAGCATAACCGATGTTTTTCCTTCGGCAACCATATTTTCAAAGATGATATCACGACTATCGTATGGTTGTTCACCTCCATAAAAGAATTTATTCCATTTTCCAATTGCAAATTTAAACCAATTCGTTGAATCGTTCGAATAGCTACGGATCGATGTGCTATGAGTGAATATAATAGGGATTTTAGATTTATATATCTGTTTTAATTCAGGAAAACCTTACCTCAATTGTTTGGAAAAAGTTGGCCTAGCCAACGTTTTGATATTCTGCATTTTTTTTTTTTTTTTTGAAATTAAATGATCAAAATAAATTCTTCGATGGCAGATGAAAAAAGGTCATCGAAAAGTGATGAACGTTGAAAAGTTTTGTTTACAATCGAATTGCATATATTGGATGACTATCGATATTTGCGGTCATCATGAACATGATGATATGGATGAGAAATCGGATTTTTTAAATCTTTCATTCAAAATTTCTTGTCCGGCTTGTTATTGCATGATATTTGTGTTGATTTTATATAATCATGGCTGTCGGAGCATTCCCGTTGATCAAATTGGCTGCTTTGGCAGTGCGACAAATATCCAAACCATTGGCAAATCGAATTAAAATATCGGCCAAAAATAGTCCATTTTTTCGAAATTATATTTGCATGCCTCCAGCACAGATTTATCATTATTTCGAAGTTAATGTCAAAATGAAACTTTTAGGTAAGTAATAATAAGTGATATGTGACATCCAGTTTAATGATAACCGATAAAATTGTTTAAAAAGGTCTTGGAAAACCATCCAATGTAAATAAATTGAATGAAGCTGCCGCTATTGAACTTGGTGCCGAATTACTTGGCGAAGGAATTATATTCATGGTTGCTGTACTGACCATTGCCGCTGAATATTATCGACAAAGTAAAAAGTCAACAGCTGAAGCCACAGCTCTTGAAGAACGATGGCAACGTGTTGAGAATAAAATTCGTGATCTTGAATTTATTGTCGAAAGACATGGAGCAGAAATTCGTGAACTTAATCGAATGATACATACGAATCAATCAAGTATCAAACGATTTACATCCACATTATTTTCCTCTTCAGCAGAACAGAAACCAAAACCGATTGATGATAATAATGAAAAGACCATTAATGAAAAATCTGATGTCATACAAAGTTCCATTGATGAAGCTGTAGATAAAATTCTAAGATAAATTGTTGTTGTAAATACTAAAAGAATTAGATTCAAATGTTTTTTAATGATTCAAAAAAAAAAATTATTTTCAATTAAAATATACAGAAAAAACCGATTACATTGATAAAGCAATGAACGAACGAAAAAGAAAAAATCATTGGCCAACAACAATCCAATCAAGCCATACATCTATTCATTGAGTATCATTAAAATGTAGTGTAATCAATATAATTTCAATTGACCAGTAATCTGATCGATCAATTTATTCGAACCAAAAATTGCCAATACGGTTGTCGAACCAGATTTAACCTGTGTTTTACCTGCATCATGTACCATATAACATGGTAGATCCAATGCAATTGCTTTATGTTCCAATTCAACTAGATGATTGGTATTCTCACCACGTAATACGATTTTTGTTTCGCCATATTCATTCCAACAAAGTAATGATTCACCATATTTACTTTGATGTTGTAATAGAAGTCGATGTAAACCCAATGCTGAATGAGCTACTTGTGCAGCAATTTTACCCACACCCATCGTTAATTCAGAATTGACGATGAAAACCATTTTATAAAGATCATCATCTACATTTTCATAACTTATGAGCGATGATGATTGTTGTTGTTCTTTTGTTCAAGTTCAATGGGAAGATCTTCTGAATCGGCACCATTCGTGAATATCCATTCAATGGCAGCTTCAGCAGATTCATTATTCGTATAATATAATGCTTTTTTAGCCATCATTGAACTAAAACCCATTGACGTTAAATTGATCAGGAATAAATCATTTGGTTTCCATTTTGTTTTCGATTGCGATGATGATGATGGTTGTGATGATGTCAAAGAATTATCACCTACATCTCCAGTACCAGTAGCGGTGGTGGTTGTCGATGTTGGTGGTGGATCATCGGTATTTTCAGTTCCATCGGGAACACCACGATTTTGGTCCATTGTTGAAAAATGATTAATTATAATTAACCATTGATTTGATTATAATCAAATGTCAGAACGATTTTGTTGTTGATCTGCAATGTGATGAACAGATTTTATGAATAGGATGCGGGTTAACGCGTTGATTTTTTTCGATCAAAGGACAAACAATATTCGATTTATCATTCTCTTCAGACATTTTTCATTTCTGTTTTTCGTTAAATAAATCAGGTAAAATTGTCATTGTTTTAATTTTTCTTCCATCTAATTGATAAATGTTTCTCATTTCTCAGATTTGATTATGAATCGTATTATTGGTAATCGAACTACGTTGACAAATTTGTTAATCAACATTAACAAGTAAGTTTGTTGTGATTGCATAACATTTTCTATCACTGATCAGAAATTTTTAATTCACGAAATTTTGAATTGATTTTTATTTGCAATTTTTCTTTTCATACAGAGCTTCATCACGAAACATGTCAGGTGAATGGGGAGCTGGTTCTGGTAAAGTGAGTGAATCAAATTTTGACTTGAACACACCACCACTGTTGTGAATATTTTGAAAATATATTGAATCGTTTAATTCACCTTTCATACAATTCAGGGTGGTGGTTCTGGTGGATCAGTACGTGATGCTGGTGGTGCATTTGGACGAATGGAAGCGGCACGTGAAGAGGAATTTTTTCGCCGTAAACAGCAACAAGAATTGGAAAAATTACGACAAGCTTTGGATTCACAACGCAGTGAATTGCAAAAACAAATCAAAGAACATGAAGCCGAAATTGAACGTTTACGTAAAATTCAAAAGGACGGCCAATAAACAACAATATATAAATGATTCAAATACAACAACGGGTGTATAAAACATTCAACTTCATATTTGAAATCGAAATGCCGAAATAGAGTAGCCTGTTTGAATCATTTTACAGATTGTGTTAATTGTTTTTTCTACCCTAAAAATTCTTGTAATAAATAAAATGATAAATTAGAGCAATTGGGTGAAAATGAAATTTTTCTTTTTATCGGATCTAATTTTTTTAAATTTAATTTTCTTTTTGCGAATGAAATAATTTCATTACCACCAGACAGCGCTATATTGTTTGGATTAATATTTTGGCATATGTTTTTCACGTTGAAGGGCACACGCACATAGGCTTATAATGAATGTACGATAAGCGAAACAATCTTCTTGTTTTGATTATTTGAATTGATTTCGTGTACCTACAGTATCATCATATCATCATCCATTTTGTGTCTGTTTTGTTTTGTTTTGTTTTCACCAATCAAAATATAAAAAATGTTGTTCGGTTTCGGTGGTTGTGATCAATCATATAATCGTCGTGATGATGATGATGATGAGAATATAATTCCATCACGTGTTGCCCAAATACATTTCGATGGGCTTGATCGTACTAAACATGATATTCTACATGAATTAGTAAAGCCAATTCTACAATCAAATGATCTGCCTGAAACATTGCTAAATGTTAATTTTGTTCGACAACGTTTCTATGAGCTTGGCCTTTTTCGAAATGTACAGGTTTCGATCGATACGATCAATAAGGATTCGGTGAATAATGAACCACAGGAAGGTCCAGTTGAATTATCCATCACATTCAATGTGGATGAAACACGAAGATATGCCGGTGGTGTATATGTTGCCGGTAATCATAATGAAGTATCTGGTAATGTCGAACTACGTAGTCCGAATCTATTCGGAAGAGGTATGCATTGATGTTTGTCATTGTTTTTTGCCATAATAATTAATTCAATTTGATTAATAGGCGAAGAAATACGATGCCAATTTGAACATACCCTACGATATTATGCAACATATTCGGCGACATTTTCCAAACCATTAATTCGAACGCCATGGCAAAGTTTAAGATCAAGTTTAGACCTAACTATGCTGCAATTATCCAAATATTGTCAATGGAGCGGTTATAAAGAATTGAATCGTAATTTATTGATTGGCCTCAATATTCAACCACATCGTCTACATCGACATTTATTGCAGTGGGAAACATCATGGCGATATTTATCCGGACTTGGTAATGCCGATTTTCAAATAATCGAACAATTCGATCATTCGATGAAGTCATCATTATCACATACATACATCTATGATAGACGAGACAATGCTGTTTTACCGACCAAAGGTACTATGTTCAAAATGTTCAATGAATATGCTGGCTTTCAAAAGTATGCCGCCTCGTTTCGTAAACATGAGTTTGAATTTCAACATAATCTTGCTTCATTTTTACAATTATCATTCAAGGTTTGATTGTTATAATTTATGTTGAACATTTCCATCAATTTATGAATTATTCTTTTTTTTCAGGGTGGAGCGATGAAAAGTTTCAACAATACAACAGTGAGTGACCGATTTTTCCTTGGTGGTCCACTAAATCTTCGTGGATTCCAAATGTGTGGTGTTGGACCTCATGGTCAGGATGGTATTAGCGCGTTGGGTGCATTGAAATATTGGGTTGGATCCGTACATTTACAATATCCATTGCCATTCAAAAATAGCTTCGATCAATATCTGCGTTTGCATGGATTTTTACAGGCCGGTTCTATATCGGATAAATTCAGCGAACTAACCGAAAATATTCGAACATCATGTGGTGGTGGATTAATATTTGCCTTTGGAAATAATGTACGTCTTGAATTGAACTATTGTCTACCATTATTCAATCAAACATATGATAAAATACATCGAGGTATTCAATTCGGCATCGGAATGTCCTATGTTTAGACACAATTGACAGCAAATTTGAAAAATTCTGATTTTTTTTTTTTTGTAAAATTCTAGTTTTAATTGATTCTTGAAATTCTTCAATGATTGAGATTGTTATAATATCTGAGGGAATAAATTATTTTTCAATAAACTCGAAATAAATAACTTATCATCATCATAGAATTTATAATTCACCAGTTTTCCTGTATTTTATTTTTTAATTTATGGAAGTCAACAGTAAAAAAGACAATTTTATCTTTTTTTAAATTACAATTATTAAATGGTTAAAACTGTTTTCAAATGGAGAATTATAAATTCTATATATGACAAGTTCTTTATTTCGTATGCATTAAAAATGGTTGATGAAAGTGATGAAAAAGATGTGACAAATAAAATTCATAATTATAATCAAGATCAACATGCCGAGATCTGCTTCGAATGTTTTCGAGGCCAATAATAATTTACATAATTTAATTCTGATGGATAAGATTTCCTTTTTATACAATTGAATCGGACCAATCAATCAATGACAGCCACAAGATTGAACGACCATATTCTTGAATTTTTTAAGTACAACATTTGAATTGTCATCAAAGTAGAGGACCATTATTGATGATAATTGGGATGGTGCACAACATGGTTTCGGTACATGACGATACATAATGTGATAAAGATTTTGTACGACCGCATGATTCGTTGCATTCATATGGGTATTCATTGGAAATGAACAATCACCATGACAGAAGAACGCTGAATAGCCATCCGGTGCAATGATCCAATCTTGCCAGTTTAGATCACGAAACGATACGAATAATGTACGTTTCTGACAGCTTTTTGATATATATCGATCATTCGTATCTGTTTGATTTAGAGATTAGAGAAGAAATAAATCATTCATATTACTCACTAAGAAAAGGGTTCCGATCATCCGGATCATAGTACGAAGATTCAGATCGTTTTCGATTCAAAACGGCACGTCTTGCACGCTGTTTATTCTGAAACATTTGTGCTCTATTCGATGATGATGTTTGTAGGTCATTCGTATTCGATTTTATATAGGCCGTCATAAATGGTTGATATTTTTTGAATCCACGAGAATTGAATAGCCCTATGCTTTTGGGACTAAGATCTTTGGCTATTGGAGTATGAGAGAAATTGGAATTATTCAAAGTTGTCAATGTCAACCATCAACCTTCCACTTACGAATACTGCTGGTACGAATCTGTAGATAAAGACCCAAATTTTGACCAGGAAATTTTAGCCAATCTAATAATGGCTGTGTAACATTGAACCGTAACCATCCCCAACATGACCATCGATTTTGATTGAATCTACATAATTCTTGATGATTTCGCCACGATCAAAAAGCTGAAATAATGTCAATTGAAATGTGTAGCTTGAATTGAAACGGTGTCGGATTGGATCACGATATATCCTCAGTTCAGCATCGATAATTTCCGAATTTTGGGGAACATTCGTAATGTTAAACCAAAATCGTCGATCACGATTATGACGTAAATTTTTATTATTTCGTTGTGTTTTGATTCGATTATTAAAACTGATTATTACATCAGATTGTGTCATTTCAAGAAGACTTTGATTCGAAATCAGATCTGTATGTCGAACCATAGATGGATGACCATCATTGAATGATGTGTAGAGATTCATTAAAAAATTTGATGCCGATTCATCGGTTCCATATTTTTTTGGTTTAGGTCGATGATCCAAACCTAACACATGTAGGATTTCTTCCTGTAATTCTTGTTGTTCATATTGTGGAAGAAATTTGAAGGCAACACTCTGTTGCATGGAATTATCAGTATAAAAATAACGTAATGATGATGGATCCATTGCAGAACCGGAAGCGGCCATATTGTCCGATAATGTTAATGATAATGCAATGTAACCGATGAATGAAAAAAAGTAAAGAAGAAATCTAAAACAATTTGGTGACATTATGATTAACCAATAAGATTGATTTGGCGGTTGCTATTTTTGGTTTTTGTCAACAAACAACAAAAAAAAACGAAGAAAACAATAACAAACAAATTAGAATCACAAATTCGTTATTACTGTTATATATTTGAATCACTGATAATCAATGAACATGAACAAGAAAATGGGGACATAATAATATTATCCAGGAAATAATAATCATCATCATTATCATGAACATTTCAATCGAACAAATTGTTTCACAATTGCACATTTGAAATCATGATTACTGCTATGATTATAATGATAATGATGATGGGGATAACATTGATGGTAATAATGGCGCATTTTCTCATGAATGATCCGTAGACAAACAAAACCATTCATTCATTTTCATTTTTTTTTCATGGCTGTCATCAATCATTCAATCAATCAATTAATCAACCGAATTACAGGAAAAAATGATAGTCGCAAGTTGTTTTTTTTTTGGTCGATATATGATGCAGATCAGATCGATCATTACATCCACATGGAATACTAATATTTAATCCGAGAATAGGCTATGTCTATAACCGAAAATGACGACTCTATGGTTTGAACAACAATATTGATTTTTTTTGGGGTGTGGGGCAAAAATGAATGGATTAAGGATAGGACCACTTCCATAGCCATCAACATCTTCAGCCATCATTCGAACCATCATTAAAATATAGAACAGATACCCACACACATTTATATAGAGGCAATATACACAAAATGCATCATGTCTGGCAATTACGGGTTGTCAAGCAATAAAAATAATATACTGAAAATTGTATGCTTAGAATTCAACTAAATGAATTGAATTTCATTCAACACATTCTAGCTATATTCGATTTGTATAAATTTATGATGTAGGCAATATGCACTCGATCGTTGATAAATGTCAAAGTGATCGATGATAATCAAATACAAATACAATACCTTTTCGATTCTTTCAAGTCAATATATGACGATACATACACAGTTATAGATTAAAATTATTCAAGTTATTCACTGGATCAAATTATCATTCGATTATTGATGAGCAAGTGAAAGTGCTTGATAGCAAAAAAAAAAAAAAAAAAACAATGCTTGTTAGACAGAACAAACAAGAATAGTTGTTGTTGCCGTTCGCGGTTATGAGATATTGATGTTGATCGTAGCTGGCCAGGTATGATCTCAATTGCAGGGGTAGCTTTGCTCAACAGGTAGCTTGTTCATCTAGCAGCAAACTGAACAACAGAAAAATGGACAAACAGAGATGATTATGATAAGAATCGTTTTTCTTTTTCTGGAATGTCTACACGAACACACACACACACACACACCACACACGAACAATTCCATTCACCATTGGTTCACGAACTTAGAGCTGTAGCTACTTTGGATTTTAATGATGATGAACTTCGTGAGTGGTGGTCATCGTTTTTGATATAGGCAACAATGTTCGTAGTGGTGGCGACCTAGCAGGTTTGACATGATAATTAATGGGCAAAAGAAATTCTGTATTTTTGAAAGAGTGAATTCGGTGAAAAATGACTATTGTTAAATTGATTATCATATAGGTCGTATAATATTTAATGGTAAAAAATGACATGATTGTAAAATTCAGAAATAAATTTTTTAGATATCAATTATAACATAGACATCGACACGATCATCTTTTTTATGGATCTGCATATTTGAATAAGTGATTGCTTTCACTTCGGTACCTTGTGGATGTTTATCGAGGTTGAATACTTCACCATAACATCGTGCTTTAATACGAAAATCTTGCCAATTCATTTCCAAGATTTCAACTTTCTTTAAATGTTAGAATAGAAAAAACATTTACATTTTTTTGAAATCAATGATTAAAAAAATTAATTTACCTTGGGTATAAGAAATGGCTCAGCATTGAATAGGAACAATACATCGTCAAGAAAACGAAACAACATACTGCTTTCATCATCACCACCACTAGCTTCAACATCGGCATATTTTTCAATTGAAACCGTTTTCAAATCGGTTATATAACCAAAAACACCCATTGCACATTGTTCGAATGCTTCTTTCAAATCTTTACCCCAGGCATGGATTCTTTGATTGTGAAGAAAAAAATTGTCAACAGTTTTGAAAGATGAAAAATAAAACTTACTGAACATCGGCAGTATGATCAAGATCTATCAATTGGTAATGAAATAATTAGAAAATTATTAGCAAGTTTAATTCAAATATTTACATTCATAATGAACAGGCGGAATCGATGGATTAAAATCCTTTTCAACATCTTGAAGATCCATGATTGATGTAATTTCGAAAATTTGATTTGGCAATAATCAAATTTTCAATACACACGTGACAAGCCGTAACATTGTTTTTGGATAGGAGCAATTTGAAAATTTCTCATTGAAAATGTGATTCATTTTTAATAAGAATTTATTTATTCTAAAAAAAATTCATTCAAAATTCAAGGCAATAACAACGACATAATATAGGCAATAAAGAAGACATAACATATAGAACCGAAGGAGTTAGAATGATAAAAAAAAACTTGTTAAATCTAGCGGACAAAGCTAAAAAAACAATTTAGATGGAAGCCGGCTAAGAAAAATGGCCAAACGTTGGACCAGAAATGGCATCGAATATCGGAATATATGAGGATCGATGATTAAGAAAATCCAATTCGGATTTTAGTTTTTCAAAATTTAGCTTCAAATTATTATGATATTCGGTTTGATTCGATTTGATCAATCGTTCGTTCAATTTTAAGGCACTTTCACATAGGTCAAGGAATTGTTCGAATAAAAATTTCAAATGTTTTTGACTTTCATCAAAATTTTCATCATGAATATTATTATCATCATAATCATCATCGATTCCATTGGTCATCATTATGATTTTCTGTTGTTCATCATCGATGCTCGGTTTGGTTTTCAGGAATGCATTTGCATATGCGATTGGTCCACAATTGACAGTCACATGTACGGATCCTTGTAAAACCAATTGTAAATGTTTAACATCTTGATTCATGATTACATGCTCTAATTGATAGACACGTTCCTGCATTTCATCGATGGCCACATCGATTGGATTTAATATCACTTCTTTCTTGCTAATAACCGGTATACGTTTCAAGAAATATGGAAAACTATGGCCGGCGGTAAGAATGACTCGTTTTTTATATTGTTCAGCAACGGATTGAGCAATTTTACTGTCTAAACGTTGTTCATAGACAAACTGTAGTACGCCGACATTCTTTTCAAATTGATTACGTGCATTTTCAATGTATGGTGTTACATGTGTAACAACGATAATTAGGTTTCCACATTGTTTACTATTATTTAAATTGGGTATTTCGCCATTCGAATGTGAATGTAATGATTCAGTCGTATTTGATTCAATCTGTTGAATTGTCGGTGAATCTGCAGCTAAGAATGTTGCATTCGGATAAAATGCCTGCATTTTGGCCGTCATTTCCGATAATGAGACTAGTTTGGGCATTTTATAAATGTATTCCATTTTCTGTCCCGTGTTCAGATAATAGAATGCCACTCTGTGGAGAAAAAAAATTCGTTAATATATTAATATTGACACATAAATTGCCTACCTGAAAAAAGTATCGAAAATTCTTTTACCCGAATCATTAATCTCCTGTGCTTTTGAATGCATTTTTGAAATTTTCGTATAGAGTATGGAAAGTTTTTTATGTTCATATTCTTTTTCATAAGATGACATTACAACTTTCAATACATGTGGTGCTAGTTCATAAAGTTCGGCTTTTTCAAATAGATCAACACATTCTTGGATGATTGATTCGAGTACATCGATCGATACATGGCTCTCTTCCAATTCAAGCCAATCAGATTCACGTTTTATCGAATCTTTAGTCATAATATTATCCGATACTTTACTTATATTGAGCATACCGTCAATGATATGAATTTCTTTGGAAGACAATTGTTCAATGAGTATTGCTATCACTTGACATAGGCACATTGCTGCTTCGGCCCAATCATGATTCTTGATATGAACTTCACTTAAATTCTCTAGCCATGTTCGTAATAAAGAACGCGATGTTCGTGCATATGAATTGGCCAATTGTAATCGAAGTTCAGAAGCTGAATATGGATCAAAATATTCTTCACGAATCTGTTTAGTTGCTTTTAATATTTCACGTATACGTTCAACAATCATTGTGATGGAAATCTCTTCTTCACCATCATCGGTATATATCTGTAAGGTTTTCGTATCGGCAATTGCAAGCTGTTCCAAACGATTCAACGATGAATGTAGATAGAGCAGACCATGTGGATCACTTGAAGCCAATCTCGAAACACAAACAATCGTCTCGAATCGTGTACGTTTCATATTAGTCACAAATAAACAATACTAATTTGTTTGAGTAAAATTAGATCAATGAGTTAGAAAGACAAAATAAATCTTACCAATAAATCAGTAGCTCCTTGTCGAATAGGAGTTAAAGAAGAGTTGCAATATCGTATAACTTTCGAAATGATTGGCGATAGAAATGCATCCGAATTGAATAAAAGAAGGGAAAATTTATGAACAAAATATCTGACACTATTGAATAAATGTATCAAAACTGTTTGACTTTGTGGTATTGTCATCAGCGTTAGATAGATTGATAGAATTTGTGATATTGAATGATCGATTGGTTCTTGATCATTATCCAGATAGAGATGAATCGTACGTAATGTTATCAATGCTGATTGTATGGATAGATTCTGTTGCAGGAGATAGTTGGTTAAATGATTCTCACCAGTACTATGGTGAGGATGATAATGGTGGTGGTTTGTTGTCAAAGTATTCATTACAAAGCTATGATGATGATGATGATGATGATGATGGTTAAGATTATTTGCATTGCTACTACTAATCGAATTGGGCATAGTTTTCGAACGATTATCAGTAAATTTTTTTGGTTTATATTCAAAACAATTGATGGCCAATTCCAGACATAGAAACAAATCTTTTCGTTGTTTTTTCGTCAATAGATTCATACGTTCGGTGTTGATCATTTGTACGATACATAAGAAACAAATGAAAAGATCACGAACCTCTTCATTACTGAATTTATCAAATCGAACTGTATTACTAGTCGAACTGACCGCTAATGTTATCGATGTTGCAGCAGAATTTGTTCGATTATGTCCGGTCAATGTATTGACAGAACCAATCGTTGAATTTGAGCTATATGAACTGATTGAGCTAAGTGTTGATGATATTTCCGATGTAGATCGAACTAATAACGAATTAAGACCATCAATGGAATTTTGTTGATGTTGTTCATGAATTGTTGCAAATGAATGCTGTTTTGAACCATGCGAATGTGTAGAAGATAAATTCTGTGTGTTTGGATTACTCGAAATGGCCGAATCCATCATTCGATTACAATTCTCTAATATGACGGATAATATGGGTAAATATAGACAAATGACCTTTTCACGACATTCCAATGATGAATAACGATCATCGAGCATATGTTTGGTCAATTGATTACGAATAATGGACAAAGCTAATTGTCGAATCTGGCGAACACTTGTTGCTGATTGATGATATAATGAACGAAATTCATTCAATATGAGGAATGCGGGAAAATGTTTACTACAAAATTCTATTGTCAATGTTGCTGTATCTTGTAGTTGCATTGGATTACAAAATGGAATAAAATGTTCATGTGCCAAAAGAGTAGCGATAGCGTTGAATTTCAATTCCTGTATAACAATATCACGTGATGATAGACAATTGACATGATGAAACATGGCATTGAATATGATGGAACGATCAAAAAATGAACATAATCTTGTCATGAAATGAGTTAACGCTCGATTAGCATCTTGTACTTCTTCAAGCCGAGAATTCATTGAAATCACAGTAGATGCATGTTCAAAAAATGATTTTAGATTCATCACGAATTCTTCATCAAATCTTTCTTCACGTTTCCAACGAATTCGACCAGTTTGAATAAGATATTGAGCCATTGACTTGGTCATTATTTGCAAAAGAAACCATAAATTACTGATCAGTAATTTCATCTCTTCAGTATTCGTCATTACAGTAGTGGAAATCGATTGTTGTTGTTGTTGTTGCTGCTGCTGTTGTTTGCCATTCGGATTGAATTGTTCAAACATTTTATTGATCAAAATGATCAATTGATCATGGATGTATAGATTACAGAATTCGGCCGTTTCAAATGTAGAATAGATGAATTGATGGAGGATATCTAATTGATTATCACGGCGAAATTGATCCACTAAACGAATGATTGTATTTATTGATTCTTGTATCAATTCTTGGCTAGCAGCATAAATAATTAATTTGAACAATTGTTGAATGATAATCTGTGAAAAATGTATCAATTCTTCTGGATCACAATGGGGCAATTGTCGAAGCATTTTTGGTATTTGTCTTTCCAATGATATTATATGTGAAATTTCTTTTGAATCATTTCGATGTGACCGTGTTATTTTAATCACTGATAATAGTGTATTGTGCAATTCGAAATCGCGTGATATAATTGATGATGTTAGCGATAAGGAAACCTTGAAAACTTCTTTACCCACAACTTTAACATCGGGCATTGAAAGACCTTTGCCAAGGCCTAATGATTGACAGGAAAGATAGTTATTGGGAAGAGAAGCAAAAACTGATAATGCCAGATTCTGACAATGAATTTGACGTTTTTCCGACGAAATTGGCAGCCATGAATAGCCGACGATTGAATATAAACATTCTTTCTTGCATGATATGTGTGAAAAAGTGAAGAGAATATGAAGTTTTTCACTGAAATTTAATGGTAATGCTACTTTGATTTCTTCGAAAAAATCCGGTGTGACACTATGTTTTGAAACAGCTGTCGTAGCCGATGTGACGAACAACGATGAATCATGTGGTCTACCGTATATAATTGGCAATGATCGTGATTCATTCGTATTATCCGTATCACGAATTTCGATTGTAACACATAGATTTCTTGCTTTTGAAAATACTCGTTGTGAATCATAACGTAAACTTTGTGGATAAATATAGAGTATATTAAAGAATTCGGTATAAGGTTGTGATAACAGTCGTAATGATTGAATTTCAACAATCGGATTGATCAACACCTGTTGCTGTTGTGTTTTTTTGCCACTATTTTCCGAATCGATAGCTTTCCGCGCATAAACAGATGGATTGAAAATGACAATTTCAGCATTATTCTCCTTTTCTTCATGTTGGCTTTTAATTTGTTTCAAAAATGTTTTCAAATCGATCAATTCAATCTCAAGTCTTCCACTGATGATTGTTTGTGACCGCGTAGAAGTGGATTGATGAGAAACCTGATTTAGAATGTTACAGATGAATTCATCTGACAAACGATTCTGATCCATTTTATAGAATAGGCCGAAACTTGGATTCGTTTCCAGATTCAATGAATCTGGATGAAACAGTGGTCGTATACTCCATGCATATGGTTCAACATGTTGTAGAATCATCAGACTATGTGCAACTTTATTATTATTATTTTGACTATTATTCTGGCTATTGATAATTGGACAGCACATATAATTCTGCAATCGGTGCCATGTCCGTTCTACACGTAGAACAAGATAAAGATCATTTGGATTCGAATGATTAAGGTCGACTTGAAACAATGCCTTTGTAACTGTACACAATAGTTTTTGATCGAAACCACGATTGCCTTCGGCTAGAGAGGATGATCTACACGAATGAATATCAGATGATACAACATAACGAAATTCTTCGGAAAGTTTTCCCAATTTACAATCAAACAGGGAAATACGATAAAAATATGAATCATTCAAACGAGAACGATCATTATTTATGGATGGAATGGCTATATCAGTCGATTTGATCATCAATACGAAACGAAATATTCGCTGTTGTTGTTGTTGTTGCTGTTGTTGATGATGATGATGATGATTTATTTCAAGAAAATTGAATTCTTTATCATTTGACAAAAAAACATTTTGATTATGAGAATTTAGATAGTTAAAATCTTCAGTAAATTTATTGAAAAAATCTTTTCTAATATTCATATCATTATAGGCAGCGAATAGATTGATATTGTTGATTAGATCCAAACTTTTCAATTTCTGGGAAATTTCTTCAGCATCATGATTCAATATACGTTGCAATTGGTGCATTGGTTCAAATTCTTGCACAATATTCGAATTGATATCCTTAATCCAATCATCGATGAATTTGGAATCAGTACGGATGATGTGGCGATTCACCTGAAAACTATTATTTGAAGCTTGATCTTGATCGGAAAATCGTTCAACTTTTTGATTCACTTCAATATGCCATAAGATTTTATTCCTTCGATTTGTATCGAAAAATGTAAGAAAACAATCATGTTCATCACGTGAAAGTGTGAGCCAACCATTACGGAAATCACCATCACCTTCACCAATGACTGATGCATTACCTTCACGAATGAGCATTTTTGTCCACAAATTCCACCTGATTCATAATCATCGTCATCACATTCAAATACATGAGGTCGGAGTGGAAAATTTGTTAGAAACTTTTTGATGTTAATAATTCATTGGCAATGAAATCGGCGGATGATTTAGTTGAGGTCAGATGATTATGGAATGATGATGATGAGGAGGATGTATCTAGCATAGTACCAAAATATTTCGATAGCGAACAATAATGTACAAGATGTTTACAATCGGTGTAATGTGTTAAACATTCATTACTGAATGGCGATGTAATTTTAATTTTTTCACGTGAATAATAACGATTAAAATCAAATTTCATATCTTTAGGCTGATCAATACATTTGATATCATCTTCATCTTTGATGAGAAAGTTTTCAGCAAAATGTTTCATCAACGGTTTTGTTTCTGTATCATCTATGTCCGTTTGTTGTTCTTGTTGTAATTGTTGCTGTTGGCTATAATGTTCAATTTCTTCATAAAGTTCCTGTTCCCATTGACGAACTTTACTTTCATAATCAGATTCAATGCAGGACAGAAATGTTGATTCATTATTAACATTTAATGATTGTCGTAATTCACGTGAAACAGTTTCACGTGTTTTAGCCGCTGTTCCATGTTCGGAAAGTGTTGCTTTTAATCGTGTGAAACGTCTTTCGGACATTATTTCCAAACGGGGTATTTCAGGCAAAAAGTTTAATCAAATAAATAAATTCAACAACAGAATAAACTTTTTTCCTTTATTATTTAATGAGTATTTCCGTTTGATGATAAATGACATGTTATGAGTGAAAAAAAAACAAAAAAGTAATAAATCAAGTTCAATAAATTACGTCATCGAGATGGACATACTATTGGATAAAATCAAGTATTGGTTGCATTAAATGAGTCATCGATGTTTGATGACTGTCAATTGTTGATCGTACAAGAATATTGTCTTGAATGAAAAATCTGAATTAGATGAAAAATCAGCAGGTGACCAGCACACAATACACTCTAATGGCACCAGCTAATATATCCATTTTTCATCAACAACAAACTCAAGAAACATTTTGCAGAAAAATTCATTCATTCAATTCAACAAAACAACAACAACAACAACAACAATAACATTGAACACCATCAGCACAAGCTGAGAAACAAGAATGGATACAGAACAATTTACCGATAGTATCGATTTTGATGTTCATTACTTTGACTTTTAAATTTTTTTTTCCAAGAAGAATTTCATAAATTTTGATATTTGTGTAATAATAATAATTCATTTAATTTGAATATATTTAACACAACAACTACAAAAATGTGATGAAAATAAAAGCTTCAATATTTTCATGGATGGGCTGGTGTTGACGGTGGTCCCGAAATCGTTTTTGGTTGATTTTGTTGCTGGCCATGTGTTTTATTTGATTGTTGGGACTTTTCTTTTTGGTCACTTCCAGGCAATGGTGGCAATACATTATCCTTGAATAGATTGAAAATATTACCCGGTGGATCATAATTACAAACAACATATACTGTATTAGCACTTTTAGCATAGCCAACGCCCAAACGTTTGGTTTGTTTCCAGACAAGATTAGTGAAATGTCCAATTTTTGCAAATATTGTTTTTGGTGGGTCCTTACCGAAATGTGGATAATACTCCTCGATTTCATTGTACCATGATTGTACCGGTTCGAAACCGTTCAGTGTGATTTTACTATAATGACTTTTATAAAAAAGATTTTCTCCAAATTTACTATTTTCACGTGGAATACATTGATTGATTTTAGCTAGATGTATGGCCCATTCTTGTGCATAACGTTGAAGATCCTTGTAGATTGATAATGGTGGTGCCTGATGTTTTGCTCGCAATTCATTTGTATAATCAAGAAATTGTTGATAGAATTTTGGATCAACTTCTAGAACGTTTGTCGGTGCCAATTTAAAATCTTCTTTGGGAGCAATACGACAAGTGGTACTACATTCCACTTCTTTTGATGGCAAAATTTGATCTTTGAACGTATCCGGTATGGCACCACGTGGATCAAAATAACAAACAACATATACAGTATTCGTACCTTTTGCAAAACCGACGCCCATACGTTTTGTATCTTTCCATAGTAGATTGGCAAAATTAATGATTTTCGGATACAATGTTTTCGGTGGTTCTTTACCGAAATAAGGGAAATATTCTTCAATTTCGTTATACCATGATTGCACAGTTTCGATACCGTTCAATGTGATTTTTGCATCATGACTTTTAGTGAAAAGATTTTCACCAAATTTACTCTGTTCTCTAGGCACAGATTTGTTGATTTTAGCCAAATGATCGGCCCAATCTTGTGCATATTTATTCAATGTAGGATGTAATGTTAATTTAGGCACTTGATGTTTGGCACGAAGATCATTAGTATATTCGAGAACTTGTTGATTGAAATTTTGATCCACTTCCAGAATGCTTCGTGCTGCCATCGATAATTGAGAGATAAGAGCTGTTGATATTCGACTCGATGTGATCGTTTCGGTGACCAAAGGTGGTAATACATTATCTTTGAATGCTGTGAATAGATTACCGGGTGGATCATAATTGGCGACAACATAGACCGTATTGGTTCCTTTGGCATAACCAACACCCATACGTTGAGTTTCCTTCCAGACAAGATTGGTGAAATGTCCCACCTTATTGAAAATTGACTTGGGTGGATCTTTACCGAAGAATGGATAATAATCTTCGATTTCATCATACCATGATTGAACCGGTTCATATCCATTCAGTGTAATCTTACTATATTGATATTTATAATAGATATTCTCTCCATATTTGGTCTGATCACGATGAATACATTGATTCAGTTTGGCCAGATGATTGGCCCATTCCTGTGCAAATTTATTCAGATCTTTAAACAACGATAATGGTGGTGCCTGATGTTTGGCTCGTAATTCATTCGTATAATCCAATACTTGGTGATAGAAATTGGAATCCACTTCCAGTAAATTCGTTCCAGAGAAAAGACCACCTTTGGGTGGTATTCGACATAATGTTATCGTTTCTATTACTTTCGTTCCATCCTGTTCATAATATTCACGAAAACGTTTCTCTTCACCATTATCTTCGTTTTTTTCCATTCGCTATTCTTTTATTTGTATGGTCGAATAAAAACGAAAAATTCCGATTATAATTCTGCATAACAATCAAATGAAAAATCTAGTGTTTATTACCGTAGGCATCGATTGTTGTTCATTTTTAATTTAAAAAATCGAATTTGATCACAAATTAATCAATCAACCAATTAGTCAATAAATCAAAAAATCATAGCCATTATGAACGTTGCATTGAAAATCATCACAATTAGATTGAGCTGGTGGATGCAAAAACGTGTCATATTTTTTTAATAACTTGAATTTCCAATTAATTTCCATTCATCATGAATGTTAGTATTGATCAATTTATTTTTAAGCATTTTATTAACATTTACAGTAATTTACAGACATTTGACTGGTATTATCTACTTTTGACATTTCCATACACTTTATTTGGTCCAATGATACCATTATTGGCCATAAGCTATGTTGCTAAATGTATTCCGATCATCTATCTTATTATGACAATCATGAATAACCGGACAGTGAAACGATTCGATTATTCACGTAAAATTGCTGCAGGTCTTTTAGCTTCGGTCATTGGCGATGTTTATATACTGAACATGGAAGAGGTATCCAGATCCTATTTGATATATGGTATCATAAGTTTTGCATTGGTAAATTCAAAACATTTTTACAATCATGATCAATACAATTAATGATGTTCATTAATTGAGGCTCATATATTTTATATATCGGCCTTTAGTTTCAGGAATTACAGATATCACCATTTCTTTATTGTCATTATAATATTCAGCTTGTCATATGTCATGACTCATGAACGATTGTATGGAATGAATTTTATGGAACGAATAGCAATTCCAACTTATAGTTTCATCATACTGACAATGGCCTGTTGTGCTTTTTTATATAAAGATTTCATATCCATTTGGAATCGTATTCCGGCTACTCGTATGGCAGCAATCTCGTTTGTCATTTCGGATTCTATTTTAGGTTTGACCGAAATAACAGGCATGATTGGACCACATATTATACCAAAATATGTGTCACATGTACTCATATTATCAACCTATTATTTTGCCCAATATTGTTTCACAAGATCAGCTCTTTTTCTCTAAGCCTCTTTTCATGTCAGATGAATTTGAACAACTTTTGCGCTACAAACGGGTCTTTTTAGGTGAAAATAGACGACCATAATATTTTGTTGTCATTCATCGTTTTTGGTTATTGTTGTGTTAAATTAAATATAAAGTTTTGTTTGACAATGTGGAAAAATGACAAGATTGAAGAAATTATAGTGTTGTGATGATTTTGTATACAAAATTAGCATCTGTTAGAAGATGAGTTCACCAAGAGCGAGACCAAAATCAGATATGGATATTGAAAAGCATCGTGAAGAAGGTAATTGGCAGCAATGTTTAAAGCTAGCACAACAAAGTACCGAACATAAAGAGCTGCAAAATTTTCTCACTGGCGAAGCGAAATTGGAGATTTTTCTGGAAGAGATAGCCAAAAAGAATGGCGATTCAAAAAGCAAACAAAATGATGAAATCGATTCGACCGTATTGGATGAGGCTAAAAGTTTCCTAAAGAAATGTATCGAAGGTAATGATGAAACGCCGTTGATGATGGATGCAAATCTTTTACTAGCCAAAGCCTATTACATATCGGGTGATTATCATGATGCATTGAATTATATTCGCCAATCCGGTATCGATTCGATTCTAGATGTTGATCGAAATCTGCCTTTACGTGTGATCAAATTGATTGCCGAATCCTTTACAGTGAAAGGAATGTCGTTGGAAAAGATTTCCAATCTAAAACCATTGAAATATATTGACCAGGTTTATGATCTGGCCGATAGTTATGCTAAATCAGCCGATAAAGAATGGAACATGAATGGCGGTGGCAGTAAATTTCGAAAGCAAACAACATTCGAAGATAAAGAATCATATCGAACACAGATTGATTGCCTTCAAAAAGCATCAATGTTGGCCATGAGATATGTGCATGGAATCACTCAACTTCGTGGTCCATATTTGATCGTCAATTTAGGCTGTATTCTTGAAAGTGCATTGTTAAAAACACACCATGTATTTATTAAAAATGACCATTCACAAGGTGCAATCGATTATTGCCGTCGAATGTTGAATGTTTGTGAAACGAATTCAACGCTGAACATTCGACAATTATTATCGAAAAGAATTGGCCGAAATCCTGATCAAAGGAATGTGTCGTAGTGTTTGGAAAAAACCCGAACATCATCTCAAACAACAATCAAATCCACCAATTTATTTTGGTAATTCATTATTTTTACCACAAGAATTCGAAGAAGAAGTAATGCTATTACTGATGCTAAGCGAAGCATTAGCCTCATTGAATGTATTGCTCGAACGTAGTCCAGATTTTCATGAAAGTCGTGTGCAATCATTGAATAAAGTGTTATTGATACAGGATCTATTTACAATGTTTTTGGTACCGCTACAATGTTATTATGTGGATACATACGAACGAGCAATGAAATATAGTTACGAAGTGAAACACGTTTGGTATCAATTTGCATTGACATTGATGGAATCGAAAAAAAGTCCCCTTAGAAGTTATTTACTATTCAAAGAAGTAATTCGTATGGACCCACAGGATCCGATTCCTTGTCTCTTTGCAGCCAAATTATGTTTAACCGAATTAAATCGTTTTGAGGATGCAAACGAAATTCTACAAGATGCATTGAATCGTCATGAAAAATTGATCGAAAATCGTAAAAAACAAAGTATAACAAGTAGTATAGATGCTTATGCCGGTCAACAATCGTACGAATCATCGGCATTGATCAATCATATTAATGAGATTTATGGTGAACAAAATCTATTACATCACATCTATCTCTTGTTAGGCATTACCAATGCTTTGTTATATGAATCTGATACAGAAACGTCAAAAAAATTTCGAAAAAAATATCTAGCTGATTCTGTGGGTCATTTAAATGAATCGATAGAGCAAGATATTTATGGCAATGATCATCTGCCTTATTTTCATCTTGCTCTTCACCTAGCACATCAACGAGTGTTGAAAGAAGCAATTAAATATGTTCGTGTGTCTTTATTATTGAATGGACATCATTTACCATCAATACAATTATTAATATTATGTTTGACTGGCCTGAAACAATATGATGAAGCTTATGAACTTTGTCAGAATGCATTGAAAGAATATGAATCGCATCTAATATTGTTGTACATAAAAGCAAACCTGGAACGAATCGTATGTGAGAATGGTCACGAATTGGCTTTGTTAACGGCCAAAGAAATGCTTAAACAATGGAGATTAGTCGCCGGTGAAGAGAATCGACGTCTCAGTCCTCGTGCATCATATTGTTCATTCATTCCGACTATCAATTATGATACAATGTCGCTTCGAATGGAGCAAACATTGAGCGAAGTAATATCATTGGAATCGGCTCCCGTTGGTAGCGGCAGTAATTCGGCTGGTCAACAGCTACATCAGCCCCAGGATCTATCATTCGGTCAATCGGATCGGTTATATCTAAGTCAGGCCAGTAGTGTGAATGGATCGAATCTGGTGCTCAACGAAAATCGGCCTTGTTCACAAGCATTCGAAATGCAAATCTGGTTATTGATTGTCGAATTGTTTCTTCAATTGGATCAGGTTTGTCTCAAAATGGTTAAATGTTGTTGTAATAATTTTTTTTCTAAATCTAGATAAATGAAGCTGAAACCTGTGTAAATGATGGCGCAGTAGCTGTTTTTGGTCAATTATCACATCAGCTGATGTACATAAAAGGAGTGATTAGTAAGAAACGTGGACATTATTATGATGCTAAAATACATTTCCATAATGCCATATCAATTAATCCTAAACATGCTCAAGCTTTACAACAACTTGGCCATACCTATCATATGTTGGGCAATCAGATAATTGCAGAAAAATATCTTAAAGATTCACTAAATATTGATTCAACACGTCATGAAACATGGTGTTATCTGGGCCTAGTACTCGATGCAATGAATGAAGATGAACGTGCAACTGAATGTCATTTAACATCGATTCGTTTGGAAGAATCTAGTCCATTGCTTCCATTCTCAATCATTCCTCGATGCGTTCTAGAATAATGTTAATATTAATTTGTTTGTTCTGTTTGTGTTTTGTTGATTGCTATTGTTTATTTTTTTTTCTTCACAATTCTAATTGTATTTGGATCGCTATATTTTATTGTGTGTGTGTATGTGTGTTTGTTGAGAAATTAAATAAATTTCGTTCAATTTCAATCAAAAGAAAAAAATTATTTTTGTTAAAATTTTTCTTTCAAAAATGATGACAAATCAAGAGAATAGCCGAATTTATTTTACGGATCAAACAAAAATGTCATTGAATCTGATTGAATTACGTTTGGATAATCATTTGGAACGTATAATGAAAGCACATCGTTTAGCTAATTTTTGTAATGCAATCAAAAAGCTACCGGTTCAATCGAGAATTTGTGAGAAATTATTAGAAGTTATGGTAATGTTATTTTTTTTGCATTCATTGCAAAGTTATAAAATAAGAATTTTGTTTGATTTTCACAGAATTCTTGTCAAAGCCTCATACATCGTAAAATGTCACTGATTAAAGAGGCTAAAAATACTTTGACCGAACTACGTGCATTACATGGAACATCATCATCATCATCATCGACAGAAGAAAAAACGGGACTGATGTCAAAAGAAATGTTTGATCGTGTGAAACAGGTGTCCACAACAACCGAACGAATTGTATGGGCTTTAAATTCAAATAAAGAACATTTATGTTATATAGCACGTAAATTCAAGATACCTGAGCTTTACTGTCATGGTCATAATGTTGATGAAGTTGGCGATAATGATAATGCTGCTGGTGGTGGTAATTTTCATGAGCAAAAAAATTCATCATCATACGGTAATTTGAATGCAGATGAATCCATATGTTTGCGACGGCAGTTGATCACACTTGTTGAACAATGTGAACTTGTCATAGATATTTGTCGTTTATTACGTTTGGCCATCACATCACTACTGAAAGATATCTATGCAGCAGATATCAATGATAAATATGAGTTACCGATGATGGCCATGGTGAATCAGTCACCACCACCACCATCATCATCACAGATGCTATCATTGAATTCATTATGATTATATCAGGTGTATAATCACATTGAATAAAAAAAATGAATTCTTTTTCATCTTTGTACTTGTAGCGTTTGAACACAACTGTAGCAGCAGCAGCAGCAGCAGTGAGGAAGGATTTTGCCATTGCCATTTGATTTGAATTGCCAAATTTGTCGGTCATTGATAATGTTTAAATGAATTAATGAATGGATAATGTTAATTTTTATATAATAATTTATTGGGTATGATGATTATATTAATCATTATTAAATTTGGTCAAGGTTTTGAGATTTATGTTTCATGCTTTGTCTGTTGGTTGATGTGCTAAAGCATCACTCGTTTTCGTGTTACATTGATTTTGTCGTTTTGTCTGATCAACCAAGATCGATGGATTGATGGCCGAAACGAAAAAATAATAAAATTAGGCTAAATATAACCATATGTGCATGTGGAGTTGAAATGATCTTTGGTTTTTGTTGTTGGTAATAATATGATTATCATATCCTGGTCATAGAACAGAAATCGTCATTGTCCAATCAAATTTTGTGATCAATGTTTCACATTCGATCAAATGATAGTTCGATTGTTCCAAAACAATGTCGACCATGTTTCAATCCTTGATCTCACTTTCATATCATGATAGATTGATGGTTTACAATTTCGATTGTTAGATTGAAATAAACATCGACATTCAAAACTGTTCTGTTTGATTCATATAAAAAGCTGGTTTTTTCCTGAAGAATTCAAAATTAATTTTTTTTTCTAAAAAAATTGAATTTTTTCTTCACTTTCATTATGGCCAGAATGATGGAATTATTGTTTATCACATCATCATCATTATATTTAATATCGATGATAACAGCATTGCCAACCACAACACCAGAACCTCGAATAACGACATTATTTGGATTGGATTCCGATGATATTACAACGACTGTTACGATGGAAGAGAATGCAATTGATAATTTCAATTACATAAATCTAAATGAATGTAATTGTGGCCGACGAATGACTCGTTATCCAAAAATAATCAACGGCTCGAATGCTGTACATGGCAATAATCCATGGATGATTTCGTTATTGTTAAATAATCGTCATCATTGTGGTGGATCATTAATCAATGGCCGATGGGTTCTGACAGCTGCACATTGTGTATACCGTGTTCCATCGTCGAGATTTCGTGTAAAATTAGGTTCACATCTTCGAAGCAATAATAACACTGAACCGATGTCGACAATTCTTGATAATGTATTGGCTATTGCTCATCCGGGTTTCACGTTCACCACATTTCAAGATGATCTGGCATTAATTAGACTGCCGGAAACGGTCAGCTATACCAATTATATTCGACCAATTTGTTTACCGGATCAAGTAACGGCTAGGCAAATCCAGAAAAAAGCCACTGTAATTGGATGGGGTAAATTGAAACAAGGAGGAGCATCAGCTGAAACATTACAACAAGTTGATCTACCTATCATTGATAATGATAAATGCATTAATTGGTATCGAGAAATGGGCAAAATGTTGACCATCAGGTAAGAGCAATGAAAATATTCGAATGTCGAAATAGTTGATGATTGTCATCATTATTTTCATAGGCCAACACAAATATGTGCTGGATTCGAAGAAGGTGGTAAGGATGCTTGTCAAGGTGATTCAGGTTCACCAATGATAATCACCGACAATTATAGCAAACGATCGACCGTTATTGGCGTAGTAAGTGCTGGAATCGGCTGTGCATTACCGAAACTTCCTGGAATCTATACTCGTGTTAGTGCCTATTTACCATGGATCCAAAAAACAATGAAAAGATATGATCGTATTTATAATGAAAAACCAAAATTACCATTCTCGCCAGCAGCAATTTCAGTGAACAATGATGATGTAATTACAACGGAAAAACCAGAACAAATAGTGATGACTAGTACGATATCCGAATTGAATGATGAAACTAAAGAGCCTGAACATGATAATCTATGGGCATTGGTATCACCAACTCCATCTTCACAATTACAGCTAATCGAAACGAATGAAACAATGGAATCTGAAAACAATAACCTAACATGGACATTGATAACATCATCACCGATGAAATAAATCTGATGAAAAAAAAGGAAATGAAATGGAAATTTGTTTTTATATATAGAGCAAGGTCATGATGAACTAGATTTAGAGAAATTTTATAGTTAAAAATTGTAGACAAATTTCAAAACATGAACATGTTTATATAAATTTATTTATTTTTGTTTTTTTTACATTTTCAATATTTCAATGATAGCAATTCATTGATACGACTCGACTGATTTCGATTCTAATACAGAAATAATAATTGATGCTAATACCGATTGATAGAAATAATTCCTCTGAGTAGTATGTGTGTGTGTGTGTGTTTACAATTTAAGTAGAATGAATGTAATTCTTCTATTTCTAATTCGAAGGTTTACCATAACGATTGTAAATATGAAGACCAATACATGCAAGGGCTGCCAATGCTACCACATGAACACCATGTGTACGAATTAGATTATCAAGTTGGGACATTATTTTACTACAAGCACCAGCATCGGCATCACCCGAAGAAGAACCACCAGCAGCAGCAGCAGCAGTTGATTTATCATCTTTTTTCTGTTCTTCCATTTTTATACGGCAACAAAACAAAACAAAAAAAAATTGTTTCAGGAACCTATGGAACAATACAACAAAAAAATAAAATTTCTATAAGTTTGAAAATTTTTTTTTATCATCAAAAAAAATATGAAACATACCAATTATAAACAATTTATATTATATTTATGAACGAATGGATAAGTGTGTTTTGTTTTTTTCGTTCTTGATTTGCCCAACTTTTTTCAACAATGGGTTATATAAAATGACCGACAATTGTCTGTTCAAGAACAAAGTGTGCGTTGTATGTATACTTTTTCATTCAATCAAATGAAAAAAAAATAACTTGAAACAAATTGCGTCGTCGATTGATGATATTTTTTTTTTTTGGCCAATAAGGACCGCCTCAAATATCAGCAACAAACAATAACAATAACAATTTTATTTTTATTGCCTGCAAACATTGCCCAATCAGATATGACGTACAAAAAAATATTCAAAATTGAATTTTCGATTCTAATTGAATCAAGTTCATATCATAAAAAAAAATCGTTCCTATTCTCAACTTCATAATTTTCAATTAAATTCATCGATAGAGGTAGCAATTCAGAATTGTGATACCTTGCCACGCCCAGGCAATTATCTTCGAGAATGATTGGCAACTTTTATTTTTTTTTTTTTTTGCTCCACATTTCATCATCATGATTTGATATTTGTGGTTTAAAAGTGATGAAATTCAAGCCTATATTACATACGACAAAAACATATAACTGTGTCTATTGTTGTCTTTGAAATGTCTTTGCTATTTGGGTGAATATTCTTGTTGTTGTTTCTGTTGTAATGATCAAGCTCAAAGACGACCAGAATCTCAATGTTCTCATTTTAATTATAAAGAAAAATTGATTTTATCATAACAAACAATGATTGTCAAGAACGATGATAGAATAAATATTGGCAGTCGATTGATGTGCTGGATTGGGCTGGATGATGATGATGACGAGATGCAACGATGATTATTTGATCGATGATAATAACCGGGTAGGCAGTCACAACGATAGCTACCATTACAGTACCGATTTTCACCCGACAATGTACATTGCTTCGAAAAGATACATGGTTGCCCTAATTCGGCTATGAACCATGTTGAGATTTTCGTTTTTGTTTTGTTTTTGAAAAATAATCCGACAAATATAAACAAGAAAAAATCATCATTATTTGAATTGAAATAGAATAATAAACGTAACAACATACCCATGTGAACGCAGTGATACTGTGTGGAAGAAATTTTTATGGCAACCGACGGTTTCCGACAACGACAACGAGACCATTGATGTTTAAAACATTCAGCTTCTGGACCACCGTTCCATTGACATTCGATATGATCATGACAAGTATCGTTGATGTTTTTTGTTTCCAAACAGATTTTAGCCATTTCTAACCATACTGGTGTTTGACGATTACATACACAATAAAATGATGGACATGATCCACTCTCACATTCAGCATTATCTCGACAGAATTCTCTTTCTTTTTTGAGACCTTTTTGTTGAAACAAACCAGATCATAGTTAGTTACTGATTTAGATTAACCTTGAAATGTTAATGACTAGAATGTTTTGTTTGTTACCAAAAATATTTTCGATCGTTAATTTTAACAACACGAAAATGTTGATAGTATGTGATGTGATGTTTATTTAGATAAACATCCATTAAATGTTTGAACATTGCCAATACACTTACCATGTACGACTAGATTGAAATCACGACGTGTATAATGTACAAGGCGAGCATGGTTTGATGGTGAATTCTGTTTTAAATCATCATCATCATCATCATCATCATAATCATGATCAGCATGTGATGATGTTTGCTGGAAATAGAATTGATATAAACTATAGATTCCTTCATGCGTTCGACGAACACGATCAAAACGAATCTGTGCTTGTCGATGTAAGATTCGAACATCATGGATTCGATCATGGAATTCGACATAACGTAAACGCCATGGTTTGGCTAAGAAATATCTAACAGTAGTATTCGGTAATGGTTCATAACGATATTGATAAGTAATCGATGTATCCAGAAATGATGGAAGTTTTTGTACATGTTGAACATCAATTTTTTTCAAATTATAATCATGACTCAATTCATGGATTCCAATGTTTTGGCAGGATATTATTTCCATTAATATCTGTACGATGATTATACAGTTCCAATACAATAATGACATTGTTTTCGTTTCAATCTATGTAATCACATATTTCTTTAAACTAATGATGATGATAACTAGGATGAACAAGTTGGATATTTGCTATAGACAACGACAAACCGCAATAATTTCGAACACAACCGTTCAATTATCAATTTGTCTTGTGTAAAAATTACAATTTTCATTCGAATTAAATTCAATTAAGCTGATTATATTTAAGTGGTTGGAAACAAATTTCTAAATTGCCAACAAAAAAAAAGAGAAGAATTAATCAAACGACATATGTGGTTCTATTATAAAAAGAGTGGTGACACACACACACATATTATATATAAAACACAGTAATATTGAGATGAAATGAAAAATAAATTTGGAATAACATTGATGAAATATTGAACGATGCATACACAATTTATAGAAAAATGGCAAACACAAAAAAAAATTTTTTTTTGTCACCCTTTTCATATATACATAGACTGTGTGAAAGATGCTTTTTCCTGTCGATCAATGTTTACCGATAGTCAAAAAAAAAAAAAAATCATCAATATTGACATTCATTACGATCATGGTGATAACGATGAAATTTCAATGTTGATTCGAATCGATGCAATGATCAAGTCTGAATAAAGCGATCGATTGTTCTCGGCAATTGGTGAAATTTCATTGTTTTAGTCGATAATAACGGTAAATATCAATGGATGATGATGATGATGTGCATCTGGTCATGATGATCAATAATGGATGAAAGAAAAGGAAAATGAAAATGTTTCTAATGTTAAAAGAGAAATTTAGGATAATGAGAATTTATAATCAAAAAAAAAAAAAAAAAAAATGGGAATTTTCGAGTCGACGCATAAAACCAAGTCAGAAAACATAAATTTGCAGCCTCTTTCGACCACCAATTCATGGACTGATTGAAACGTGCCATTCGAAACGTCATCGAATTTTTTTTTTGGCAAAAGAAAAAACAAACACCAAAAAATGTTTCGGAAAAAAGCAAACAAATTGTAAAAAAATAACAAACACATCCACGCACACGGGAACAAACAACATCCTTTTAGGTCAACATAGAAAATGGTATAAATGTTGTAAATAACAGAATTGACAATAGTTTCAACAACGGCTATAACAAAACTAAATGAGATGATGATTATCAAGTACAATTTCAATTTGGACGCCATTATTATCGGTTAGATACTGATGATGACGGCAATACCGATTGCCAAATATGGAAATGGTATTTGTTTGTGTGTAGATGTTATTCGGTCATAGACCGATTCGATAACCTCACTGTGATATTCTCTTCATTACTAATTGCTCCAGATAGATTTGGTTCGAGATGGACCGGTTCACAGTTTAAACGATGACTAAGAATTCACATTCACTAAGAGAGGGTAACATGTGTGTATGTTTAATGAATGAATGTGTAGGTTGATATGAGGTTTGTCTGATTATTATTATACGGCATAGTAGATTGTAAAGATGAAAAAACATTCGAAAGTTCATCGTACCTAGATATGAGTAATAAACAAACACACACACAACAATAAGAATTCAATTCTGTTTATTCATAATTCAATTGAAATTCATTAAAATTGATGACAAAAAAAATTATTAAATTTGAAATCTAATTGAAAAAAAATCGGAAATGATTATACAACAAGGATGGTTTTGAAAAGATTGGTGGACATTGCCTCCCCCATCTGCATTCAAGCATTAGTTTAATCATCATCAAAATGAATAGAATTTCATTTCAATTCAAACAAATTCAATGTATATTGTCACAAATAGATCTAAATGGGACATTAAAAGGTGGGTAGGTGTATACAAGGGTGTTTTTTTTATAGTTATAAATTGTGAAAAGTATTTAAGGTGACAACAAAATATATGTTGTGTGTGTTGTATCAGTGTTTGAATATGAAAGACGAATGAAAAAAAAATCAATCAATCAATCATTTCAAATTGAAAATTCCTATCACTTGACAGAATGACGTCGTGTAACAACACTTATGATGTGAATGGCCAATTACAATCAATAGACACTTGTTTTATAATCAAACATCATGACGAATGAATGAAATTTGTAATTTGAATGAAAGATGAAAGAGAAAAAAATGTTGTTTTTTGGCTGAGCTAATTGTTGTTAATACACTTAGCTTTTATCATCATCATGTAGCCGTTGTTCGGATGGAAGGCGTTTGAAGAATGGGTGATCCAATGCATCTTGCAAACTAAGACGGTTATTCGGTTCATATTCCAATAGTTGTGAGATCAAATCGAATAAATTTCGATGATCATCATTATCCGGTTGTATTATGTAACGATGTAATGGTTTACAATTTTCACGTACATATCGACCAGCAGCGGATCGCTCATCCCAATCCATTAATTTTCCATGATAATAATATCTGGTCCTGATATTCGATTTGTTTTGATTAAATAAAGATGAAATTATAATCAACAAAGACTTACTTTGATTTTCGACTCATACGATAGGGAAGAGGACCGAGGATACGTTCCATCATGGCTAAATGTTCAAGATTATCGTGTGTCTGAAACAATGTCATTCCTTGATAGAGTTCAAACAGTATACATCCTACACTCCATGCATCACAAGGATGGCTCCAGCCAAGTTCAAGTATGACTTCGGGTGCACGATAATGTCTTGTCGAAACAATTTTGCTATGATGTTCATAATCAAATGTAGCCGAACCGAAATCAATCAAACGAATGTCTGTATTTTTTACTCGACGTATTTCTTTACGCTAGATAGGAAACAACAAAAAATTGAAAAAAAAAACAAAAACAATGATAGTAGATACGTGACATACCTTTTTGGTGAGCTCAACATCATATTCGGAATTGAGAAACAAAATATTTTCTGGCTTCAAATCTGTATGAGTCAATTCATTTTCATGTAAAACTATATGGAATAAACAAGAGAGATTAAAACTTGAATTAATCAATGAGAAATTAACTTACATTTCACAGAAAATATCAGCTGATAGCCAATGTGGCGAATTTGATCAATAGGATATGGTTGGAAATTGTTATCTTTCTATAGATTTTTTCAAGAAAAAAAATAATACTTGAATAAATTTTTTTCTAAAATTTTAAAACATTTACCATAAAATCAAATACGGAAAGACCGAGCATTTCGAATGCTATACAAATATGGCCATGATAATCAAACCAATCGAACATTCGTACGCAAAGACTGTGTGTGGAGAAAAAACGATTATGAATTGCTGTTGTTTGTAAATGACACTAATGTTTCACTTACTTTCGACCTTTTGGATCACGTTCAGCAATGGTTTGTAAGACTTTAATCTCAAACATTGCTGCTTCGCGATATTTATCGACATTTTTGATGATTTTTAACGCCAATGCGTTGTTACTATAGTTACAGATTATTAGGATCAAATCAATTAGCTATTATCATCAATTCAACTTACGTTTTGAGATTACGAACACGAATCACTTTGCCAAAGGTACCTTCACCAAGTGTAGCGAGGATTTCATCTAAAATAAGAAAACAAAACAAAATTAGTAGATCATCATTAAAACATTGTTTTTCTGTTCCAAAAATAACACTAAATAAATTTGCCTAAATAGATTATAGTATCAATTTAGGATATCAATAATTTGTGACTGTGATTATTTTTGTTTGTATGTCTTTCTTGACGATGATCGAAAAAACAATTTATTTGTTTGAATAAGATTTTTTTTTAAACTTACATTTATCCTGAAGTATATCGCCATTTTTGTAGATTAAATGTCCATGTTGATCATCTTCAATGGTTGTTGTACTTTCAGTTTGATTTTTTTGATGATAATGATGATTGCTGCTGTTGTTGTTATTGTTATGATTATTATGGCCACCTTTACGATGATGATCACTTTTTTGTTGCTGTTGTGATTGATGATGCGTTTGTTGTTTGGAACTTCGATCTTCATCACTTGTTCGTTCAGACTGTTTTTGATCAACATCATCATTGTCATCATTATTGTTATTCAGATATGTGAATAAATCGACCGGTAATATAAGACAACAAGAACCGGGAAAACAAAGAATGACCATTATTCAAAAGCAAAATGAAAGGGAATGGGGGAAAAGGAAAAAGAATAGAAAAAGAAAATGAATTTAATATTTATGAAATTTTTTATCATAAATTAAAATTGAGTCAGATTGAATCAAAGTTCAAATTGACTATTATCTACTCTCTTTCGAACATAGACATTTTTTTGCTGTTGTTGTTGTTGTTGTTGCTGCTAGAACCCGTTCATTCGTCGTTTTAACATAGGGGTTAATAACATTGAATTCGTAAAATGCGTTTAATTCAAATAACTCTGCCTGTCTGTTATATACCTTGGATTAAAGCTAAATTTAATAGATGGTACCCACACATAGATACATAAACAGACAAACATACAAGGACACCCACATAATAACAACAAACAAACAAATACGAACCGAATCATTATGATCGAAACCTGAATCAAAAACGCGTGTATAATTCCTTGAAATGGATTTCTTTTGAGTCAAATATGATCTGTATGGTGTGATCGTTGTCGTTGGAAATTTATTTTTGGCCGTTGAAGAAATGAATGACGATGGTTCTTTATCACCATCTCGATATAAGGAAGGCGTATACATTGTTAGACCGTTACTATAAAGTCCGGAAGTAGTACTTTTGTATCGTAATTGATAACGCTGGCGGTTATCATTCAAAAATGTTGATTCTTTCATTGTTGATCGTATTTTCGTTGTCGAACATGCATTGCTATCGTCATTAGATGTAGTAGTAGTGGATGTATGAACTGAGAATGGATAACGAAAATGATAACGATTCGTACGTGTGGTGGTCATTGCCGATGTATAGGAACCTGTAGCCTTTGTCGCTTTAGCAGTTGATGTCAATGTGCTCGATAAATAGGATGGACCAATGCTATGAACGCTATCATTATCATTGTGATTAAGGCTTGCATTACTAGCACTATAGGATAATTTGGATTTAGTTTGATATTTTGAATTACGTCCGGTAATCGATAAATGATGATCATTATTTGTTGCCGGATAAACCGGTGGCAATCGATGTTGATCAATGATTGATAATCGAGAGCCGGAACTAGTTGAATAGGAACCATTTCCTATAGTTTGGATATTATTATTGTTTCTATTATGATTGATTCTTATCGATTTGTTATTATAGTTGGATGATGTAATTACTTGCTGTGGTTGTTGCTGATATGGCCGTTGTGTTGTGTATGTCATTGTTGTTGGCCGATATGATTGAACATGATTTACATTATAGTTATCACCATTACCATAACCACTATTACGATATCGATATCTATGCACTGATGGATGATCATTATCATTATCACCATGCTCACCATTACAATTAAGATGATCAATCATCGAATCAGCCACATTATAACGGGATGCTCGTTGTGATTGCTGCTGCTGTTGTTGTTGTTGTTGATCATTTAGACAAAGCTTCGATGTAAAGCGTGATAAAAAATTCGTACATGTAGATGCGAATGATGATGATGATGTTGTTGTTGTTGGTTTGGATGTATATGATCGTGCTAATTGTAAATTTCTTTCACGAATATTACTATTATTTTCATCATTTTTCCTATCATAAAAATCATAACTCGTGGTCGAAATAGATGGATACAATTTACGTTGCGATGACCACGAAGACGATGATGACACTGCTGATGATGATGATGTTGATGATCCAGAATAACCGGAAGAAGAACTGGATAATGAAGCAGTGGATGATGTCGAAGATGAATAATTGAGCGGATATTTTCGTTCAATATGACAATAATGACGATTTTGATTCGAATCAATCATTGTATCTGGATTATAATTATGAAGTTGTCTAGGATAATAGGAATTCGATTGATAATTACCCATCGCTGATGATGATTCATAATCCTTATGATAGCGTTTATAGAATGATGATGAAGATGATGTGCAATACATTTTCACAACCAAGACATCAACAGGTCAATTGATCAAAATGACAACAACAAGTTATTCGTTCAAGTTCTTCTCAAATGTCGAATGATTTATTCTAGTCATTTGTTTTTATACAAAACATTTGATGTGATATGATATTTTTTCAGGAACACAATCGAATCTTCGTCACACAGTGAATGCAAATGAACTTTTAATTAATTTACCAAGCCAAAAAAAAATGGTTGCGTATGGTAATAATAATCATCAAGGAAATTCTGATTTCAATGTTCAAAGTTTTGAGAGTAAAAATTGGAGAATTATCAAATATATAATTCATACAATACAATTACCAGCCAAATGAATAGAATTCGAAGATAATGTTGAGGTCGATGATCACTGTATATATGGTTAATTTGAATTATTATTAAAACAAACAACCGAATGATTATGGTGAACAAAATGATAATAATAATGAATCAACGACCATCGAATGAAAAGAATCCAGGAAGTTTTTTTCCAATTATTCTCAAAAAATCTTGTGGGTGCACGATGATAATGTATGTGAGAGTGAGTGTGTGCATGTGTCGTTTGGCAAGGAATAATAATTTTTTTTTTCGTTTGTTCAAAAACGATGGATGATTGCTTGGATTTTTAGAATTTATTTTTAGAATTTTTCTCTTGTTTCTTGTCGGCTTTTTCGTTACAAATAAATTCGTTTAAACGTTTTCACCCAAAAAAAAACAAAACGAACAAACAAACAAGAAATGATGATCAAATTCGAATTTATATGAAATGTTCGATTTATTAGTATAAATATGATGATGATGATGGCCAACGAACTTTACTTTATCGATGAAGAATTAATTTATCAACCATAGGACAGAAACGAAAATAAAACTTGACAGTTTTTTTTTTCTGATGTGAATCTTGAATATATGGCAAATGGACAAATCAAAAAGAAAACTGGAATATCTTCACACATTCACGCGTGCACAAAATTCGATTATCTTCATGTACAATGCCGTGATACACACACACACACACACATTTACTTAGGAACACAAAGACATGGACGATATCACCGCAGTATAATCTAATGATTATTGTTGAGATAAAATTTCAAACAAAACCCAAGATATAGAGAAAATGAGGAGGTTTTTTCTTGAAAAATTTTCCGAAAAAATCAAAAAAACAACCACCAAATATATACTCTTCTTTGATTGGTTGTTTATATGTTTCATTCAAATTTTGAATTTTTGGTTGAATCGAATAGTTGTTCACTTTATAGTATGAGTGTGTGTGTGTGAAAAAGTCACAATTGCGGTTTTTTCATCAATAAAATTAGGTTTCTTTTTTTATTCAAAAAAAGATTCTTTTCATAATAACAATGAATAACAAAGACACATAGACACACACACACACCACAATGATCAATTTGAGAACAAAGATATTGACTATTGTTGCAAAGAAAGCAACATTGTTGAAATTAACGACATCGGCAAATGAAATGAAAGTTTTTTTTTTTTTGGTTAGGACGTTTTAATAATAGCCAAACAGATACAATAATAACAACAACAATGGATCCAAACATCCAAAATGAATGATTATGATTCGATTAGCATTTTCTTCAATTATAGATTGGATTCATATCTTGTTTTTTTAAAAAAACGTTCGTTGTTTACAACAAAATGCCGTGTCATTTCTCTTTTACACTTGGTAATTATACAAGCACCAGAATGGAAGACACACACACACACACACACACACACACTAATAATTATGATTATGATGGGATGAAATTTTTATGCATCAATAAACTGTCGAAGTGCAGCAGCTCATCAGAAGAAAAAATCATGTCATAATTGACGATTCAGATACAATTTGACTAAATTCAAAAAAAAGTGTCATTGTACTTGGAAAGGTTTACTCCATCACAGTGAATGAATGAATGAATGAAGATGGTGATTTATTTCTTGACGAAAAAAAAACGGTTCATTGAAGTTGATCCACCGAATTGATGTTCCGAAACCAGAGTGAAGAAAAAAAAGAGTCAATAAATGAATCAAGACGGACTAAAAACTTTCGCTTCATCAATGGCGCTTTTCCGATATTATCAACAAGATAATGTCAGTATAATAAGAGTAGTCTCAGAGAATGGAATAAACTGATGATGAGGTGAGATTTGCAATGACTTTCGGTTATGTTATCCATTCGATTTGTAATAACGAGAAAAAAAGAGAGAGAGAGAGAGAATGAATTTGAATGAAGTAAAATAGAAACAAAATATGATTCGAGGTCGTAAAGATGGTCAAACATACGATGATCGACAAAATGCACACCTTATTCATGTCCGTTTAATTTTTTATTCAAAAAAAAAGTGTTCGCCCAATTGCAAGTTAAATTGAGAAAAAAAAAGTTCGACTTGCATTATATGGGACATCAGCATCTACAGTCATAGTGAACCATTTCTATTGAATGGGGTAAGATCATTACACATTGACCGACCGACTTGTTCTGATTAACCACTGGTGATGACCGCATTATCAGATTGGTAGCAGAAATTGAAGAAAAAATTAATTTCATCAGATTTTGTTTTCTGGAAAACAAAAATTTGCGTAACAAGATGATGACGGCGATATCGTTTGATTTTTAAGAAAATTGAAAATCAGCCACCATTAGTAAAGGAGAAAAAGACAAACCTAAAATAGCAGCATCATCAAATTCCAACGGAGATATATGGCACCGATGTGTAAATCGAGGTTATCGGTGTGTGATCGCGTGTTTCTTTCATTACACAGTAAAGTTAGCATAAGTTATAAGAGTTAGAGTTTGCGTGCCAATGTATCATCATTTTAGTGGTGTTGATGATGATGATTGTATCGACCGGGTTGATGTTTGTTGTCATCCCATCATTCGCAAATTCACAGCAATATGTCGGGAGAATTGAAATTTGATTTCAATTTTCAACATTTTGTTTTTCCTTAGAAATGTCCGTACATTAACGATGGAAGATGACTTTTTTTTCGCTAATCTTTATTCGTTTTCTGTTGTTTCTTGTCATTATTCTATTTTTTTTTTTTTGTTAATTCTGTGGCAAAGACGATTAAGTTATGGCCTCGCTTCTCAGTTAGAGAACGAATGTCAAAACAAAAATGAAAAGCAAAAGAATTGTAAAGATTCATGATGAATGAGAAACAATATTTTTCTCATTTCCTAGCAAATTTGATGGCAATAATAAAATTTTCTATTCCGATGAATTTTAAAAAAAACTTGAAAAAGCAATGTTTGTCTGTTGCAATAGTAAAGAATGAACAATTGATTTGTGGATCATCATCACATTTTTAAACAAACAAAAAAATTTGTCATTATTTCCAATGAAAAAAATTATTGAGTCATTTACTTGTCAACCGATTGATATTTTCATCATACTCAAAGTAACCGGATTGAATTTAGAAAAAAAAAAATTCAAAATACCGAAAATGGGAAATTTTCGATTGCAAAACATACAGAGAAAAAGAGAGTAGAAAAATGACCAAAATGTTACAGACTAAATCGTTCATCACCGTCATGATTGGAAACCTACACGATTTGTCACAATTTTTTTTTTTTTGTAAATGAAGATCCTTAACCACTTTCTCTGTTCATCGCACCGTGTATCTAGGTCAAATCTATACAGATCATTTAATATATGGGCTCTCAACATCAACATCATCATCACCTACAATTTAATTTAAATCCTGAATGGAATGTAATGGCATAAAAAAATTGTTTGAAATTTGAATTTTTTTTTGCCTTTTTTTTCTTCCACCAATTTGGATTTAAGAATCAAAAATCATGAAATGTGTCATAATTATAGGTATAAAATTTTACAAAACAAAACAAAAACATCACTTCCTTGTATGGTTGCCATAGATATACAATTGACTTTTTTTTCTAAGTGGAAAAATCTATCACATCTGGATTCAAAGCCAATGACTGATTTATTAAGGTCAAGAAAAATTGATCGAAAAAGCAAAAAAAAGGGTTTAACGCCAATAACTTGAGTTTTTTTTATCAAATTTTTTTTCTACTCAATCATCTTAGATGTTGGGTTTATGTTAATTTCCCATTATAAGTGGAAGCAAAAAAAAATAGAACAAATCGACAATTAGACGTTGCATGTAAAAACAAAAACATTTCGCCCACACATCGTTGACATTCATAGAATATTCTCATAGAACATCCAAACAATCAATGTATGTGTATGAATATTTTAAACAACGAAACAATGTTGCATATTTGTTAGAAAAGCGAAACAGAGGACACACATACCATAATCTTTTTGATATAGCCATTCTCATAGACATAATAGAAATGGTCCAAATTTTGACTTAAATTTTTTATCATTGGTTGTTGGGCAATTTGTTGATGTTGATGTGGATGATGATAATGTAACTGTTGATTGTGAAGAGATTGTTGATGTTGATGCTGATGGTGGCCATTGAGCTGATAATGATGATTTGTTCTATGAGTCATTTGAGGATAATGAACCTGAGATGTTGTTGATTGCTGTGTTTTTCCATTGAAACCATGACTTTGATTATTGATTGTATGATTATTCAATAAGTCGTCATTCGTTTGGTTACTATTATTAAAATAGGATTTATGATACCAGAATGGATCACCTTTTGGAACATAACGTTGCTGTTGTCGTTGCTGCTGTTGTTGTTGTTGTAGTTGCAGGTGATAATTTAGATTACGATAATAAGATGATGATGATGATGATGAAACTAGTTGCATTTAATGTTTTACTCGTCACCCTATTATTGGATATGCCTGTATTGGTGGTGTGATTATTAATTTTACGTGACACAACTTCCGGTGGAGGTGATAGAAATGATTGAACCGTTTGTATGGATTGATCCAATGATTGTCCAAATGTTGACATGAAACGTTGAGCACGTTTTCGGGTCCATGATAATATTGAATGACGTTTTTGTTGTGAAACACCAATGACGGGTTGAGATGGTGGTGGTGGTGGTGAGAATATTTTATTCACAACTTGTAGATGAACTTTTGGTGCCTGCGGTTGTGGTGACCATGGAATTTTTACCAGTCGTGATGGCTGTTGTGTTTTTAGCAATGGTTTTTCATCGTTTGATGATTGTATTTTGGATCCGGAATCATTCGAAGATGATGAGAATGAATTCTGATCCAATGATAGTTTCCTGATGGACGAACGGATATCTGGATTACTAAATAAACTGATTGATGGATTATCCGTATCATCATCGGTCAAAGTTGCTGTATTTTCTTTTTGTTGTTGATCACTACCATCAGTATGATCATCATTATCATCAGAACAAGAATCAGCATCCGGTTCTTCTTCAATGATTTCGAATGAATTTACTTTATCCATTGTTGGTGATTTCATTTTTGATAACGATCTATCTGATTGCCGATGATAGTCTCCATTTTCCATTGATGTCTTCATATTGACACAAACATTTCCACCGATTATGATGGCATCAGGTGATGGTGGTACCTGTGCTAATAACGGTGATGTAGGAATGACCAATGCTGATGAAGATTTCGATTTTAATGGTAATGAATGCACACAAGCACCATTTGTCATTGTCAATATAGCCGATGTGGATTGATTCATCAGCGAACATTGATCGTAATGGGAAGAATTTCTTCTTTTCTGTTGCTCTTGCTGCTGCTGTTGAAACATTTGCTGTTGCCGTAATTTCTGCTGATTATGATCCATCATCGACATTAGCATCATAGTTGCCGTTTAATTGCAATTTTCTACTTTTTTTTGCTGCAGTAGCTTATTCGTTTTGCATTGAATCAAATGTCCATTAAAGACCTATTTAAATTTGATTTTCTTTAAAAATTCTAGTCTACAATAATTTGTTCAGGAATTTTTCGCTTGCAAACAACAAACAGCCATCAATCAATCGATCAAACTTGAGAATCGATTCCAGGGTAATAAAAAATTCAACAGTTTGTTTCTGTTGTTTAAATGTTGCAATCCAACAAAAAAGATGCTCATTAAATGTTTGTTTCGGGTGCGTGTTTATATGATGATATGATGATGATTGGGTTGCCATCAACCAATCAGCCAACCAATCGAAAATAGAATAGATATCAATAAGGAAAAGCAATCCAATGAACAGAATGCCAATATATAAAGTTATTGCTATCAACGACGTAATATGATCATTCTTGTGATTGGCAACCAAAAAAATATGTATGTATGTTGAACTTTTCTTTATATTTTTTTCATTCCAAATTTGATCAATGTATCGATTAATGTTGTTCAATAAAACACAATGGAAAATTGAAAAAGAATTTATCAATACCGGAAATTAATTATTGAAATCAACTAACCTGTTGGACTGAAAATTTTAATTTCGAAAAAAATAGAAGTGCACAAAGCACAATTTTATATTATATAGCCCAAAAGAGACACAAAAAAATCAGAATAGGGACATTAAATGTCGTAGACACACACACACACATTTGAATGTTCATCCAACATAATTTGTTACAATTTACCGTAAGGTTTATTCATTGACGATGGGAATGACAAAGTTGTTTAGCTCAACAGGAATCACAATAATCAAGATTTCCAATTGTTGCCAAAACCTATCTATACAGATTGCTTGATGATGGCAACAACAGATGCAACAAGCTTAGTTTGAACGAAAACAAAAACAAAATGCAAAACATCATCATCATCATCACACAACTTGGCATCAAATTCTTCGACGATGATGATGATGATGAAAATGATGAAGTGCATAATCCACACAGAATCGAATAATATTTCGAAACGCAACAAACATTTAGCTAAACAGAATCTCATTTTATATACAATAATGATGATCATAATCACAAGATGAACATAGAATCTAATGCATGCGCATAATTATCAATTTGAAATAATAATCAATTATCAGAATAATCATTCTTTTTCTTTCTTTCTCATAGAGAAAAAATAACGGCATCTAGTGCGACACCAATCATACATCAAGAATCTGAATTACAACTAATAGACAAAACTTGTTGCTTCGTTGGCGCTAAGAATTTTGACATTCAGAAACACAAAAATAATTTTCAACTTGAAATTAAACCTCATAAAAAGGAATTTAGAACAACAGCGAAAAAAATAACAATTTGTAATAGATGTCAAAACTTACATGATCAATTTGATCGGCAAAACGGACTTTTTGACCAGACTGAATCGCATCATTGTCATCGAGTATGTAATGATCATAGGAATTTTCACGATATTCTTCATCAAATTGTCCTTCATCTTCTTCATGATAATCACTTGTACTCTGGTTATTGTTGTTATTAACATCATCCACATAGACATCATTGAAATTTGTTTGAATATGATCATCATGTGATTGTTCCCACCAGAAATGTTTCGAACGTCGTCGTCTTTCAAGATAATCTTGTTGTTCTTGTAATTTTTGCAATAATACTTCAGGATCTTCCGCTTCTTGATCATTATAATAACGTGGAGCATATTCATCAAAATATAAATCATCTTCTATTGGTGATTGTTGTTCAGGAGGTTCAGGTGTACGTTCCATTGTTGGACAACGGATTTCGCAACGTGGAACAAAACCCGAAATATAATAGAAATCAATACATAACACTAATGGATATTCACATATTTCAGCATAGGAAATTAGACGACGACGTTGAAGAAAACGAGATTGTCGAGTAGATTTGATCGATGTACCGATCTGTCGTACTTCAACTTGGCATTGAATAAATTCACTTAGATCAAGATCAACTGGTGTTGGTGGTGTAAACGATTGTTGTTGTTGTTGCTGTCGTGGATCATTCATTTTCATTGATTCCGGTTGAATCCATTGCAATGGCAATGAAAATGAATCAAATAAATCATGATAGAAATGGATACAATGACTTAGATCTGGAGCATCGATATAGATTTCTGTTACACGTTTACGTCTGGGAACTTGACATTTCCACCATTTGTCATCATCATCATCATCAACATTATCAACATGATTATTAATCACTGATTGTCGTCGTTTGGGTGGAATTATTTCGGTAAAAATTTCTACTTTTTTCGATTCAAATGAATCTTCATCAACCACGGCCAGTGAGGGCGGTGTATTTTTCAATCGTTCAAGACAATCATTGAGGATATGATTAGTCAATGAATCGATAAATTTCATCATGGCCGAATTTCTTTCACTAAACATTTGTTCCATATGGATTGTTGACGATTTATTAGGTACATGTTGATCATTATCAGTATTACGTTCATCAATCATGATGATCATTTTGATGTCGCCTATAACTTCATTCAATATATTCAATACATTACTATCGTTAATTTTAACATTATTCTTTCGACAATGAGCAAGGCAGGCATCTTTGATCAAACGTATAAGACAATCATCCGAATGGCTATCATCATCAATTATACGATATGATGATCGTCGTCGTTGTTGACCCACACTTTTCCATGAACCACGACGTAGTGGTGGTGGTTGATGATGATGATGATGATCATTGTTGATAGAATTTTGTGAGATCAATTCTTTATCACTAATAAGCGGATAGTCCGCATCACCAGAAGCACCGGATGAAGACATTATTTTATTGATGATAGATGAATACAAATAGGTAATGCCAGTTCACTATGATTGGAAATTGATATTGTTTCTGTTCATATTTCATCCATCTGCCGGTGATTCAAACATAATAATAACTGGACACTTTCATCAATCATTAAAAACATGGCTATGATGACATTGAATTCATTATCACTAAACTAAACTGAATATTAATTAAATGATGATTGTTCATCGATTGATTACGTACGCACACACACACACACACACACACAAACAAACACTCAATTTAAGAGCAAAAAGAATGATAATGAAAGTGATGAAAATGATTCTCAAAATAATTGGATAATGAAAATTTTATTATTATAAAGCAATACAATGAGAAGAACAGAATGTAAATTACACATTATCACCAACTACGACGATGACGACGATGAAGATGAATTTTCCATTCTTTTTCTGTTCATTATCAACTATGAAGCAACACATTTGTGTTAATCACAATATACTAATATAATATCAATGACGACAAACAAACAAGTTGAGAATGAATGACATATAAAAATTTTTTTTTCAATCATTCAATCCGACTACGACCACGAAAACAGCTAAGACATATAACTGTATAGTACTACTCCTTCTTTGCCTAATTCGTTCACTATCATACTAATCCATTGAAAAATATCTGTGGATGCTCATATAACCATGTCTCATGTTTCAAAATATATTCAACATTCAATAATGATTGATTTATCCAACAACGATACTATAGTATTCACTTGTATCTATAATTGTTGTTGACCAAATGGATCGAAAGATAAACGAAAAAAACAATGATCTTATTATGAAAGAAAAAGCGAAAAAAAATCGATCATATACTGTATGTATCAACCTTGTGTGTACACAAGTATAGGTGAACTGTGTGTGCATGGGTTAAAAAAGCCAATTATATTAAGAAAATTGAATTTGGCGTTCATTTTTTTCAAAAAAAATGTGTATTTCATTCCCATCCATCCATCTAATATAGTGAAATTGATGTTCATTTAATATGCAAATGAAATCATCTTAAAACATGATTGTCAGCCAACATTTTTTTTTCTTTTCAAGATGACAAACAGAAAAGGTTTCCGCCAAAAACCGTAACTTGCCAATTGCTATCATCATCATCATTTTCATCCACAATAGGATGAATTGTGAATTCAGTCAAGTTCAATTGTTTTCAGATATATAGATATAATAATAATTGCATAGAAAAGGGTATACATACAAATGATTATGACAATAATTTTGTTTTTTCTCTAGATTCAAATCGACCAAAAAACTAAGGTAATAAATATTGTTTACAAGCTAAAAATATCATTTTTACCATCCAATCATTTAGTTTGTCATCATCAAACTCAAACGAACATGGTATATGTTTAACGAAAATAATCTAATCATCATAGAGATCAAGATCAACATTTCTATTTATAAGATCTTTTTAAACTTATTGCAAATTACACACTAGATTTGTGATGGCAGCTTTTTTTAGAAAAATAAAAACAAAAAAAACAATCAACTTACCCAAACGGAAACGGATTCAGAATGTTTTCTCCTTTCATGAGATCGTTCCGAAGTTGATGAATATGAAGAATGTGTATATATCGATGATGATGATGATGTACTACGTGTTGATGACGATGATCGACGATTATAATCTTGTCGTTTTCGTCGGGAACGACCATCTTCGGCCGATGATAATGAACAAGATTGTTGTCGATATCTTCTTCTACAATGATTATCACTGTTCGAATGACGACGGCGATGATTATGTTGACGGTGATCAGATCGACTACGACAATGTGGATAGTGTCCACGATATTCATCGCCATTATCATAATCATCATTGGAAATTCTACGTCGTTTAGATTTGTAACCATCGTTACCATTGTGATCATCACGTTTTCTACGATAATTCATTTTCATTGATGTGTACATTGTTGGATTGGCATAACGTTGTCGCGACCGTGACGATGATCGGTTTCGGTATCGATAATCGGACCGATGTTTATTATGATTGTGATAATCGGAAATTGATGATGATTGCTGTGAGCCAGCATCAAAATCTTGCGATGATTCGAATGAATCACTGTGATTATATCTTCGATCCCGTCGTCGACTATATGACGGTGATTGTTGTTGACGTTTTCTGTAGTTTTCGCTAATTCGATATTTATTGACTACATCATCATCATAGCGGCTAGAATTATTGTAACGATGATTCCGATAATATTCTGTGTGAATGAAAATTGTTTAGCTAAATTTGTCAATAAAAAAAATTAAACGGAATGAATTACCTGAATTATTATTACGATTACGATGATTTTTATATGATGATGATGAAGATGAATATTTAGATGATGGGTGATGATGATGATGATGATAATCAGACATGGTTGATGATGAATATGTTTGTGAATCATATGAACCACTATGTCCCATACTGTTTAAACGATGATGACAATCATTGACATCACCATTGATTAATAACTTGGACGATGATGATGAATTTCTATCGTTACAACGTAGAATATGTTTCAATTTTCGTTTCGATTTACGAGTTAAGATGGTAGTTTTATTTTGCACCAAAGTCGAAATAGCTGATGTTAATCGTGATTTTTTAGTCACAATAGCCAAACCAGGAGATGATGGCTTCCGTTGTAATTGTTGACGTTGACGAATTCGACTTGAACGTCGAAGCAATTTACAATTGTCTGATGATTTCTTTAGATTTTTTTTTGTTTCAATTTTTCGTAATTGCTGTTGTCTAGTATGATTAGCAACATTCGAATCGTGGCGAATGACAATCTGTCTATGTTTAGTTGTAATAGTTTCTTTGTAGAAACGATTTTTCGTAATTATAGAATCGGTACGATTTCGTAATTGTTTTTTAGTTCTCACTGATGATGATGATGATGGTAATGATAATGATGATGGGGTTGGATGTGGAAGGGGATGAGGTAGTGAAGATGATGATGGACTAAATATTGATTTGGTTTGATTATCGTGATCACTACTGCTACAATCGATTGAACAAGTTTGTACTGTTTGTGGTGGTGGTGGTGGTGATGGCGGTGGTTGCTGCTGCTGCTGTATAAATTGCGAAGCTCCAACGATGACCAATCGTTTTGCGAATCTAACCAAACTATCCAAGATGAACATGAATGATGATGATTCAATTGGTATGTAAATTGTCCTCACTGATGGTATATCCGCAAACAATCCAATCAATCAATCAATCAATCCATTGATAAATGCAAGAATTGTAAATGCAAATTCGAAATCCGGATTGCCCTGATCATATATGATATGTATTTATCATCATTATAATTGATAAGAATATGCTAATATTTTTTTTTTATTGAAAATTCAAATCATTACTATTACCATTCTTGCATTCAAATTCCAATCATTCATAGAATTATGATTTGTTTTTGAGTTTGAAGATATTTATTCATTTATTATTTCAGAATTCAATCAACAAAAAATATATGAAATGTAATGTTTAACAAGAAAAAAATTAAATATTCGATGCACAAGACAATAGTTCAATTAATGAATATATATAGAATAACGATGAACAGAATGAACACACACGTTGTTGCATGTAAACCAAATTGTTTGTTTAGTTGATTGGTTCCAAATAATATCATTGGTTGAATTGAAAATAATCGGCTCAATGATCGCGATGATGTAATCATCAAACAAAAAATTGGATGATCCTTGTTGATGTCAATGATTTAAGTGAAGAACATTCTGGAACAGTTGATAATTTCTGCTTTATTAATTGTATGATCATGAATTGAATCGAATTTCACAATTTTTTTTCCAATAAATATCACACGACACATAAATGAACAAATTAAAATTATCATCATCCACAACGAACAACAGACCAACACGATTTCGGCAATAGTGCTGCCATCATTGCCATACATTCAATGTATTGAATTGTTATTGTTATTTGTTCGGGTGAGCTTTTTTTTAAACACATCAACACACACACAGTGAGTATTCCGGTTTTTTTTTCTCGTTGCTCTTTTTCGATTCAGACATGCGCGTGCATAATAATAATAGAAATAATTTCACGAAACACAAATAGATGGCACAGTGTGTTTATTTTTTTTTTTTTTTTAATTTTATCATCATCATCATCCACCACCATCAATACATTTTCGTTGGTAGTACGCCAAATTTTCGAACACCAACCTTTGACTTTGAATGTCGTTCACTAGTATCGGCTTGTGTTAAAACCAATCGTCTTAGATTTAATTTCAATGGTTTTGTAATACGAAAATCCAATGATGATCTCAATGCTAATGGTGTTTGTTCATCATTGTTTTTCATTTTATTCTTATCTTTATTATGTTTGTAAAATTTCGAACAAAAACGACTTAGAAGCTGTAAATGTTGAATTAAACGATACCAGCCATCAAAATACCAAAGAACGAATGGACCATAAACGAGTATTAACAATGTCAAACTGATCAACAAGTACGCTGTTTTAGGAGAAAAATAATATAATGAAAAATTTGAAGCAAAACAAAATGTCAACCTTGTTGATCAGTCCCTGCCAGGGCTAGATTGTGAAAGAATCCTAAATCCATTCGCAATCGAACAATGAAACAAATACATTTTATATATATGTCAATTAAGTTTTCAATTTTTTTTAATTAAATAAATGTGTGTATGTGTGTCGGGTTGTATATAACTCGAATAACTCGGATAGCCAATCAATTTGGTGTAAGTGTATGGTGATATTGCAAAAATTTACAAATCCATATCTATAGAAAAACAATCTGAATATTTTGAAAAAGAAAAGAGGATTAAATCAATTCTGGACTGTTCACAACAAAAAGAAGAAAGGGGTTTGTATTTAAGTGTCGAATTTAGAGAAGATTCGGCACGGCTGTTGCCTGTGGGGTTGGTGTTGCTACCGCGGATGTCATCGGTTGACTGGTCATTACTGCTGATGACTGCTGCGAGATGTGATGTTGGTGTGAAGAAATCATGATTTGCCCACCTGGAGATGTTGCTGTCGCTGTTGATGCTGATGCCATCATCATTTGTGGTATTTGAGTATGTTGATTCATATGATTCACATCCGAATGTTGATAGACACCGTGTTGGGGAATTGTATATGGGGATTGATAGACCGGTTGTGTGCCATAAGACACTGGTATCGAGCCTGTAGCCGCCGGTGTTGACATCGTCGACGATATTGTCGCTTGTGAATAATAATTTCCAGGTTGAGCTTCAACGGTCGTTGGTTGTGGTTGCGATTGTTGTAGATAAGATTGCGGCAAAACACCGTTGACCATTGGAAATTGTGGTTGACCCGTGGCCGCCGTGTATGGATTCATTGATTGCGACTGAATCTGCATTGAAGCCATCTGTTCCATGAGAAAACTTTCCTTCATTAAATCATGATAAAGATTCAATGCAGATGATAGCTGTTGATTCAATGATGTGAGCCTGGCATTCATTTTATCAATCGATTCCATTTGTTGATCAATCAATGGCATCATTGCCGAGCATTGTTCTAAAAAGAAAGTTTATAAATAAATAACATGTCAACATATGGTGATAGAAATCTAAAAGTACCCTCTGATCGTAACAATTCGTCCGGATCATCAAATGATTTTGGATCAGCTTCTTGTAGCATTGACATTAGCTCATCTATTTTGCCCTCATCAATCGTAACATCTTCTGGTTTGATTTCATCTTTATCCACTTTGACAACTTTCACCTCTTCATTAAATTGCACTTTTTTCGATTCCGAATTCTTTGTTGTGGTAATATCTGTCCATAGCAAAAAATGGTTGAAAAAAGAAAAAAAAATTGTTTCAACTTACAAGACTCTGGTTCAGCATTTAGATCGGTCGAAACAAAATTAGCTGGAAATAAGCCTTCCCCACGATGATTAGAGCCTTTCCACCAATTAGCATCGGATGAATCGGTAACCAGAATGATCTCACCAGCTTTGAATGTCAGTTCATTATCTTCGGCTGCTTCGAAATCATATATGGCTCGAGCTTTGATAGGTTCTTTTGCCTCTGATGATTTATTCGTCGTAGACGCTGTTGTGTTATTCATGTCGGACATGTTGAATGATGGATAAAGTGATGATGTCGTTGTTGTTGTCGAATGATGATTGGTCGATGAACTAGATGATGATGACGTTGTTGTACTTACTGGTGCAGTGTCGTTAGTTTTGATACCTCGTTTTTTCGCTTCTTGTATGGATAATTCGATAGCTTTAGCTAGCTGAGCTTCCTCTTCAGCATTGGCAACGTAATCAGGATTTTTCAACATTGTTTCGTCCGGAACTGATGATTTACGTTTCGATGGTTCGGATGAATGAAATGATATACCTTCGGATTTTAATTTTTCATATAATGACGGTATCAGATTAAGCTGTGGATCTTTCTTAAAATCTTTCGATTGGGCCCATTTTTTCAACAATAAACGTGTACGTTCAGAAACTTTTGGATGAATATTTTTGCCACCACGAATTAACCGTAAAAGTTCAGCCTCAAAATCACGAGAACAAACTTCTAAATGAAAACGTTTACCACAATTGCTTACCAATGAATCGAGAAGCTAATGATAATGAAAAATGTTGTTGTAGAAAAAAAAATTGTCACATCATTCACCAATTTACTAACTGTTAATGTTTGTAGAATAACCCAAGGAACATCGGAATATAGACGATTGATAATCGAACGCATACAATCTTTTGGTCCGTTTTGTTCGACAGCAACACGATCATTTATCTCCAATATTTGTTGCCAATCTTCCGATGTATTCTGATCCGATGTTGCTTTCTCTGTTTCATATGGTGAAAAGAAATGAAAATATTTTTTCATTATAAATATGGCAAAAAAGAAACATACCAACTAAAGGATCATATGGTGATGTTTTAATGGCACTTAGAATACTAAGCATATTATTTATCAAAATCAAAACTATTACAATTTTCGAAAACCACAAATTTAGAGGCGTTTTTTTCCACTCAATTATTAAATTATTATTATGAAAACCAGAAAATGTAGCTGAATTGAATGGAATTAATTTACACAATTAATTCAATCAATTATATAATGTTATTATTATTATTATTATTATTGTGATGATGACGAACCTGACGATGAAAGTTCGTTTAATAATTTTTTCTCTTCACTTTGTGTAGTATAAATGATGATGATGAAAAAAAACGATCAATTCCAAGTTTTCGAAATTTTGATTATGATGATGATGATTATTATCACAAACACACATACACAAAATCAACACCTTTGTTCAGCAATCTCAGAATGAATTCGAAAATGAGTATATATGGACAATGACAAACAACAACAAAAAAGGCAAAGGAGAAAAGACTGTCTATCATTTGTTGTTGTCATCGACAAACAAATCCAACGTATATGATAATGTGATTATGATAATAGCACCATTAATAAATCAACACCATCATCAATGATAAATCAGAACATCAAACTTCAGTTTGGAGAGTGTAAAAAAACTCAAAAAAAAAAAAAAACAAAATCAACTGAGTCATCACCCAATCATCATCGCAATATTGCGATTGTTTCATTTTATGTCCAGCAGCTGCAAAGCTAGATCGAAAGCTGTATCGAAAGCCGTACACAGAGAACGTTACGAATAAGTTTTAAAAAAAAAAATTTTAATTTTCCAGCTATAGTAAATTGAAACAAATCTACTATCTATTTTAAAGTTTCCATTTGTTTTTGATCACATCACATGTCAATTGAGATACTTTACAAACGGAATCTGATTCCAATATGAATGCATGTTCCATTTGTCCTAAACAAAGTCGAATGTCTAACTTGTCTTGAAAATTTTCAAATTTTCGCCTTAGTTTATGATAACGATCTACCGGTGCCCATGGATCCGATTCACTGTAAAACATTGATAAATTTGATGCATTCGCTTCGATTATATTCAATTTTGGCTCCAAAACCTGAACTAATTCTTCTGAAGCCATCATAGTGACTGCACGAACACAATAAGGATCCAATAGATTGGTTGCCGAACGCACAACCGAGTCCAAACATTCATTTCCATTCAATAGTAGGTATGCTTTGATCAATTGTTCTTTTCTCTCTGAACTGAGAATCGAATTGAAGAGATAAGCCAATGCCAACACAGGATAAAGAAGAAATTTTATGAAAAAATGAGTTAATCGCCCGGATTTGGTATTAGCAATGGAATCGATAGTCGGATAGAGCAAAATCGAATGATCCACCTAATAGATCAATTTAGAATGTTAATAAAGATTTCTCATCAAAACCTGACTGACCATTTTAGCGATATCCGAATAACGATCCAACAGTTCGAGTATAATATAGCATCCAATCGAATGACCAATCAAAATGATTCTCGTCGATGGTTCGATATGATTCTGGATAAATTGAGCTTTATGAACAATTTGGGCTTCTAGTCCAAACAGCTGAGAATTCATTTGGGGTCTTGAATAGCCAGCAGGGATGCAATTATGGCCAGCATGTGATAAACCAATCAACGGGATTTTCATCTCCAAATAAAGTGTGGAAAAATAATCGGTATAATATTCAATTTCACCAGGATTGCCTGTCATTGTGATTAGAATGACCAATATATATGAAATATATAGTAAACAAAATCAAACCGATTACCTGATATCATCAGGATCAATTGTTTTTTGTTAAATTTTTCATTTCGATCCAGCCAACCAATTTCATCGTCATAGACTAGAATTTTCGTCGGAACATGATTAACTTGAATAAATTTCATTTCAGTTTTCATTTTGCTTCATTACAATGATTATTATGATGAGTACGCGTTTTATTTATAAATCCATATGAAAATTGAAATGTAAATAAAAAATCAATTAGCTGTTTGATTGGATAAATCAAATCTCAATGACAATCATTGATGAGCGATGAATTATAATTTTGCTATGCCCAGCTGTTTGTTACATGCGTATATTTACAGTTGACAATTTTTTTTTTTTGATTTTATACTCCTGTCAGGAAGCAGCTATTTTTCTACCATAACTTTTACTAACTACTAAGATTTTTTCAACAATAAAAAGCTTAAAAATTAAGGGTAATAATTACATCATCATCATCACATACATTTATGATAATGATGTGATGCTGATCATTTGCATTCATGTGTGGCTATATTGTATATATCCAAATTGATACACACACACAAACAATGAGATTGACACACAAAAATACACAGGGACAACCATAATGATGATGATGACTTTTGTCTTCAATAGTAAATGGTAAAAATTTTCAACCTGTTGTTGTTATCATCATCATATAATTACTGTCGTATTCTATTCTTGAAAAGAAAAGGAAAATTCATTGTTGTTGTTGTTGCTGTTATAAATTTCATTTGAAACTTTTTTCAAATAAAATTAAATAAAAAAAAAAAAATTTCCCGAACAAATAAACACCATGATGACTACACACATTGCATACGGTGAGTTATGGTAGCTATATAGCTGTGGTCAAGGCTTATGTGCCATCTGAATATTGTTTATCTCTGGGAATATTTATAACTTTCAATATATGTGTGAAAAAAATTCGAATATATCACCCACATATGCATAGATTGGTGTTATTTTTTGCATCTATTAGATCCATATTGAAATTCCAATTGAAATACTACTTGAAATGTGTGAAAATGAAAAACGACATTTTTGATATTAATCTCTTAACAATCTGTGAATTGTTTGCACGATCCGTTAGATCTGTTTTCAGATACAATCATCATATTATATAGATGATCGCCATCTGAAAATGACCTGAATTCATTTTCATTTTTCCCATTGGCTAACATAGATCTCATCATCATCATTGTTGATAACATAATATTGTTGTATATAAAATACAATTATCTATTATGTTGAAATGAATTTTTCACTTTTATTATTATCATCATCATCATTATATGATTGAAATAACAAAAAAAATTTAAATTTTCCTTGAGAATTACAATGCCATGCCACCCACACAAATTGAATGAGAAAAAAATTATTAATATTTTAAAACACAAGGGGTTTAATAGATCATGAATCATGCACGTAACAGATCAAATTGTTGATGACAATCGACATTATGTTGCCAATCACAATTAGAGCTACGTTCATTGAAACGTGTTCCAGTTGGACATTCGAAACGAAATCTTTCACGTCGATGACCACTACAATGATAATATGCCTGACAATCTGAACTTAGATCGGCAAAAAAACCGCTTACATTATCGGGACATTGAAATGTCCAGGTTTTCGGATTGATTTTGATTGTTGAATTGAACTCGAACCCAAATAAACTGTTGATTGATCTTGGCAGCAAATCCCAATCCATGTCATTCATTCGTCGGGATTCTTCCATCAAATGTTGGTGTTGATCATCGATTTCCATTCGAGTTTCACCACTTTCATTATTAAATTGATGATGATCAATTGGTTCAAGTTCGGTGGATTCAGAATTATTATTATTCTCTTCACTGGTTATACCGTGCGAAACGTTTTCCTCATTTGTAGTAGCTGTTGTATTAGATATCGGATCGACGGCCAAGATTTCACCGGCTTCAGGATGTGGTTGCGATGATCGAAGCTGCATCAATTGTTTCCATGCTTCACGGTTATTCATCTGAATTGTTTGAGCAAATTTTTGACCTTTGATTTTCTCCGAACGTTGTCCCGGTTTCAGACTTGAATTCGTTCTCGTTTGCTGATCAAAATAGTCGAGATTTTCATCACGATTTTCGACGACTAATTGATCAGCGTAATCAACATCTATTCGATTATGATCCGGTATTGTTGTTGCTGTTGTAGTAGTAGTTATCGTTGGTAATGTTGTTGTGGTAGTTGTTATTGTGGGCGGAGGTGTAGTCGGTATCGTAGTCAATGCTGATGACTTTGTCTTTAATTTTTCCATCGATTCTTCCACCTGTGTGAGATGACGTTTCGATTCGGCCAATCGAGTTTGAATCAATTCTCGGATCCAATCATATGAATTGGATGCTGATAATGGTGATTCCGTTTGTGGATATGAAATAAAGAAAGGCTGTGAACGTGCAAAATTATTATGATATGAGCTTGTTGTTGTCGTTGTGGGAAATTGATATGGAATCCTGGACGTTTGACGAATTGCTGTCGAAAATGGTTGATGATCAAAATAATTATATTGACCATGTCTTGGCTGTTGATGATGAAGATAATTGGCCGAACTAGTACGGAATGTATTGAAAGAATTGGTCGATTGTGATTGTGAACGCGATGATGATGATGGTGATGATGGTGATATCGACCAATATGTTCTCGTTGGCATCACTTTCAATGGTATCGATGGTGTTGTCATAGTTTGTTGTGATCGGCCAAATATTTTGTCTCTCCAATCCGGTTCAAGAGCTTAAATTAAAATTAATAAATTAATGAGAATTATTATTATTATGATTAAAGCAAAAAACTTGGAAAACTAACCATGACTATTGGTGATTATCATGAATATTATCATTAACCATAATGACATAATAACAATGATGATCGAATGAAATAATCGTATCATCATGATCAAAAGGGTTCAAGTCAAACACAAACAAACAAACAAATGGCTATTGGATTAGAAAAAATTTTGAATTTCAATCCAATATATCATGTGAAGAATGAATGAAAAAGAATGTCAACTGGGTATATCATCTTTATCCTTTTGAAGAAAAGACGGATCTATTCAAAAGAGAAAGTTTTTGTTTTCTCAAACACAATGTTGGCCAACAACAAAGACGATTTTCACATTGTTTGTGTGTGTGTGTGTGTGAGAGAAAGTATTTTTCTCTTTATATCAGAAAAATTGTGCCCGACTAAGAAAATATGAATTTTTGTCAATCGGATTTTTAAAAAAATCAAGAAAATCCTGGATGACCATGTGATGAATATTGAATTGTCAATGTTGTTCATAAATTCATAGACATGAATCCAGAAAACAAAACAAAACAAAATGATGAATGAACATGAATTTGAATTCTTTTTTTCTTCATTCATCATTAAATGAGTAAAAGTGAGAAAAAATGCTTTTGTCAAATGGCCAGTGTCATCGTTTTTCATTATTTAAACCCAATCAAATGTTCATTCATTCATTCATTGAACAAATTTAAAACTTTAAGAAATAATAAAGATTAGAAGAAAAAAGAATGGCCATTCGTCACTTTGCCTTATCGCGTTTATTCATTCATAAAAATTATTGTTCATGCATTAGCAAGCATTGCACATTGGATATAATTTTGTGAAAAAAATGGCCAAATTTATTCAAAATTTAACAACAACAACAACAACAACAACAACAACAACAACAATCTGTTATTTGTCATTAAATTGATCATCATAATTTGTCATAAAAAAAACAATGATAAAGATGACATGTAATCTTGTCACATTTTGACGAAATGTTTGTTTTGTTTTGTTTTTTTTGAAACAAACAAAAAAATTGTTTGTTTGTTTACAAAACAATAAGATATGACTATTTTTATGATTTAAATTTTTCTTTCCAAATGGTGATGATGAGAACATTATATTGATGAATATATCCCATTCAATTTGATTCGATTCGTCAACAAACAAAACGACAGCAACGAACTTTCTTATTATTATTATGATGATGATGATGATGTATCCAGGAAGCGGTTAATGTTAATGGATGAAATGAAATGAAAAAAAAAATTTAAATGGCAATTACATGCCATCAACACAACAGACACGTACTAATGTACCTATTTGGTTATTATTATTATTATTTATAATAAGCTAGCATTTTTAAACTGTCCAGTCAGTTAATCACATTTCACATTCACATTTTTATATATAATAATGATGATGATCAAAAGTTTTTAAAAATTAAATTAAATTAAATTAAATTAAATTAATTATTTGCTAAATAGTATTATGGCCACCGATTTTCGATATGAAAATAAAGATAATATAAATATGAAATGAATCTTCGATAGATGTATAGGGCCAATATAGGTGAAAATAACATAAACATAATGGTCAATGGTGTATGACGCCACCATGATCGTTGATGTTGTTGTTGATAAAGACCATATAATTGTATATTACCTGTACGTTGTACACGTTTAGCCACTGTTTGATGATCCACTTTTTTACGATTTTTCACCATACCTAACCATGATAGAAAATCAATGGTCATTGTTGTAAAATTGATATCATTCAACCAGGTCATTTCGGATGCAGAATAATCGAATGGAAAGATATGATGATAATTGTGGTAACCTTCACCAAGTGCTACAATCTCGACCAATTTACATTCAACTGGCTGGATTCCATTATCATATGGACGATTTCCCCAGAGATGTGCCGCACTGTTCACCAACCATGTAGCATGCTATTGATAATTCATTAATTATTAGTAAATCATTCATTAGTGGATTAATAGAAATATGTATTACCAATAGTAAAGTATATCTAGTCATCGAAGCAAATATGGATATGATTGGATCTTCATTCCAACAAGCGCAAGGAATAATTGATGGCAATATAAAGGTGAATAATGTGGCCAATGGTTTATAATAACGACGTTGAAATTGCACAACTGGATCATCGGCAATATCTTTGAGAGAAACAGTTCGACCTTTATTTTTGACTTCAGGATGTTTACGACACAATAACCATCCGATATGAGCAAAGAAGAATCCACGTCGTGAATTATGAGGATCAGCATCGGTTTCGGAAAATTTATGATGGACACGATGATCGCGACTCCATTCAAGTATATCATTTTGTAGGGCACCACAGTTGAAGAGCATTAGAATGATACGAAGTGTTGTTGTCGCTTCATATGATCGATGAGCCCATAATCGATGTGCACCGGCTGTAATGCCTAAACCAGTGAGAATAAGGTACAGATAATTGAACATGACGGTTCGATATCGGGCATGAAATATGCCCAGATATCCACCATAAACACTAGCCACATGTAATATGATCATTAAAAATATATTTCTCCACACAATCTCCATACGATATGATGATGGACATTTGTCATCGATTGTTGAATTTGCCATTTCCGGCGATGGATTAGGTTTTGATTTTGAAACCACACGATTACAATGACCATTTTCATTGTCAGCTGTCATTGTTCTTGCCAGTCATCAATAGTAATATGGAATGACCATAAAAAAAAATAAAATGAATAATGATTGTCAATTCAAGGAAACCATGTCTAGGCCATTATTCCGAATGAATTGAATTGAAAAGAAAGAAATTCACTGGATGGGTTCACTAGTCACGATTTTATAGTCATCATTATAACACTATTTACATCCAAGTAAATTGAGGAAAATGAGAAAAAATGAAATGAAATAAAATGAAATCAAGATCGACGATTGGTATGTAAGGAAGGGTGAAAAATAATGACTAATGGCACATTGAAATAATGATTGAATCATATAGATTCAAATCAATGATCGTTAAATTAAGAAGGAAAAAAAATTTAATTCATCAAACAAGGAAAAATATGGTCATTTCCATCAATCAATAATGGTCATAACCATGGCTATAGCTCATGACAATAGCAAAAACAAAAAGCATCATCATTTTAGTTTATTATGAAAAGCGCAAGCGCTTTATGAATTTTTATGTTCCATTTGGAACCGCTTTATTTCAGTTATCATCAAATCTTTCAATAAAATGTCATTATTATTGTGTTATTGTTGATGATCATGGTGATAGCAAGCGGCCAACATGGCCGAACCAATCACGCCACCCGTTTGAGTAGCGAATACCTTTGTTCGTTTTGTTGGACATAATTCCTTTAGAAATCCATTGATCAATCGATCCATCTTTGGATGTTTCGAAAATAATGATCCATCGCAACTAACGTGTACGACTTGTTCATCCATACGGTTAATAAATGGTGCTAATTCTGAAATGATCGAAAATAATCAATTTGAAATTTCAATGAAAATAACGAACAAACCAATAGCACAAAGAAGAGCACAACGAATGGTAATCAATTGACAAACATAGGCAATGATTTTTCGATCGTCCGGTTCAATATCATCGGATTGATAATCGAATCGATGGATGAGCATCGAATCAATCTGTTCGAATGATTGATAACAGGAGGAAACCAATTCAAAATCGATACAAGACAAGACTGGTGTTGCAATCGAATTCGGGTTTTCTATCATGGTGGTCAACTTTCCCCGTAATAATAAACCATTTTTGATCAGATCGACTAAAGCCAATCGAAATAATTCACCAAGAAATGCACCGCCAAGCATTTTCTCATATCTGCGAAATGAATCAATTGTAAATGTCACTGAAAATAATGTCAATGTAACTTACGTATAGCTATTCGGAATCAATGATTTTGAATCCAATTCCATGTCGTAACGAGATTTGGCAAAATCTATCTGATGATAATCACCATACAATACACATTCACTGTTTATAATGAATTCGGTAGGTTTGTAGCCGAAAGCTTGAACCGGATCTTTAATTCGTTTATCTCGTTCGACTTTTTCAATATAAGCAACATTACTACCGGAGCCTAGAATCATCGATGCTCGTGTTTCCGGATCGAAAAATCGGCCGTAGATCAATGTTGTTGTTGAATCATTAGCTAGAACAGCAACTTTTACAGGTAATCCAGCAGAATCGATTGAACTTTGTAATAATTGAGCAGGACATTTTCCCAGAGCATCGGGCAGATTAGTTTGTATGCCGAATTGTACACATCGACCATGATTAATTGATAATTGATCGTAACCGAATGAAAAAGTAAAACCTAAGACAATTGTTTCCGTTTGTTGTGGGAAATGTTTTTGTAGAAAATTACCAATCGATTTGGCAAGATGATCGAAAAACTGAAGAAACATACAGGGTTATCAATCTAAATAAGTTGTATGTAAGAAACTTACTTTTTTACTTTCACCTTGGCGACATTCAATCGGAACAGGAAAATTTTCCAAATTGATTCGTTTACCATTATCAGGATGGCCTGGTTCCAAATGAACGCTTGCTATCCTTAGATTAGTTCCACCAATATCTAGGCCAAGAAAATGGCCACTTTCTTGATTGGTGGGAAATTTTGTTACAAATGTATTAATCATGGGAAACCCTTGCGGATCAGGTGGTCCACCATTTAACGGTTTATCAATTTCATCACCAAATTGTTTGACTAAACGGTCTACGTTATGTTTTGGGATCAGAAATTCACCGACCAGATTGAAAATCTTGTTGATTAAAAAAAAAACATTGAATATGAATGAAAAATTCGAATAAATTATTGAAATACCTTAGTTTTTCTTTCGTCATTGTTAATCTCTAATTTTGGATGAAAAAATGGATCATTCTGTAGATAGAATTCATCTTCGAGTTTCGGTACATAAGGCATTCTGTAGTAATGTAGATTAATATTAACTTGGATATGAATAAAAAAAGTCCTGTCCTTGTCTTTTTTTCTTTATCTATGTTATCACCGCATATGGATTGGATAAGCCTGAATTGACATACCCACTAACATGATGATGATAATCCTGTTGCCGTGAACGGGGAAAAATCAAAAACTTTATTTGGATTTGGATAAGATATCAAAAAATAATTTAGGAAATATGTTGCATGAAAATGTCTAAGCATACGTCCTTTATGGACGAGTCATATTCTCTTGTATATAAACACAGTCACATGCCTAAATAAAATCATTGTGAATCGTAACATGGTAGCAGAGCGTGGTTCTCTCCTGCTTGACACATTGAAAATTGTTTTTGAATCTGACTTGTGAGATTTACCTTGATTGTCTCTCAATTCGTTTGTGTTTATTAAAATTGATTGTGATTACTAAATGTGATTGTTTGATTGTCTTATAGACGAAAAAATTTTTTGTATCCGTTTTGTGTGTTCATCGTGTAATCAAAGTAAAATGGAACAACTTCAATTGCTCAGTTCTTTATCGATTTCGGACATCAAAAAATTTGATGGTACCAACTTCAAATGCTGGCTTGATGAAATTAAACTGTGGTGTGATGGTTATGGCTTTTCTGAGCTATTGGAATTAACATCAATTGAAAATGTTAATGCTGATAAAAAGAAGAAATTGAAGATGCTTCGGGCGCGAATTTTGTGCTTCATAAGAGAAGATATAAGAGAAGCGTTTTTGCAATATGATCTGCCCAGCGAAATCATCAATCAACTGAAAGATCGTTTTGATAAGCAGAATCAATTTCATAAAGCAAATCTGGTTGATAAATTGATGAACATGAAGCTCAAATCAGATGAAGACCTAATGGTGTACCTATGTCGTTTTGACTCATTGGTTCTGCAAGCTAAGAAAGCTGGAGCAGAGTTGCAAGATGACATAATCATAAATATCCTATTGAATTCGCTGCCTAGTGATTATGATAAAATTAAAGAAGATGTTCTCGACAGTACAGACATTTCGCCGATTTCTCTTGACAGAGTAAAAGAATCATCATCTGATCAAGCTCTTCGTGTTGAAAATCCACGTGGCAATCATCGAGAAAATTTTCCAACCGTCAATCGTAATTGTTTCAAGTGTGGTGGCGTTGGCCATTTTGCTAGAGTTTGTCCTAGTGGTAGATATGTCAACGAGCAACGTCGTTATTTTGTGTCAAGCAACAGTGGGCCTCAAAATCAATTGTCATCGAATAATGGCGCGCAAAATCTTCGGTCTTCAAGCAATGCGCAACAAAGTGCACCATCATCAACGAATAATAACGCGCGAAATTCACAACGGTCGACAGGCGGCGCTCAAAGAAATGCACGACCACCAGCAAACAATAATCAACGTGCTTTTGTGTCACAAGATGAAAATATTGAAAATGAAAGTGGACATGCATATTCCACTACCAATGTTGATCATAATGCTTCATTGTCTGATTGGTTTATTGACAGTGCGTCGTCGAAACACTATTGTAATGATGAAAATCAACTTTATAATCGACGAGAGTGTTTTTCTTCGGTATTGACAGCTAATGGTGATCGTTGTCAAGCGTCCTCTGTTGGAGATCTTGATCTAAAAACGTCCGATGGTTCACTCATGAAGCTTAAAAATGTGGAATCAGTATCGACCTTCGATAAAAATCTTTTGTCTGTTCCTGCTACGTGTGATAGAGGAAATATTGTAGTTTTCACTGACAAAGAATGTATCTTCCTTGATAAAAACAAATGTAATTTGAATTATGATGAATCAGCTGTAAAAATGATTGTTCCTCGTACTGGAAATGCATATATCATCAAAGCAAATAGAATTAATTCTGAAAACTATGCCAATTCATGTAATGATGATTCAAAAGTTATTTCGTGGCACCGTAAATTTATTTATACGAAATTATCTGCTAAAATTTCTTAAAGCTGATGATGTATTTGTACGTCGTAATTCTGCATCGCTTTTAAGAAAAACGATTGATAGTCTTGAAGAAGTGGATGAAAATACATTTGCTGAAGTATTGAAAGAACTTCGTAAACGAAGTGTTGATAAAGACAAATATGTTCGTTCATTAATTATGTTGTGTTTACGAAAACTTCAATATATTAATAAGGATGATGATGAAGCCATACAAATATTGAAATTCAATCCATTGAACGAAGATTCGAAGTGCATGATTATGCCGATTGCTCAAAGTATCTTGGTCTCAACATCGAGGTTAACGAAGATGCAATCTATATCGATCAAACAAAATATATAGATAGCATTCTTGAGAATTTTGAAATGACGAAATGCAATCCTACCATTGTGCCAATGGATGATATGGAGGACTTCACAAATTGTCCCATCGACGACAAGTATCCGATCAAAGAAATTCTCGGATCGTTAAATTATATTGCGTGCAGATCCAGACCGGATATTGCTTTGTGTGTATCGTATCTTGGTCGTTTTGCCGATAAACCATCTGACAAACTGTGGACAGCTTGTAAACGTGTTCTACGGTATTTAAAAGGAACCAAACACCAACAATTGAAATTATTGCCTGTCAACGAATGGATTATAAATGTGTACACCGATGCCAGTTTTCGTTCCGACAGCAGCTCTAATGCAACCAGTGGATCCGTCACACTCGTGGACAAATCGCTTATCAACTGGTCATCGAAAAAACAATCGAGGTTGCCGCATTCAACATGCGAGGCTGAATTAACAGCTGCACTGGAAGGATGGAAGAACGCCGAACCAATTAGACAACTGCTTCAGGAGTTTGGCATCAATTCATCAGTTAAACTTCATGTGGACAATAGTGCGGCAGTATCAATCATGGACAACAATGCATTCAAAAAGTCGAGATACTTTGCTTACGATCAAAAGCTGTTAGTCTCCAAAATGAATGCTGATAATCTAGTCTCTATAGCAAGAGTGCCATCATCTGATCAATTGGCCGATGCTTTAACCAAACCTTTAAAACATATCAAACTTAATGTATTTACATCACGTATGCTTAGCCAGAAGGGTGTGTTGCATGAAAATGTCTAAGCATACGTCCTTTATGGACGAGTCATATTCTCTTGTATATAAACACAGTCACATGCCTAAATAAAATCATTGTGAATCGTAACAAAATATACATTCTCTATGAATGGATCTTGGAATGAGAACATGTTTGCATCACAACAACAACAACAACAAATTGTTATCCTTTAAATCTCTCTTTGTTCATTTAGAATTGAGTGAATATTCTGGAAATTTCTAATTTGAAACTTTAATGATTTTACAAATTCATTGTCCAAAAAATATTGGTCATAAACAATGCACTTTGGTTTATGTCATCTAAATTGTTTTGCAAAAAAAATTCGATTGTATTGTGTGTATGTCATTTTTGCTTTTTCTTTTTTTTTTGACGATTTCAATCATCATTTTACACTATTAAAACATTGTTTTATCGTTTTTGCGTCATACAATCTCTGATTGTTTGTTTGATTTGATATAAAAATAACATCCTCATTTATTATTAATTGATGATTTGCAATCGAATCGATCACCACAACGAAATATCAGGTAGGTTTCTGATATTTAATTATTAATTTTTACCAATTGATAATGTTAGAATAATTGAGCTGAATAATAATATTATATATATCGAAACAATTTGTTTGTTTGTCCATCTGGATATATTTTAGTAAATTTATAATCAATAAATATACTGTGTGAACAACACCTGAAAGTTTTCATTTATGGTTACAACCATCAAGTAAAACTTTTTGAGAATAAATAATAATAAAAATAATGCCTATTGGGTATACCACCGTGATGGATGATAAGCATGTCGATAAGTTCTGTTCTGTCGATGGTAATGAATCAAAAATAAAAAAATAAAAATAAAATGCATAGAAAAATAACCAGACAGTGTGGGCGATAATGAATAAGAAACTGAGAAACCGACATTTATATTTATATATAGGAGTGAGTGAATCCATAAATCATTTGATCACTACCATCATCATCTATGCTATATTTGTGTATTTGACTCGAATCGACTCAAGTCTATAATGTTTTTTGATTTGATGGCGTGTTCTGTTCTATTGTTTTGTTTTGTTGTTGTTGTTGTTGTTCGCCCAAGGAATTTATTCCATAAAATATACCGGGCGTGTATATGGTTTGAAATGTGTGAAAAATGTTTTTATCATCATCAAATATATAATTGTCTTAGAATATAGAAATTTTTTTTCCTATAAATTTTCGCGTTTTTGTTGTTGTTGTTGTTACTACACATATAGTTCGTTCCGGATCGATGACGCGAATCGGAAATTGATTTCAGTATTTTTTTTATTCATTGCACTCTGTTTTTAGTTGTTTTTATGTTTTTTCATTCTATCGATGTATCAATGATGATGATGGGAGGTGTTTTATTTGATTGCTACATTTATTATCATCAATGGATTGTTTCGTTTGGTTTGTTATCCATTCTGTAATTTTTTTTTTCATCAAAATCCGGATCGTTATATCACACATATATACACTCACTACACAGTTTCAATTTGAATGGCCTTGTTTTTTTTCTGCTGACCATGGCAGAAAAAAATTGATGATGGTCATTCAACATTATTGTTGTGTGTGTGTGTGGATATGATGATCTTATATATCGATTTTGTTTTTTGTTGTTGTTGTTGTTCCATATACATGTGTTTATTAGATTGATTTGTTGTATACACACAATGTTTTCAACAAACAAAACAAAACACAAGTAGTAAAAGTATCAATTTATATTGTGAATTGAATGATAATTCTTATATAATGATGTTCATTAATAATGAATAAATCTGCCAATGTTTATTGTTTACGTGTTTTTGTTTTTGTTTTGTTTTTTTTTTTCGTTGTTGTTTCAAAACAACAACAACAACAATGATAAAAATAATGTAATGATCGTGATCAGAATTTCATCTTAAAAAAATGAAAATGTATTTGACAATATATAATATTATGATGATGATGAATGATGAAAATTTTTCACTTTGTCGTTCTAATTTCAAAATTGTATATTGATCAGTATACAACAATAATCTTGATGATGATGATCCCAAATTCTTTAGGGTATTTATTGTTGTAATATTGACTATTGCTATTTGGTTGGATAAATCGGTTTTTTGTTTCTTTGTTTCATCGTTCCATATATATCAATCGATATACATGATGACCTTGGATTTTTTTTGTTTTTTTTTTTTTTTGCATTTATTAAAATCCATGCATTGATTGAAAATTGAATTGAAAAAAGAATGAAATGATTCACAGAAGATGGAGCTCTATCCAATTTAACAATTCCAATGTCAATGTTTTGACACATATACAAAGAGAGAGAGAGAGAGAGAGAGAGAGAGAGAGAGAAAAGTTGGTTGATGTATGTGTGTATATTGTGTGTTTTTGATGTTATAATGGAAAAAATTTGCCAACATGGAACATACTTTTTTTTATATATTCAGATTTTATTACCATTTTTTTTTATTCTTTTTATCGGCATAGTAAGAGAGAGAAAAAAAAGAATGAATAAATCCAGCGGTCGTGTTGTCAAAATCAAATTGATATTTGCTATTTGTTTGTTGTTTGTGATTGGTTAATGGTTGAATTGGGATAGAAGAAAAAAAAATAATTTAAATTTCAAAATAGTTGACTGTCACGAATTTTGAATATGAATTTGCATCCATGTTAAAAAAAATGAAAACAATTTGCATAACAATACATGAAAGAGAGTCTATCCATTCCATTCTATCGTCTCACTCTATATATATATTGTGTATTCAAATGCAGCCACATAATTTCGAACGAAATTCTATAAAAAATGGTTCACTGTTTGTTGTTCGATTCCATATATATATTATATATTAACATTTTATTTCTGATTCTACATGATGGCTATATCCAAAAGATTTGATTTGATTTGACAGGTGTCATCATTGTTGTATCCATTTTTTTTTTTTGTAGCCAGAAAAGGATTGTTTCTCACCTGGTTCAATAATAAATTACAACATTGCGAATAGAGATGTTTTTTTTTATTCTGAAAAATTTAATAATTTGATTCAATACAGATGTTGGTTTTGATGGTCCATTTTTTGGGGTTTTCTCTTTCAAATTGTTTTATTCTGTGTTTGACTTGCTGCTGCTTATAACATTTGTTTTGTTTTTCTTGTGCCTAAGTGTGGTTAAGATATGTGTGTGTGTGTGTGTGTGTGTGTGTGTGCATACATGCAACCAAATATTCCATCTATATGCATTTGATGATGATGATGATGATGATAAAGGCCCATAAAAATAATGACGATGGCCCAGATTTTTTTTCTGTTTCTCCAATCAATTTTTTTTTTTTTTTGGAAACGTTTGGTCCATTTTCCCGAGAATCTCTTATTTCGTTTTTTTTGTTTTGTTTTGTCACGATAAATATGGAGAGAGAGAGAGAGATGGAGTGATACATGAAAAATGGAAAAGAAATTGTCAATACATAAATGTGCTGGTAACATGATTAGTGCACTTTGGAAAACAATATTCCATCATCATCATCATCATCATCATGAGATTCGTTACAATATCAACAATCACTATAGTTGGGTTCCAGAGTTTTAGTTTAGCTGCCTTTTGTTGTTGTTTGATAACCACAGTTTTTTCAAATATATTTTGTTGATGAGAATTAACAAACAAAAAAGCAAGAGTTATCTGTCTGATTTATTTATAAATATATTGTATTTTAAGAATTCTAGAAAAGTGTTTCAATACAATCAAAAAAAAAAAAAAAAAAAAATCATGTGTTTGTTTTTCATTTCTATATATATTCTCTTCCACCACTATTAATGTCATTGTATAACAAAATTGACGTCCTTATTATATATGTGAGAAAATGAAATGAAATGAAATGTAATTATAAATTGCAATCACATCTTGATCATCAACTTGATGTTTAAAGCTTTTATTCTATTTTAACCTTTTTTTTCAATGACGTGACTTGATCACCAGAATTTAGATTTTAATTCTATGAAAAAAAAAATTTTTTTGTCCATTTTTTTTGTTGTTTATAATAATTTGTTGTAGAAACTTTTTATGATACCCATTGTCCTGTTTTTTTTTGTGTGTGTGTGTGTGTGTGTAAATCTGTTTGAGAAAAGATTAGTTACACATACACACACATACTTGAATTGAATAGAGGCGTCGAACCAGAAACCATTTTTTGTTTCTTCATTCAGCTACCGAACTTTTAATGATAATAATGATGAGCATGCAAACTGAATTTTTTTGGAGTTTGAAACTTTTTTTTTTTCGTTTTGTTTACTAAACAACAACAACAAATTCATATGTGAAAGCACAGATTTTCATTTTTTTTTTTTTTTTATATTCAGAATAATGTTGAAAAAGTTTCTAAAAACAACAACAACAACAACAACAACTTTGTCATTGTCCTTGTTGTTTCGTTGGTTATCCGGTTTTCTTTGTGTTTTTTTTTATTTTTTGGGTGTTTTCAAAAATAACTGATTTGCATAACGGCCCATAATAATGATGACACCTCTCTCTCTGTGTGTGTGTGTGTGTGTGTGTGTGGTGGATATTCATAGTGTCTGATAGTATTGAATTACATAACATGTTCAATGTTCATCATTTGATATTTGATGTTCATAATAATCATCATACATTTTATGATTGAATAATTACCATTAGAATTGTAATAATTGAATTAATTAATTTTGTCATTCTCATCATCATTAATTAAAATGTGTTTTTTTTTCATTCTTTTTAATTATAAAAAAAAATCTGACAATTTTTAAATGAAATTTTTTTTTTTTTTTTTGCATAGTTATCGATTTTCACTTTATTTTCCTATAGGAACAAAAAAAAAGTTTTCAATTCATCATGATGATGATGTTCATATATTCAGCAATTGAAAAACTTTTGTTCATTTTCCAATTTTTTTTCCAGATGAAAATTTAGCATTTCTTTTTTCTGACACACACACACATGACAATGAGCAATGTTTTTAAATTGAAAACTTGTCTTACAATCGGTTTTTTTTTTGTTAATTAGTTAATCTAATTTAATTTCGGTTCTTCTTCTTGTTCTCGATGCAATGAATGAATGAATGAATGAAAACAAGCTTGTGACCCGTCCCCAGTGAAAAATAAAATGCAAAAAAAATGGAAAAGAATTGAACCGGAAAAATATCTTTTGTTCTTTTCTGCTCATCATCATCATATGATGATGATTTTGATGGTTTCAATGAGAATAATAAAACTTTTTTTATTCTGATGCTTCATTTCAACAACAACAACAACAACATTGAATAGGCGTGTCCATTGAATAAGTGGTAGTTTTCTCAATCTAAATGTATGATGATGATGTTGCTGATAGTCGTCCGATCAATCGATCAAAAGTGGTAAATACTTTTGTATGTTCACTTACAATGTGAATGAATTGATGATTGAATTGTAATAGTATAGTCGCGTATATATTCGATGATGTTTGATTCGGTTACACACATCAATTTAAAAAAAGTACAAAAAAAATGATGATGAGATTTAACGAAT